GGCACACATTGTGGATATTAATGTATTTTTAACAAAAAGACGAATATATCTCATGAATCTTATATAGTGTTGTTGTTGTCTGCTTTTCCCGCGGTTTTAAGTAGGTCAACAGTGACTATGCGATGTCAGAGAGAGCTCCGTCAGTTAAAATCTCTTAAGAGATTTTAACAAAAAACCGTACGTTTAGGAAAAAAACCCTGGATTAACTTTGAATGCAGGAATGGGGTCGCTGACCATTGGTAAGTACGGGAAAATTGCCGTTTACTCCAGGAAAATCCAATTTTTGGCCAAAATGAAGAGTTATTATGACTTTAAGTCTTATTACAATTAATCACAATTTTTTTTTCATGTCTTGTAATGATGTCTGTATATGTTTTCCATTTCAGACAATGGGGGCTTTATACAAAGTTCATTAGCAGAAATCTCTGGCCAAAGGACAGTACCAAATGTTTATATAAATGGGTCACATTTAGGTTTGTTGTGGTTTGATAATTTATATTTGAAATTGCCTTTTTAGCAACTTTATTAAATGTACAGCATGTGCACAGCAATAGTAACTGTTATCATTTTAATTTTACAGTGACTGTTACAAACTACACTTCACCTGTGAAAAATTTGAATTGTCTTTCAGTTATTTATTTATTTATTTTTTACATCTGTCTTGGGAGTAGATTTACCTAAACTGCAAAAGGTGAAAAAAAAACTACCATGAATACTGTGATGCTATATCTGTAATTATAGGAGGATGTGATTCCGCTCTAGCGGCCCACGCCTCAAATAAATTGCTACCTCTGATCAACCCAAGCACAGACCAGTATGACTACGATTTAATTGTGATTGGTGGGGGATCTGGCGGCCTGGCTGCTTCAAAGGTGTGAATGGTCTCTAATATGTACTGAAGCTACAGCTTGTAAAGTGAATGGAGTAGTTGACACAAATCATAACTGTAGTCACCTCTGTTGAAGTATTGAAAATTGGTTTGTGATTAGTCTCTTAAACTCTAGTCACATCTGTTGAAGTAATGGCCGTGATTAGTCTCTTATACTCTATTCTACTCTGTTGAAGTATTGGTTCGTGATTAGTCGCTTAATCACATGTTCATTTAAGGTAAGTCTAATTATTTAATTCATTATTGTTTTCATTTTTTATTGTAGGAAGCAGCGTCTCTTGGCAAAAAGGTTGCTGTTCTGGATTTTGTAAAACCCACACCTGTAGGGACAGCTTGGGGTAAATTTTGTATTGATGTATCTCAATGATGTCGTCTTTTTATAGAGTCGAATTGAATGGGGTTGCTTTTAATCCTATTCTGCTGTATTTTTTTAAGTAATAAAAATTGTCAGAGCATTAATTATGTCTTGAAGATTTTTCATTTAAATGACATAGGTATATTTTCTATAAAGTTTACATAATTGCAACGTGATGAGCAGTATTAGATCTTGCTGTGAAGAATATGATTCTACATAAATTCAGTGATCAGAATTAAAGACTAGTTGTTGGGCTTTGGATGACTGATGTGCTTTTTATAACAGTGTGTGTAATAAAAAAAAAAAATATTTACCAATTATGTCTATCCTGCTGACCAGTTTTTGAATGATTTTTCCCCCCATCGCTGACGTTTTCATCATTTCATTTGATTAATCTGAGAATGGTGGAATATTTCAGGTCTTGGTGGAACATGTGTCAATGTGGGGTGTATACCAAAAAAACTGATGCACCAGGCGGCTATATTAGGTAGGAAGTTCAGAGCAATATTTAATATGTGAGACATTGTCTAATATTTTTAGGCAGTATATACATTAATTGCTCTATCTTTTCAATGAATAGTGTGGCAGGACTTAAAAGTTCTGATATGTGTGTTTAGTGTGATTTTTTATTGCCAGTTGAAAGAGTTGGCTGTGACAGGTGTGTTAGGTGTAACGATTTTGGCAGTTGGATGTGTTTGGCGTGTCAGATTGTGGTAATTCAATGTGTTAGGTGTGACAAGCCCGTGTAATCAAATGTGTTTGTTATAAAAGTGTGTTTGGCCCTGAAGTGTATTTGGTATCACTTTTGGCTATTGAATTTGTATGACAGGACTTGACAAATGCTGTGTTGGTTATGAAAAGAATTTTGTCAGTTCAGTGTATAAGGTATATGAAAAATTTTGCAACATATAATTGTTTTTAAATGTCAAAGAATCACCCGGTATTTTTACTTCCTTATTTTGTCAGAATGCTAAAATTGAATTGACACACTTGGAGCATGGTGATTTTCATTGTAACTGGTTTCTTTGTGTTGCAGGCCATTCTCTAGAAGATGCCAGAAAGTTTGGTTGGGAATTTGATGAAAAAGGTGGGAAATCCTTTGTCTTTAATTGTCATTGGAAAATGTAAAATCCTATAGTACTAGTAACTGGTTTTTGCTTTTTTTTAAACAGTCTATGTTTCAAAGTATATGGTTGCACAAAGTAGAAGGGCAGTTATTGAAGTCAAATACTCAATAAAACTGATATAATTCTATGATATTATGCTTTCCAGATTTGGAAAAAAAATATTATGGTGGTCCCCATTAGGAATTTGTTCATATCTCTCGGCATTATAAGCCTTTGTGCATGATGTCACATTCTAATGATTTCTTACAACTAATTATAATAAGCTTATTTTATTTTCCTTATAATCAGTTATTTGACAGGTATTAATCATGATATTCTCATTATTTTTAAAAACAGATTTTGTGTACTGACCTTTGCAGGCACAGTTTGTGACACCGTTGTTAATTGTGTTATTTAAGGCTTCATATTATTTACTTTGCAGTGTCTCATAACTGGGATACAATGAAAAGTGCTATTCAGGTATGTATTCTTTCAGTTTTTTTTTTTTTTTTTTTTTTAATAGTATTGTAAATGACAATATAATTAATTATATTCTCAAAATTATAAATATTATTATTATGATTATTATTACTACTATTGTGGACACTTTCAGGATTATATAGGATCTCTTAACTGGAAGTACAGAGTAGAACTTAGAGACAGAAGCGTGGACTATTTTAACAGCTTTGGAGAGTTCAAAGACCCACATACAATCAAGGTACTGTAACAGTTGCTGGTCTAATGTTATTTTTTACACCACTCGGTATAGCTGTTTTATATGATTAGAACAGTCTTTAAGTGTCACAGTAGTCTCAATAAATCTCAAGTCTAAATGTAACACAAGCCTGGTTTAGTCTTTTTGAATAAAACAAACCTGGTTCAGTCTTTTTGTATAACACTAGGCTGGTTTAGTCTTTCTGTATAACACTAGGCTGGTTTAGTCTTTCTGTATAACACTAGGCTGGTTTTGGTCTTTCTGTATAACACTAGGCTGGTTTAGTCTTTCTGTTTAACACAACACTGGTTTTCCTCTGTTGTATAACACAATAAGTATACATACACAGGTTATTAAGTTAGTCATTAAGCATTTGTATTAAACTTGGCCCATGTGGCATGCATAACTTAGAAGATAGGATTGTGGAATAGCCGAAGGACACAGAACTTGCACTTGGGAGATGAGCATTTTGTCTGACACAGGAGTGTAACTTGTGAATTATTCATTTTGGTTTTGACATTAGTTCCAAAGCTGGTGATTTCTGTTTAGCAAGATAATTTTGCGATCAGTTCCTCTCACTGCAGATTTAGAGTTCTTTTATTAACTAAGATAATTGGCCACATCTCTCAGTGTCCATATAAATAATTAAAACAAATCCCCTGTGTGGAATTTTCATATGGTAAATGTGTATATTATGTTGGAAGGCCATGCTCTGGGGAATATTACAGATGAAATTAATATGGGATATCATGGAGGTTCATTAGTCTATGATTTGTTGTTTACTATATGTCCTTCATCCTTGTTAGCAATCAGTTGAATGTACAAGCAATGTAAAGGTATTGATTTTAGCTCTGAGCTGCTGGCATTTTTATGTGATTCATGTAAAACTTGAAAACATTGAGAAGGCAAATTACATGCATGACTGAAGCCTGATGAAAGCTGCCTCACAACTGCAGTTACCAAGGTGTTTTTCCTAGTACGGTAATTAATTAAAAATTTCAAACACCCTGACTCCTTCACGATATTTTACTTTTATCGTGTTTTGATACACACATAATGTACTTACTAACAAACTAACTTTTCAACTTACCAACTGAACTTTCAGGAAAAATTAAAGAAACATCATGTACAGGAAAATTGAATATTTATTAAGTTCAAATATTATTACTATTGCAGTATTGAAAGTTGACTCTGAGAGATGCCTCGGGTTAATTAGTGAGGAACGGGAAATTGGAATCCTACACACATAGCAGAAAGGTGTATTGAACTTTTTTAATAGCCAACCAACAGTTGTTTAAATAAATATGGAATGCATTTTTATTCCTAGGTCAACACCCAGTTATAGGAGGACATTTCTTTTCTGTTTTTATTACTTGTGAAAAAAAATTGTTTCAGGCAACTAACAAGAGAGGAAAAGTTCAGGACCTCACTGCAGCCCATTTCCTTCTAGCCATGGGGATGCGACCTCGGTACTTGGGCATTCCAGGAGACAAAGAATACTGCATCACCAGCGATGATCTCTTCTCCCTGAAGTACTGCCCAGGGAAAACCCTGGTGGTAGGCGCGTCGTACGTTGCGCTGGAGTGTGCGGGTTTTCTCGCGGGGATTGGGCTGGATGTGACAGTCATGGTGCGGTCTATATTGCTGCGCGGGTTTGACCAGCAGATGGCGGAGAAGATAGGGGATTACATGGCCAACCATAGTATTAAGATGATCAGGGAAGCTGTGCCTACAAAGGTGGGTACCAGTACAAAGAGAAGGTGAATACATACCGGGCAATATATGGAGATCTCTTGTTTAATATATTATTAATTATCAAGAACCTGCGGAAGAAGTCAGCCGGCAAGAAACTTTGAAACTTGGGAAGAGGTTTTATATCTTTCTATAAAAACGGACAGTTCCTAACTTGCGTGCCTCAGACAATTTATGACTGCATTCCCACAGATTTAGATCGATCCAGATGGATTGATCTAACTCCCTGGGGGTTCATGCTAAATTGCTGTCAGCCGAGCGCGCACTATAGTTAATTACCCCCTTACAGCTTTTAGTAGGCGGGACAGACATTTAAGCTGGTTAAGCTGACACCAATCTAGTGAGACTCCCCAGGGGGATAGATTGATCTAAAAATCTGAGGGAATGCAGTCTATAAATTACTGTAGAGAAAAAATTCTGTCTTGATACAATTTTAAATATCTTGCATAAACCATTCTGAACATTTGCATACTAGATTTATTTGACTGAATGTCTTTGTTCACTGTAGATTGAGCAGATTGAGAAAGGGGAGCCAGGGAAACTGAAGGTTACTGCTAAATATGTGAAGACTGGAGAGGAGTTTGTTGGAGAATACAATACAGTAAGTTTGAGCTTAGAGAGGGGAAACACTTTCACCTAATTTACATTCCACATTTCTTTGTCTTTGGGGTAGAAGATTCAGGCCAAATGCTAAAGATTATAATTTGAGTTATAAGAAATGTGAAATATTTTCGTATGTGCCAAATTCATTTTTGATTTTGACCAACATTTTGGTGTGGATAAAATTATCCAGCACTCTTTCTAACGTGTTTAACTAAGTGTGAGCCCAGAAACTGATTACCATGGACAAACTAATTGGACGGTTTTTCATTTAGATTCACTTGGAACGTATATTTGGTTAAAAGTTCCCTTCATCATCATCATTCAGTCCACTCCTGTGCTGCTTTAACGCCAGGTCCTGTCATTTTATTTCCTGATGAATGTAACTTTCAGTGCATAACACAGATTATGAATTTTAAATTATTTTTGGGAAGGATTTTAGGTTTCTTTGTACTGGGCAACTGAGGTAAACTACCGTAAGCCTTCTTTCATGTTTAAAACATATCACTTATAATTTCCTGTTCTGTAGGTATTGCTTGGGATTGGCCGCGATGCCTGCACCAATGGGATAGGGCTGGACAAAGTGGGAATCAACCTGAACCCAAAGTGAGTCACAAGAGGCATCATCGTGATTGTAAAGTACTCTATAGTATCAGATTATTGGGTAACATAATGCATCTGACATTTGCATGTCATGGAATTGATATTGAGAAATACTATCATGGCATTACGCTTGAGCAGAAGTACTTGGAAATTATTTCCGTTGAAATTTGTTCATTATCAGATAATATGTTTTATGATTGAATTGAAGTTATGCGTAAGAGATGTATTCTATAACCAAAGCTCATTGGCTTGTTCAAAAATAGAACAAGTTGAAGAATAGTGTCTGGGATGCCTTCCTTAAAGAGTGCAATAAAAAAAGGCCATTTAGCAATATAAGAAACGAAGATTGTATTCACAGGTGTGATAACTAAATTATTAGTCTGCATGAAAATGAATTGAGCAACCTCTGTGCAAGTCAAAGAGGAATATATATATATATATATATATGTGCCTCAATAGCCAACACATTTGCATGAATGCAATCTTTAGACAATATATTATGTACAATTTTATGTTTTAGAATATAGATCAAACAAAAAAGGAGAAAATTCAGAGCAGCTATATCTATATCTCTCATTATCATCATCTCTCTCTGTCTTCCAGAAATGGCCAGGTTATTGCCGAGGCTGAGACGACCAATGTCCCCCATATTCATGCCATAGGAGATATCCTGGATGGCAAGCCAGAGCTGACCCCTGTGGCTATACAGGCAGGCAGGCTGCTAGCCAGGCGACTGTTTGGAGGGGGTAAAGAGCAGGTAGGTGAACCAGGTTCATTCAGGGTCATTTGGGGGGGGGGGGAGGTGGGCAGCAATGTGCAAGTAGGATAATCTGGGTCTTGTTGGGGGGTGGGGGTCATGTGGGGTGAGATTAATGTGCAGGTGGGATATTTTGTGTTGGAGGGGGGGGGAGGCTAAGAGACAATGTAGATGTTTGTTAAACCTGGTACAGATGGATATGATAAGAAACTAGTAGGTGAGATATCTGTTCTGTGCTTATGTAAGGCAGATTTGGCAGAGGATTGGTGTGTTATGTTTGCTAACCTTTCAGCTAGTGAGCCAGGCACGAATGGCAATAATATAGGAGTTCTACAAGACAAAATTGACGGACTAGAGCTGGAGAATCATAATTTGAGACAAACATTACGAGAAAATGACCAACGCATCGACAAAATGAACAGAGCGATGAAAGAGGCAGCCAAGGTAGCTTCGTCGGCAATGATAAAAGCCAACCATAATGAACAATACAGCCGAAAAAACAATGTAAAAATATATGGCATCCCGGAGTCTGNGAGATTATTGATTTTTTTTTCAGTGTGACTACACCTATGTTGCAACCACAGTTTTTACTCCGTTGGAATATGGCGCTTGTGGTTTCTCTGAAGAGGATGCAATTGCGAAATATGGAGAGGAAAACATTGAAGTGAGACTGAAACCTTAAGAATATAGATTACATTAAGAAATATTATCAGTGGTTGGGGAAGGAAAACTTGGAAACAATCCAATATAATTTGTTCAATGTTTACAAATATCCACAGTTAAGATACTGCTTTGCTTTCTGTGGGGATTGCATTTTTACAATTATTTTGGTGAATACTATAGCCTCTTTAAGTCAGCTGTAAAATGTTACAGGAGATTTTGATCTATGGCAGTGTTATTTGATATTTTATTATTCTAGAAAATTATAGGTATGTTTTCAAAATTTTCTTGCTACAGTGATATCAAATACCAAAAACCAAGTACTAAAACTGTCTATTGAATACACATACCTACCAAGGCAAATCATACCATGATTTTTTCCTCTTAGTTTTAACATTTTGAATGTGTGTTATCAGTATATAAATCAAACTTTTTTTTCGTTATTTTTTTTTTTTAATATAGATATGTTTTCAGGTCATGGTTCCAAATGCTGCACATCCTGTTTCCATTATAATTACTATCAGTAGTTGTGATGACTTGGGTTGAGATTGTCTTGATTGCATTTCAGGTGTATCACAGCAACTACCGCCCTCTAGAGTGGACAGTGCCTGGGAGGGAGGAGAATGCCTGCTATGCAAAACTTGTCTGCTTGAAGACAGAGAATGTAAGTATAAAGAAAGTCTGAATTGCCCCCTAAGCTGCCAGAAGTTCTACTTTAAATTTGAATGCCTGAAATTTGAGGGTCACCACATTGTATACAAACCATAGTCCCTTAAAAATCTGGAAGTTATTATTATTATTATATGGTAAAATTATTTACCATATTATTACAAAGACAGTGGGTCAAAAAACACAATGCTGTGTGTTGGATTTTTTACCAGTCCAGTAATCTTTCACAAAAGGTGATCAAACAGTCTTCTGTACTTTGGCCTTCTTTCCAGGTCTCCTTCTATTATAATTATAAATGTCCCGACCCGTTCCTGCAATATCTTATGTGTTTCTTTGTTCTTCTTCACTCCAGGAGCGTGTGATTGGTCTGCATGTAGTGGGTCCAAATGCAGGGGAAATGACCCAAGGGTATGCTGTGGCTCTAAAGTGTGGCGCCACCAAGGCCCATTTCGATACCACCATTGGAATACATCCAACCACCTCAGAGGTAAGTGAATGGGACACTGTCAAAAATTTTTTTTGTTTGTATTTATTTTGTATATATTAAATTTTATAATTATTTATCATTTTATTTTTGTATGAGCAAAATGAGTTATTTTTACCAAAATTGTGATAAAATGGATAACACTTTAAAAGGAGTCACACTTTTTGCTTATAAAGAGCTTACGTCATAAAGAGCTCTCCTATAGATGTCAGCATTGTATTTTTTCCCCTCCTTGTAAGCAGTTTTTGACCAGTTTTACTTTCATTTTACAGGTTTTTACCTCACTCAGTACAACCAAGAGCTCAGGACTACCAGTAGATCAAGCTGGCTGCTGAGGTTAAGCCCTGCTGTTGCCAAATTAGAGAGGAGTCTCAAGAGTCACCTGTAGATGTCACCAGCGTTCCAGGAAGAACATTTTCACCTATAGATGTCAGCATTGCATCATCATGCCTGTGTCAGTTCAGCACGTACAAGATTAAGACTTTGAACATGACCTAGTAGCATATACATTGGATGTTGAAGCAAGGCTAATTATTAACTGAATGCATTTCACTTAGATGATTGGCTAAATAATTTTACTATCGTCTTGTTTGTCATTATAATTTTTTGGTGATGTGTGGAAAAAATTTGCAACTTTACCAACTCATACAAAGGTGAAAACTAAAAAAAATTAACTGTGACTCTTGTGAAGAATGAGACTCCTTTTCTAGGCAACGGCAGGGCCTGTTATGGTTTCCCTGGTAACCATTGGCGGTGTAGCACCTGTCAGGTGTATTGATGATGGCACTGCTTGTAACCCTTAGCTAAGGGAGAGCAAAGCTTGATGTGCATCGCCAGTGGAAACCAAAACTAGTGTATTATACTTCACTAATACGTCAATTCTTAATAATCATCTGAATATTTTTTTTCTTTGGTTGCTGTCAATAGTGTTTACTCTTTGTGGGCTCTTGCTGACACAGCTATTGTTTTGGTTGAAAATTATGCAAACTTAAACAGTTATTGTTTCCATCAGATATTGATGTGAGGTTTTGACTTGATAGCACCAATGTTGAAAACTCTTATTTGGTAAACTGCTGTCAACAGTTGTGAAATATGAATTTAAATATAAATGCATTTTAATATTATAAAGTTTAATTTATTTTTTGTGGAAAAATATTTTTGCAGGTGATGTAAATGTTAATGTGCTGGTTTTAGCCTAGTTTCCTAATTCAGCTCGTTTTTAACGTGGTGGACACTAAAAAAATTGTCATTACTGAGGTGAAAGATGTTGCACATGTATTAAGAAAAAAATACTTGAGTATGTTAAGTATTTTTTTGTTGGTGTTTTCGATTACTGAAAATGAAAACCCAAGTTTAACTTGAGATTTGACATGGTTTAGAGACCACAGCAATGGAAATTAATTTGGAAAACTGACATAATCTTGATATTAAGTAACGCAAAACTGGCAAACACTTTATGAACTAAGTTTTGTTTTTTGCAGATGAAATGTAATATCTTAATGATACTATTGCACAAAATTGAATTAAATTAAATTTTAAATACACCAGATTTTGTTTCACTATCTCACTTGTACCCACATACTTAGTTCAGACATGAGCCCAAGTTTAAAAAAAAAAAAAACTGATATAGAATCTCAAAAAAACAATCTCAGGAACCATCAGAATTAAATTAAAAAATCTGGAATTCCACGTTTTTACAGAAAAAGCTCATGTCTGCTTAGTTTCACATAACAATATTCTTCTATTCTGGCACACATTAATTAAAATGAATCCCTTCTTTACAATTAGCGCAAATAACTTACTTTTTTCATTTGAAAATTCTAAACAGGAACTAAATTCAAAATTGATTTTATTAACTGCTGTAATATGTACAAAATTTGAAATACATAAAAAGAAATGGATGTTACTGCACCAGAGCTGGACAAGGGTATTGCCTGTTCTCATAAACGTCCCATTTTCAAATATAAAATCTCCACTGGTTTCCATAGGAGTTGGGGTACAGGGAGTCCAAAATGTGAACTTGTAATTTGGTCATCGATTTTCAAGGGATCCAACCCAAGCAAGCCCAACCAACCAAACCCTAAAATTTTGTAAGCTGCCCAACTGTCTTTGGAAATGTTAGCTGTCTTGTGAAGCCAATGGCCGTCCAAATAAGGACTTGATGGCTCTCTGGGAAAAGCCTTGATGATGTGTCCATGTGGTGTCTGATAGATTTCAATATTGTCGAGTGTAAAATTTACTACCACTCCAGTGTCAAATGTCACTGAGAATTCCAACACAAAAGCAACCAAATGATATAGATGTTGCTGCTCTCATAAAGGTATCCACCCCCAGTAATTGCATTACTTCAAACTCCTATATCAAGACACAAATGTAGCATCTTTATGCTGGCACACTTAAAAGGAATATTATTTGATGCTAACTTGTATACTTAGTTCTTATCTACATCATTCCATAACCTGATGTGTATGAGGAGTTCAATGTACATGATCATTTGTTTTTTGTGGGGTAGTGATCACAGGTTATTTCTTGTCTGGGGGTTTGCCACCTCTGTTCCGTCTCAACACCTCTCCAGGACTTGGGTATGGCCTCTGCTGAAACAGAGGCCCAGAGGCGGTAGAGTCCACGCCAGTCTTCACCTCATTCTGCTCCACGAGACCACTGGACCACGTACCCCTGGAATAGGAACCATTATCAACTTTACTTTTACCATGCTGTTTTATTTAAGTACACCTTAAATAAAGTCCCCCCCCCTCCCATCTTTAAATATCTTCATTAGTTCTTTGGATACTGTAAATTTCTTAAAACCCTAAAAAGTTTAAACTATGGGCAGGGAAAGAATATATCAGTAAAAATAAGAGTATGTTAACAATAATAACATTTCTAAACAGGCCACTGCAAAGCCACAGAGGTGAAAACACTGGACCTCACCTTGGAATGTCGGAGTAAGCAGCCGGGTCCATGGGGTCGAGCTCATCCCTGAATCCTGGAAAACCAAGTGTTCTTTATTTTACTTTACAAGCCTATCTTATCATGATAAGGTGAAAAGAAGTATGTGTCTTCCTTGAGGAAAAAAAAGGACTAAATTAAATGTTACATCCAGGATGACAAAAAAGGGGCTATGGATTTTTTTTAACTTGCTTAAGTGAAATTTAAAGGCAAAAGTGATGAAAATACCAAAAAAATCATTGCGTATTCCTTGCTAAACCTCACTTCTATACCTCCAGAACAAACTTACCATTAAAGTAAATACAATGAAAAGAGAAGAACATGTTCCTATCTTATTTATTGAATGAATGGGTACCTTTTCTCTCTCTTCTGCTCTCTCTGTGTCTCTTCCTGGAATTTTCTTTCTTGAATTCACTCTCAAGTTCTTCCAGGTCATCAAATCTTAAATCAGACTGAAAGAAAACGACACTTCAAATTTACCAGCATTCAAGTAATTGAAGACTTTGAAGAATGAATAAAAATAGGTAAACAGAGTAGTCTTAAAGTAGTTCTTACTCTTAGTTTCATCACAGATTTAACAAAAAAAGGAAATATTTATTGAAATTATAATTATTATTCATTGGTACGTGAAATACAACTCTGACAAAAATTAAAACTATTATCTTTATTGGACATTTCAAACACATAGCTTATGAAACTGATCAACTTCTATTACCTCTTCCTTTTCTTTGTCAGCTTTCTTCTCCTCTACTGTGGGAGTCTCTGACTTAAGCATGGCTGTAATAAATGGACCAATTTAAATTATCTTTCAGTTAATAATCCTTTAAAATTAGAAATAAAATTTGTCAAACAAAATTTTATGCTAGTGAACAGATAAATAAATAAATTGACAATTTTTTAAAAATCATAATTACACCCTGTGTGCTCAGCATTGGCAAGCAAAACCTTTCATTTAATACATTGGCACTCTTCAAACTTCCAACAAATCTATCTTCTTAGTTAGCACTTTGTAAAAGGGTAAAATGTAAGATTACATTTAAGATTTAATACATAGATGTTGGGCCATGTGTACCCCTTTTAAAAGCATCCAAAATTTAACGTTGGAAGACTTACATTTTCTGTACCTGTAATAAAATGCTCTGCTGATGTAACAGTATTAGGTGTAACAGTATGCTAGATGTGACAATGACCAACTTTACCTTCCAATTTCTCTGCAGAAACTGTAATCTTAGCTTTGGGATGGAGTGGTGGTAACCATGACACTTCTTCTGTGAAAGTGTTCCAGTAGTAATATCTACCCCTGATGTGAGGAGAAAAGACACACTGTATTTAATGTGATCATATTCAATACTCAATTCTCCAGTTAAACTTAGTTATAGGCACCACAGTTCTAAGAATGCAATTAATTCTTTCTAAATGAATACCTGTTGTATAGACCTATGCCAAGCCTGAAGCATTTCTTCACATAACAAACTGTCACCTCCCTAACACAGCCACACCTAACACAATGTCACATCTCTAACACAGTCACACCTAACACAGTCACACCTAACACAATGTCATATCTCTAACACAGCCACACCTAACACAATGCCACATCTCAGTCTCAAACATTCCATCACACCTAGCACAATATCGAAACTCACGTGTCTGGATCGGCCACCTCCTCCCATCCAGGGGCCAGTGGGTACTTGAGAAGCATCTTCTTTCTCTTTGGTTCCGAGTAGCTGTCAGCAATGAACTTCCTCAGTCCCCATGTTTTTCTGCACCACTGGGAGCAATCATGGTACCTGTTAGTCTTGTTTGGGCAGTTAATTACCTGAGGGAGGAAAATAGAACAACCTTGTTAGGGTAACTTGTGACACAGGAATTGAGGAAGATGCTGATAGTCCCAGGATGATCCATTTCAATTATAAATCAGTCTTCCTTTTAACTTGATTAATTTTACTTAAAGTTTATGGTTATAGCTAAATCTGAAAAATGAGTAATTTCAATTATGCATATAAATTATAAGAATAACAATATTTTGGTTAATTTCAAAACTTGCAAATTATAATTTGCTGAGGAAAGAACATGACAAGATCTGTGCCAAAAAGCAGGGTAAATACATACTAGCCCAGCTCTAATTTTACTTGCATTTGTTTATGTTATAAACTGACAAATAAACACAATGAGCCAAAGTGAACTCAGGAACTCACCTCATGAATGAGTTGTTTCTCTTCATTATCTTCACCTCCTCTCAGAGAGGATGACAAACTGTGTGATGTTGGTACCGGGATTGTAGGCACCCCATGGGATCTTAACGGTTCATCATAATCTTCAGCAAATACCTCCTCAACTTTATCTAGAAGGACAAATCATCATAGGGTGTAGTTTTTCAATTTTCCCATATAACAAAAGAATTGTGATAACAATACCCCAAGGTTTTGAAATAGATACATTCACATTAGCCCAAGATTTTGAAATAGAGATTCCAAATTCATTTTTTACAGGGACAGGCTGTCTAGGCTTCAGATATTTTGCTACAAGTGTACGGAATTCAGGCTTAATTAGAGTATTATAGGTGGACCCTACCCACAGTATGTAATATGGTAACAGGGGCTGCATGAAAATTAAAGGTTTGATATTTATCTAAAATGATTTTAATCGAGGTTGATCGGGTTTTTGCACCATGGTATTCGAATGCAACATCTTAAGGGTAACTTTAAGTGATTTTCGGATTCATCAGAGAACACGACAGTTCATTATGGTCTGATAATTCATTGAACTGCTGGGGTCTTTTCTCAATTTTGGCTTCTCGCTAAGTAGTGCTTAAATTTAAGTGTTAGCAGGGCCGACTAAATCCAAACCTGGTTCGGTTTCTTCTTTCTGAATGATCCCTCTTTTCTTCAGCCTAGCAGCTAGGGCTGCAGGGAGCGGCATCGCGTCGAAAAATTAAGATATCTAGCAAAGTTTTTTGCCTTAGATCTACAAATCCAAGCGTGCTTTCACAGTTTGAAAGATATTCTACCTTCTCCACAGAAGAGTTCCGAGCACGATCCACGCATGCGTGGGGACTACGTGAGGTCATATGGTGAGGTCAAGCAGTCGACAGACTTTTCTTAAACAAATCAAGTCTGCAAATATTACTTTAATAGTATTGGTATCCACTCGAAACAGGGGTTCTTTAAATTACATGAATGATAATGCGTCGTGTGATACTTTTGGTACTTCAAAAAGCCATTACTGGTGTTTCGAGAAAGACGAACAGCCAATTATGGTTCAAGTTTAGTGTCTGGCGGCGCTTTCACTTTCAGTCTCGGTTAAAAACATCGCATATTTCACGTGGTTTTATAACAACTGCATTATTATCTAGTCGCCATTTAAGGAAATCGGACAGTCAGTTTTGCCGAAATATTTCATTTGTCTGTGCTGCCCTTGGATGTACGATACACACCAACGAAGCCAATAAAACAGGGAATTTAAAAAGTGATGAAGATGATGATGAAGATGATGGTAAGCTTAGGATGCAGCCAGTGATATGCAAAGTCCGCTTAATAAATTGACATCTGCAGGTACTGTATATGCAGGCACAATACATGGTAACACCAGTAACCAGTGTCTAGAATAACCATTTAATAGCTCTTAAATATATTATTTCACGTACTGCATGGGTATATGGTCCTTTTGAAAAGAGTAATTAAATATATATACTTACAATATACTTTATACAATTGTTGTTTAATTATCATTATGTAATTTATTTTGATGAATTTTACTTATTTATTTATTTATTTATTTACTTATTTATTTGTTATATTAATGTTATTATTACTACCACCAGCTTGATTGCCTGACCCTTTTACGCCCCCAACTCCAAGTCATGTGGAGGTTACCAGTCGCGTACGATGATGTACCTTGCTTCTCATACACTACGGTTAAGGACCTGCATTCTTGTCTCTTGAAATTAGGTCATGTTTATTCTCATCTTGAACACCCTTGATTTTGGGCTTTGTTGGTGCATTTGCATAGGTGTGACGCTATAATCACAATACGCCCTACAGTATCTGGGCTCACTCTTACATTTTTTTTTCTTAGCCATTTGGCTTAAAGTACCAATTTTCTTTTAGACATATATCAGTTTTACTTTGGTCAAATTTTGTTAAAACATCAGTTTTTTCTTTTTGTCAAATAATCAATATGTGTGACACTCTTTATTACTAGGGAATATGGACAGGATTTCCAATGCTGGAAGACTAAATAAATTAACAGTGGCACCACCTCCTGGTCTTCCTGACAGACTAGTCGTCCTTCAGGCAGAGGATGGTAGTTTGGTCTATTTAGTGGGCACTTGGCATTTTACTAAAGAGAGTATTGATGATGTGGTCAAGGTATTTTGAAAGGAACACAGTGAACACTAGACCTAAATATATTACAAAAACATGTCCAGAAAAAAATTTTATGTTTGTCATTATCACAAGATATACTGTAGCATATCCAATAAAATGTCACAAAAATAAGTTCTTAAAACTGGTTTTTGAGTTCTTTTTCATTTTCAACTTAATTACAGGCTGAGATGGAGATTTGTGACTATCACATCTAATCTTTCATTTGTTTCTCAGCCAGAAGACCAGCTTTTACAATGTATCTTGGCTTTTTGAAAACATCTTTATTTCAATGATAATTAAAAATTTATATGATTCTGTAAGATACTTTGTCTAGTATATAAATTTCTTCTCTTTATAGACAATACAAGCTGTTCAACCAGATAAAGTGGTGGTTGAGCTATGCACTGACGCCTTGAAGTTGAGATTTGGCAAAGTGCAAATATTTAAGCAAAATGAAATGAAAGTAGCAATCGCAGAGGTAAGTGTACTAGTAATGTGTGTGTGCTCGCCTTGAAAAAAAATTGAAATAGCTTCCAGAAACTGGTAAGTAAGCCACTCCCAATTAACCTGGTTGTATTCAGCAAGAGTTCTGCGGTGTTTGGTTGATCTATGTAAACCGAACATTTCAGTGGGCATGCACCCATAGCCATTGCAAGGTATATGGAAATGTATAAAATGAAAAATTATAAGTTGAGCAAATTTGATTTTGGAATATATTGGGAATCAGAACCCAGTACAGAAATTAATGTTGCACGCATTGTTAGTAAAACCTGTGCTATCTTTAGGCAAGATTAATTCCAAAAGGATGTTTGTAAATTCATTTGCAGACTGTTGCAGGTCTGTATTGTGTAAAGTCAAAGGTCGGGTGATATGTTTAATATATATTTTTACAGTTTTAAAAGAAATGCTAAAATTGAGCATTGATTCAGGTGTTCAAGTTGATAATGAAAGTTTTAATGGTTTGTAACTTACAGTCATATTTTGGTATGAGGGAAATGTTTGAATACATTCTTTAATTTTTAGGCACGAAAAGTTCCTGGTACTTGTGAGGTTTGTTTAGGTGACCTTCCTCTTCACATCATAAGGAACCATTTCAGAGCTGCAGTTGAAGAACTGAGTACATGGGACATATTCCTGTTTTATCTTGCCACACGCACCATTGTCAAAAAACTATATAGTACTAAGTGAGTACGTGAAAACACATTTGCCTAGCAATCCTCATGATACAAGCATCAAATTTGTTCTTCCCTGTAACTGCTCTAGGTTGCTTACAGTTGTAACACGTTCCATGGTAATATACTGTATACCAAATGAAATGTTACTAGGAATCTGAAATTGTTACCTTGACTGAGCAGTAATCCTGTCATTTTCATTTATTTATTATTAATATTATTCCTTTTTTGGGGGGGGGTTACATTGAATCATATTGAATTTAATGTCTTGTACGTTTTTAAGATTTTTTCTTCTTAAAAGATGTCATCAGTTTAAAGGCCACCTGTCCAGTAATTGCAGGTCACATACAGTCATAAGTCTTTTGGCTGGTTATGTCACCTGGTTATGTCACCTGAGCACATTTTTTTAACATTATAAGTTCCATGTAAGGAGCCAATCGGATTATTCTTCTGTGCCACCCTTCACGTACTTTTATGTCACAATTCTTACCTTAACCGTAGGAGGCCAACCTCATGCATACGTAAGTTCCCCCACCAATTATCATTGTCACAATGTTACAATTCCTAACCACAGGTGGTCTTCTAATCCCTCTGCTTTCCCACCTACTTCCATAACTGTATTACAATTCCTAACCACAGGTGGTCTTCTAATCCCTCTGCTTTTCCACCTACTTCCATAACTGCATTACAATTCCTAACCACAGGTGGTCAGTCTAGACCCTCTGCTGTCAATCGGCAATCCTCGGCTCATTCCGCAAGCTCCATACTAACCTCGGATGTGATAGGCGGAGAAATATGCACCAAATCCATGCATTTTGTCCGCCGGAAATGCCTTCTCACTCAATCGTTCATTACGCTCATAAAGATGGCTGTCAATACCCCTGATTTTTATGATGCTTTACAGTTTGCCAAACAATGCACTAAGATTGACTTTGATTTAAAAGATAAATAGATACAGGCGTTGAAGGAATTAGGTTTAAATTAGCGTGAGGTTGAAAGTAGTTCCTTCCCAACAATCAACAATCAAATATGTCTGCCTCCGTATTACGTCCGAGGTTATTGTCGAGTGCGGAGACATCCGAGTAGTTCCGAGTGCTCTGCTGTCCACCCTCTACCATATATTGCAATACTTAACCATAGGTAATATTCAGAGTATTTTTTTCTGTCCGTTGTCCCACCCATTACCACTGTATTACAATTATTTTTAATTGTCATTTTTTATTACCATGATAAATTGTTTCTTCAACAAAAATGTAATTCCATCAGTGATGCTCTTGCTTTAATGATATTCCGAATTCCAGAAAGAGTCATGTTGACAGGCAAAAAACTTGGAATGCCTTGGTGGAAGAACAGCAGATATGGAGAGAAAGATTTCCAGGTGGTTACAAAGTTATAATGGAAGAGCGTGATGTATATCTTACTCACAGCCTAAAGATGGCAGCACAAGCCTTGCCACATCCAAAAGAGACAGGACGTAAGTTGCAGTTTCAAGATGAAGGGACAACATGCACAGTTCTGGACAGGAAGAAACTGCAATTAAGCAATCAATCGCAGGGTTAATTCTCAACAACCAGCACCTGCTAGTACAGTCACTCACTGAAATTCAAAGTTTAAAAGCAATAATCTGTCCACTTCACTTTTAAGAATGAAAGTCATTGGTTCATAAGCAAGCAATAATATTTTACTCTAGGGGTACAGTTTAAATAATTTGAAAAAAAAGTTGAATTTTTTTCCTTAACAACTCACACTGGTAATATCCTGACCAGTTATTGCAATGACCCTTTTTTTTTTTTTTCGTGACTAGGATTGTTTTGTGAAACTGGCTTGATAATATTTCAAAGATGTGTACATGGCTTAAAAAATTTATGTATAGTAAAATAAAGTCAGTAAACTATATAATTAAAGCTCGATAAAGGCTATCGATATGTGTACTTTAGGAATGAAGCCAGCAGTAGTTGTGGGAGTTGTTGGCCTGGGGCATTTACCAGGGATTGTAGACAACTGGAACAAGGAGCTTGACCCTGAAGCAGTGACCAAGTAAGCAGAGGATATAGCTGGTCAAGTATAAATCAAAATGCACATTTTTGTTTCTTTTATTATTGAATATTCTGTTCATGATCCAAAATAATGAATAGAAGCATTTTTTGTTGTTGACAGTGAGCTGAGAAAATTTATCATAATTAATTTGTCATTGAAATATAAACATTGCACCATTCCCTCTTTTAACTTAGAAAATTGAACAGTACTTCATTGTGTGTGTATTGAAGGTGTTTAAAAGCAAAAAAGATCAAAATTGTGATCCTGGAATTTTCCACCTCCATCAGGGAAAAAGTGAAAAATTGGAACCGGGTTTGTTTCACTGGCCAGAGTAGATTTGCATAGTGCACTGTGCTACTCTGTAGCTTTTTATGTCTTATTGTAAATGACAAAAAAAGCTAGATGTGATTAACAAAATTACTATCAATTTCATTTTCTTTTAGGACATATCTAATTTCTGACAGGTTAAGGAATATAAAATGCGTTGCCCTTCTTGTCAAGATGACATTCATTGGGACGTTTGTCTATGTGAGCTACAAGGTGACACATTCTTTGTTTGGAGCCAAGAGGCTTGTTGTGTTCCTGTCTCTATTGGGCTTGGGTTATTATGGCACAAAGGAAGTACTTGGAGAGTACTGGCTTTCAAGGAAGCATTAGAATGATGCTGGACTAGCTGTGGCATAAATTTAGAAATGGCTGATCCAAGAATTCTAGTTAACGGGAAGCTGGTGACTATTACCGCTGGAAATTCGAGCAATTCAGTATACCAAACATTTTAAAAAAGAACTCAAAACATACCTTTTTAGGAAATATTTTGATTAACTCTTAATTGGTTTTATAAATCTTGTATTAATTGCATTTAATTGTATGGAATAATGGCTGTTTTACCTGGATTTTATTTATGATATTTTATGTAGTATTATTTATGATATTTTATGTAAAGTCTACTGAACATTTTAAATGGATTTTAGACTTAAAATAAATTTATTATTATTATTATTATTATTATTAGATTTCCGTGAAACAATGAAATGATGTAAGAGTCAATTCGGGAATTGTTAAAGCAAGATCTGTGATCAAATTTCCAGGAAGTATCTGGGCCCAGATTTTAACAGGGTGTTTAACACTGACCAGTCTATAAGTCTAACTGGTGAATAAATTCTCAGAACACCAGTTAACTAACTGGCATTAAAACATTTTAACCAGTGTTAAACACCCTTCATCCTCTCACTGACTTTTACTATGACAGATGGATGGGAGTGGTATGGTTATTTAATAATGCTTTCAACATGCACAGTATGTTTATGCCTTAGGACTTGTAATACCTGTTTATTGAATATGTTTAAATAGGTCAAAATTATGATCTTAGAGTTTTTAACTGCCATCAGAGAAATATCAGGGAAAATCAGAGAATTGTGTTTACCTTAAATGCTTAGAATCCTGCTATATCCCTCGCTTTATCATAATAAGTAAATGGTATCTGTTTCTCATGGTGCAATATTTCTGATATTTTAACCCAGCTCAGGTTTAACTTTTCCTGATGTGAATGCCCCCTTATTGAAAGCCATCACAAGTTTAACTTAATCATGGCGCGAATACCCCCGCAGTTTAAAAATCCGCCTGTAGTAAATGGTGTATTCAAACACACAGCCGTGGTTGGCGCCTAGGGGTATCACGTACAGGAACCCATGGCGCTTCATTTGGTTCAGGGGCAGGAAGTCCCACAACATGATGTACTGCAGGGAAGGCACCAGGTGGTGCTGTACACCATAATCCGTCTCGTAGTAGTACCCATGGATCATGCTCTGCTGGGGGTTGTCATTGTAGTCGAGGTAATACAGCTGGAAGTGAGATGTGGCAAGAGTATGAAATTAAGCTTCCTTATATTGTCATTGATTTTAGAATATATTGTTTAAATGGTTATGCTTTATTTATCATTTAGAACGGAATTAGCCACATTGACTTTTATACTTTTTTTTACATAAATGGGTATTGGAGGGAGCATAGACAGCAAGCAATTTTTAACATGTTCTAACATCTCCCGTTTTAAGTTGAATAAATTATTATTATTATTGTTACATGTATTTTCATCATTATAAGAAAGTCTGTTAAAAATATTTTAAAACTTTATTGTTTGTGTACTACATGTATTAAGGTCTTCACAATGTTTTAAATATTCTATTACAGGGTGTACGTAAATAAAACCGCAACAATCCATACTACTTATTTCATTTTATCCTTCACTTCTGATAAGCCTTTCTGATAAGCCTTTATCAGTCACCAAAATTTCACCCTGCCTATACTATACGCGCGTACACCTACGTGTGCATTTGGGGACATTCGGACGATCTTGTATTTTAGGCATTGATTGTATCATTGACTAAAGCAGAGGTCATTAATTGGACAAGGAATGAACCGGGATTAGCTGAAAAATGACGTACCTGAAAACCTTGGGTTTCAGCTAACAGGTTGAATCCAATCACTACCACGGACTGGTTCCAGTTGGAGTGGAAATTGCAGTACGAGAGAATGGGCCTTTCATTGTCGTCTGATATTTGCTGGAATTCACCATATAGTATTCAAAGTTACCAATCGCAGAAAGATATATGTACCTGTACTATACAGTAGGCCTACATGTAGTTTACTGCTAGATATTGAATAATGCCTATAAAGTGTATGTGCTTATTTTCTACAGTCACGGGGACTTTATATATATATATATATATATATATATATATATATATATATATATATATATAGTATAGCGACAAGTGGGTATATGCACTGTAACAGCAGATTTCACAAAGCTCGTTGCCTTTTAACCTTGATGAATATACCTGAACCCAAAACATCGCGTAACTCGGATAAGATCCCCGTGTATACAAAGCCAATGAAACCCGGTAACACGTGTTACCTGTGCCAGACTGCTTCCCTGGTTAGTACAGGTGAAGAGAGAATCCCAGGCTATGGCGGCTATTTTCTGGACACTGACCCCGCCTGCTGCGATGGCCCAGTCCACGCGAGACTTGTCCACTGGTGAAACTTTAGCAGGGATACCTTGAAAAGATGGAATATGTTGGTTATCTATTTGATTTCGCATTTTGTGAACTATATGACAACACGGTTCCGGAAAAAACACAAAAGTACTGGTAGACTACGGTTGGCTCATAGACTGTAAATTTGAGACGACATTCTGCTAGAGTCGTGCAAAGATTCGAGTAAGGCAATGAAGATTTTAATTTCAGACAATACCAACTAACTTATCCGTGCCATATTCGAGATAACGATGATTCGAGTTACAAAGTGACGTTCTATGCTCAGTCTAACGTAGATTGTTCAAAGCACCTGAGCCGGTGAAGTCCACGTCCACCGTACAATCCCCTCCGAGGTCGTCAAAAGCTTGTATGACCAGCCACAACTCCGTCTGGATTTGATTATTTGCCCGGGCTGATGCAAGAAACTTAAAGAGCTGCAAAAAGATTTTGTCTTTTTGATTAGTTTATGAAGTTTTGACGTCCTTTAATTGTCAGTTGGGTATAATCCAGTGTTTTTTATAAACCAAGTAATAAAAGTTTATCAGAAACGTTGTTTTTAACGCAATCTTTTTGTTTCATTTGACCTCTTTGTGTACTATTATTTTGAACTTTACATATACAAGTAAAACTTCAAAGCGCAGTCTTTGGTGATACGCACCGATTGGGTATTATTTGTGTAGATATCCCCAAATGTAACTGTGTCTGGTAAAAGTGGATTGTGTTTCTTGAGAATCTGGAACAGCATCTGATCACCATCCTTAATCTGCACAGTTGTCTCATTTACCTCATGGTACGACGACCTCCCTAGACCACGCCCCTCTTGGAGAGCTATGACGTCAATGCCAACGTTGGCCAATCCTGTGACTCCATCGGCGTAATCCTCGAGGGCATCGCCACGTGCCTTGGTTAGGTCGATAGATGGAGCTGTCAAGAATTTCTTTCCGCTGTTGCGCACCATTATTGCTACTTGCTTGTAGATTTCGGCGATGTCGTCGATGGTTAAGCCACTTTGACCGGTTGCACTACCCTTTAACCCTTTGGTTAAGTCAGTCAGGACGTTGATATAACCGCCGCTGTATCCCGTCAATGTTTTCTGGTAGTGAGGACCATATCTGTCACTGTGATCGGCCAGAACACGATACACCCACGTTAAATATGACAACACCACCTGGTAACCCGCGGGGTTGCTCTTCAGATCCGGAGGAAGTCGAGGGAGACCGAAGTAAACGCTCATGGCTTTCGAGGAAGCACTTTGGAGGAGGAGGTTTTGGGGATCCGAGGACGCTGAGGAGGTGAACACGACAGATACGTTGGTGCCCGGCTCGAATACGCAGGCTTCACTTCAGAGGATGAAAGGATAGCTGTGACTTGATATTAGGATGTTAACCGTAATGAAATTGTAGAAGCAATGAGAAATTAAGGGACTAATATTATGGATATACGCACAGTATATATGCGAGAGTCAAGATTGTGGTTGGAATATTTCCAGTCTTGCCTTTCAGCTGACAAATCTTAGATTGTCTGGGCGAAGTTGAAGTATATTTTGAAATAACTGCCTAACTTTCTAAGTTGTTCAACAATTTCTTCAAAAGGGATATTATTTTCCCTTGTTGTGTTTTCTGTTAAGATTGCATTTTTCCAGAAGGGAAGAATTTTCAAAGCATATGTCACTTCCAAATTTTTAATTATTTTGCATATAACTTTGAGGGAAAATATTTCCTTACTTTTTACTGCTAGGCTGTATAAAATAGGCCTACACCTACATGCACACACATGCCTTTTGATATTTTTATATAAAAAACTATAGGAAAAACTTGGTCATAACTCACGCTTACCCTCCCCTTCTCCCATTTTCCTTATCGTAATGATATAAATGCTAACCCAAAGCCAACAAAAGTGCTACAAAACAGTGGTTACTTCCCTGTTTAGGCTTACCTGTCTCCCACTGCAGTGGTGTGAAGCACAATTCTATAATAAGTGACTCCGGGCGACTTGACCACAATATTTCTATCCAGGGGACAAGCGAGCATCTTTGGGCCGTATATCTCATTGTTTTCATACGTCACCCATGAAACGATCTTTAACCCTTTCTTGTTTAACTCCTGTTCCGTGTAGTCTGTACATAGGACGCCATTCACCTTGCAGCTGACACAGATAAAACATATTATTTTGACAGTTGACGTTACGTACATTGCGTTTCAGAGATATTTTTATGGGGGGTTAAACGTGTATTCCGTTTCTGGAAAAGTTGTTTGAAGCGAATGTAGCAGCTGTTACTGTCAGTTAATTTTTGCCTAAATTTATTCAAAACGAAGCGCATGCAGAGAAATCTCTGCAAAAATATGTAATATTTCTGTTATTGCTTCAACAAAGTTACTGAAATTATAACTTACTTAGCGAATGCCTCGTCCTGTGAAATGCTCGTTTTGGTTCTGTTATTATACGATGCTCCAACCTGCAGCACCGTGTCGCCACCTATAGCTTTGAACTGGTCTAGAGCAGTATTCCATTCCGACAAGCTGTTTCTTTTGGCAAACCAAGACGCCGTCACGGGGTAGTCGGCCCGTGCCAAAACCGAAAACAGTAGAACCAATGTGCAACTATATACATGCAACGTAGACATATCGACTGGTGCTAGTTAAGTGAGTCTGGCGGTGTGGCTACAATCCGATATGTCTTGTTACGGTGTGGTATCTGTTTATCGAACAGATGGTGATTTTCCCATGACAGGAGTTCAAGGATTTCTTGAGGTGAACTCATTGCGTAATACATGTACATATATAACATTGAAAGACCTCGTTCTGTCCTTTGGTTCTCATATTTTTCAAGCAAAAATACTTTATACCAAGGAACTTCAAGATCAGATTCTTAGATCTGTGTGCGGAATTTGTTTGAGACTGCGTTTTCCAAAGATGTAAGATATTTTTTAGTTTTAAAACACTTCTTGAAATGATCTGTGGGTTGATTTAATTTCATTTATTTATCAAAAAACTTGCAGTTTGGTTGATAGGACGTTGACAAATGTGACTGGAATTGATCTTTTTTCCAGTGGTGTGAGGAATAGTACATTTAAATCGAGTTTGCATTCAAAGGTAACGCTGATCATGGGTAAAGATGTAAGTGAAGCACACATTCAAAGATACATCCATCATGGGTTCCAGCGGAAAGAAATGGCGCGCAGACATACCCACAAAACGCCATTTGCAGAATTTTTGTCATTCCGCATTTTCGTTTTCACACAACACATTTGTCAAACTAAGTAGACTTCAAATAACAATAATTTAATAAATGTTAAATACATTAAAGGGATAATAACTCTTCGTATGATATCTTTATTTCACAATAAAAACATTGTGAACAACTCATAGAAATATAATATATTCTGTTTTACCACAAAAACAGCAGTTATAGCTATTATTCTGGTATCTGAGCTTGTCTTCAGATCACGTGTCTTCCATTGATGGCTATACTCTGTTAAAATCTCTTAAGAGATTTTAACAAAAAACCAAACTTTTTAGAAAAAAACCAGGGACTAACTTTGAATGTAAAAATGGATTCATTAACCATTGGTAAGTATGGGAAAATTGTTGTCTACTCCAGCAAAATTCATTTTTTGGCCAAAACGAAGAGTTATTATCCCTTTAAGGTGAGAGAGAGAGAGAGAGAGAAGGTTTACATCATGCTAAAATGGTTTTAATAATTATGAAAATGAATGATCTGTCGAGAGTATTGTGAAAACAGAGATTAAGGTACTTTTCTTTATTCCTGGAAACATAGTGCATAGTGAATGTGGTTATAGCGTTGTTTGGTATATTCCACGGCCAAGGAGATTGGTGTGTGAAACATCACTGAAGCGTTATCAGTGAGATATGAAAAGTTTTACTAACTGTGATTTGTGAATTAATTAATTTATTTCCCGTGAACTGTGATCACTCCCCCCCTCCTCATGGGACCTTCATTAATATGCCGCTCTCCTCCAGTTTCCCGACAGAAGCTAAGCAGAACCATTGCGGGTTGGGGTTTTTAATTAAAATTAAAACAAGAATTAAAATTCTGTCAGATTTGGACAAATTAGATTTTCTTCAAAGCGAATTCACTAGCAATGCCATGTGGCAATGAACTCACACAGAACATGCGATGAAATTTAAAGTGGCTTAATGACAATGTATAGCCAAGCAACCAAGCTTGATAAAAGGGGTCGGTGTACCAGTAACGTAACATAGCGAAATGTATTTACACTTTATGCTGAAGCTGGGTAAGTGGGTCAAACAGTATGGCTGAGAAGGAGACGTGTTTTGGGAGTAAGTATTACACAAGCGAGTTGCATCAGCGTAAATTAACTAAATTGGGAGAATTTTGGTCACAAAACAGCTTTGTTCTTATTTTTGATACCGCTGTTTGTTATGCAGTTAGATAGCATCTTCGTAGTTATAATGTTCAATGTTACTGGATATGCAAATATAGGTCTGGTAGTAAATATTTTGCATATCCGTATTCTACTTTCCCTTGATACAGTTCCTGACGGGTATACCAAGGCGCCTGCTTTCATTCCACCCAACAAAGATCAATTGAAAAAAATCGCTGAAGACTTGGGCTTGCAACTGTCGCAGGAAGAACTGAACGAATATAGAGGTACATACCGTGCGTGTAAGCTTAGATGTGTATATAGACACACACAAAGGCAGGAATACACACACTTAAACACAGACAGGCACAAGTACCCGTGGTATTATATCTAGGTCTTGTACATGTTAATGCTGCCATATGTGAATGGCAAATATAAAGCTCCATTTGTCGTCTGCGTGATGCACATTGTTTAGCTATCTGACCCACATGTTCTGAAAGGTGCATGTATAGACAGCATAAGCAAGTTAAGCGTTACACTCTGGGTAACAGGTATCCCAACTGAAGATAATTTGCAATTTTGGCCTTGTACATCATTGTCACTAATACTAGCTTTTAATGCTTAGAATTTATGCTCACCCTGGAGGACAAATACCGCATACTTGATGAATTGCCAGAACCTACTTTGCCTGTTAAATACCCAAGAACTCCCGGGTGGCGTCCTAAGCCGGAGGACAACCCTTTCAATGGCTGGTAAAATGTTTTGAACCCTTTGTCTTATACGTTTTATTGTTTGGACTACCACTCGGAATGATATATCGCAACGATTTTTATCTCATGATAGTAAGTCATTAATTAGTGGAATTTAATGTAAAAATTTCGATTCACAGTGCTACCATTATGATCTGTTAAACAAATACGGTTATCACCGAAACGCAACATAGAGGTGCAATTGAGGTCACAGGCATGCTCTTAAAAACATTAAGTGCACAGACTGCAATCTATGTTTGATTATTTTAGGGTCCCACATGAAGAAGTTTGTATCAAAGTTTCACTCTCCTGGAACCCCGAATAATAATCAATAATTCATAGTTTATCCCCAAAAAGGAACATGCGTTACTGTCATAAATGTAAAACGTCCAGCTGTGAAACGTTACACTTTGAAAATTCAGTCATCACTGGTTTTGTTCTTTGATTTGTCTCCTACAAGTAGGCTTATAACGTTGTAAAAAATTATAATAATCTTCCGTATAGAGCTGTTAATTGTTTTATAGCGCCTTTAGTTTGCGTATCATTGAATATTTAAAAACGGGGAAAATTGACACTACCGACAGTAAAATAAGCATTAAATAAATTATTTTTCCCCTTGTGATCCAAATATTATATCAGATATGTCAAACTATCATGGAATCGCGATATATTTTTCGGCCAGCAACAGAAATCGCTGTTTTCTATTGCACCAAGTACTTGACCAAAATGATCCTTTTTGACAAATTTTCTTGGGAACACAGGCCTAATGTGAAGACGTGGTAAAAATTAAATTTTGAATTTGAATTAAGACAGTCATGGATTTTTGTTCTATGCACATATATGTTTTAAAAAATTGAATACAGTTTTGAATTCATTCAATTATATTTTTGGACAATTCGGCATGTGAAGTGCACCTCTTTGTTCGGTTTAGGTGTTATATGGAAATTTGGTTGATTGTTGTATCATATTCAGTTGTCAGAGTTTATATTAGGTACTGGCGTACGGATATTCAAGGTGCCCCCTCTGGGAAGTTGGCTGGGAAAACCCTGGGTATCAAAGACAACACGGCGGTGGCTGGGGTACCTATGATGAACGGGTCCAGGGTGTTGGAGGGCTACATGCCAGAGTTTGATGCCACTGTGGTCACAAGGATACTGGACGCAGGTAAAAGTTGTTGTTTTTTTTTGTTTTTTTGTTTTTTTTTTTGCCATAAACGGTTTTTGCCAAGTGACTTATTCACAATTGATATGGATGCCGTACATGAACGTCATAATGTAATATATTCTAACACAATAACATAATGAAATGCTTGACATAAAGGTCCATTGGCAAAAACATTATAGACATCACGAATAATGTTTAAGTCATTATAACGAATGCAAAGTATATGTATAACACAGCCTTTGATTGCTGAATATATGATGTACATTAGATAACAACTAAATACCACCGCAAACTAACGCCATTGTAATAAAAAAAATCAAATACTTTGCTCGTGTTAATTTCTTTTCTTCGTATAATAGGTGGACGAATTTTGGGAAAAACTGCGTGTGAGGATCTGTGTTTCAGTGGAACTAGTTTTACCAACAGCAAAATGCCGATTTTAAACCCCTACGATGTATCCCGGTCCGCCGGTGGTTCTAGTTCGGGGAGTGGCGCTTTGGTAATTATTTTGATGTACAACGGTTTTAGAGTTTAGCGGTATTCGCACTTCAAGGTTTTTTTTTTTTTTTTTTTTTTTTTTTTTTTTAGGCGCCTACCCTTTCGTAAAGGTTGGATTACTTAAATGTTAGATAATAAGAACGTGTCATGGGTAAAGAAGGAAAGTTCAAAGCGCTAACGAAAGTCTTAAAAGAATAGATATGAACAGATTTGAATGTATATAAAGCATGATGATTGAGGAATAAACACTCAAAGTCAATATTGGCACCAACATTGTTTAGGAATATAAAAGAATTGTTTGCGTTCTATTTAAATAAATCTGATCGCGATTTTTACCAAACCGTGGCTTTTATATTTGTTCTATATTAATCTTCTTTTTTTATTTTTACTTTTTATTAATTTTACAAGGTCGCCGGAGGTCAGATTGACATGGCTCTTGGCGGCGACCAAGGTGGATCTATACGTATGCCTGCCGCATGGTGTGGTATTGTGGGGTTAAAACCCACGTGGGGGTTGGTTCCGTACACTGGCGCAATCGGTATGCACCCTTGCGTTGACCATATGGGCCCCATGGCCAGAACTGTAGAGGACTGTGCTCTTCTCTTGGAGGTAAATTCCAGTAACCGCAGAACATTATTATGGCATTACCATAACATTTATACAACCAAAAAACGTTATGGTAACGTCATAAAATGTTCTGTGTTTGCTGGGAAAGGACATAGAACTACCCAAGGATGGCTTCAGGTGTCTCTCTCCTGTTTCCAAAACACCATTTATGGTCTTAAGATTTTGATGAAAGTTGTGAGAGTAAATCTAGAGACCATTTGATCAAAAAATAAAAAAAAAAGATTGGGCGGGTAGTTCAGTAGGTCATCGTTATTACAGTGTGTAATATGTGGATTTTGCCAAAATTGCGTAAGGGCAGAAATATGCAATGATAAAAATTCCACCCTAGCCATTTAAATCTTATTTGGGTATCTTATAGTTCTTGGTAGGCTTCAAAGCAATTTACAAAATATGACCCTGTAACGAAAGTGTTTTTTCTATTGTTATTTATGTTTCTCAGCCCTGATGGAGGCTTTATGGCCAATAGCAACTATAGGGGAGGGAAAGGGCTGTGGACCCAAGATGTCCTTATCTGGTGTATAAATTGGCAAAGCAACCAATTTAAGATACCCTGGTACCACCGGCCACAGGGGATAGTCAACTTAAGAGCCGCCTATTACTTGACAGTCTCCATAACGGAGCCCTAGTAAATTGAATTGAATTGAACGACACGGACATTCAACCCGATTAAATTTGATTGGTCCACTGGTGTTTGTGAAAAGGGAGTTAAAAACCACTGTAGCGTTGCTGCATGCTAGGACCAGTCGCTTTGGTCCTGTACAGAAAACCGTACCAGCTAGATACTGTACCAGCTAGATGTGAAAAGGACCCAAGAGACATCAGTTGGTACCTTTTCTTACGCTTTTTTTTTCTTTGAGAAGGGTTCACTTTTGTTTTAAACGTTTCAGGTGATCGCTGGTTATGACGACGGCCTTGATCCCAGGCAGGTACATATACCAAACATCGTGGTTCCTGAGTACTCAAAACTGGTGCGTCTTTTCCTCTGATATTCCCTTTACTTCGATATATATTTTTATATATATATATATATGTATTACGCCTAAGATTTTGTCCACTGCAGTACAATGTCAACCCATAGTGGTCTACTTAAAGAGATAACAACTGTTCACTTTGGCCAACAATGGATTTTCCTGGGGTAAAGTACAATTTTCCCATAATTACCAATGGTTAATGAATCCATTCTAATATTCAATCTAGTTAGTTTTTTTTTCTTTAAAAAAGTTTGGTTTTTTGTAATATTCTCAGAGATTATTACAAAGTGTAGCCATCTATGGAGGTCACGTGATGTGATGGCAAGCAAAAATTCCAGAATAATTGCGTTAACCGCCTTTTTGGTGGTAAAATAGCATTTAATATATTTCTATTAGCTGTTAACAATGTATTTATCGCAAAATATGGATATCATGCGAACAGTTGTTATCTCTTCAAATTGTAAGAATTGGCCCGAAACATAAGCATTGTCTTGTCTTTCTTGTTATAAAACCGGTGCAGTGTTTATTCAATTGGACTACTGCTTATTATCCGAGGTCAGAGTAGGCTAAAAACTTACGTCTAAAAGTTGAGATATATTTTCGGGTCAAAGTTCTTTGGTGAAACAGATTGCCCACGAGAGTCTAAAGATCAGAGTTAAGTAGGAGAGAAGAGTTATTATTTAAAAACCTGTACTATTTTTCCTAAGTTGACCGCAGATCTCAAGGGCATGAAAGTGGGCATGATAAAAGAAGGATTCGCCAAGTGTGACAGCGTTGTCGAGTCCACCATTCGTAGTGCCATGCAATATTTTGAGGAAGCCGGTGCCACAGTGGAGGAGACTAGCATCGGTATGCATATCACCGGTACGTTAACCGAGCTGCTTTTTAGATTGGCATGTTACAATTGTGCAGATATGTCACTTTGCATTGAATGTAGCTGTACCATTAGATCTGAGTTACCATTAGATCTGAGTTTTATTGGTAATCATCATAAACTAATGTATTTCTCCATTGACAAAGACGAAATTCCTCAACTTATGCACTATGCAGTTCATTAAAAGGCTTCGTTTTTTTTATTATATTATATTATATTATATTATATTATATTATATTATATTATATTATATTATATTATATTATATTATATTGCACCATTCCATTTTATTAACCTTCGTAGGTGAATGCTTTGTGGTACCTATCTTATATGAAGGCACTTATGAAACCATTGTGAATCTAACATGTGAGTAACAATAATAAATGCGGGTAAAAAGACTATATTATATAGTGATCCTGATCTAAATATAGACAAAATGATACAAAAACTGACAGCACTATGCCTTAATTAGGCCCACCGTTTATCTTTTTATTCGTCCAAGATTGACATAACAGCAGAGCGAACAACTGTGCCGATGTAATTATTTTTAAGTATACTGTATTCGCCATTTATAATTGCATTTACGCCTTTATTTTATTTATTTATTATCATTTTCTTTTTGGAAAAAAGATTATTACCACAGCAAGTAAGAAAGATCTGGTTATATTTAGTTTCATGTGCATGTCATTGCAATGCAGTGTCCACTGTGTGCACGTTGTGTGATCCCAACCTAAATTAAATGTTCTTTTCTTATAGCTATTTTTGGGTTTCCTGGAATTTACCCAACTGCCATGGAACAGGCTGCAGCTCGTGGAATGAGGACGCATCTCAATGATGTATCTCATACGCTCAAGGGAGTGACCTTGGTCGGAGCGTACACCAAACAACGTTACAACCACATCCACTATGCTAAAGCCATGAACTGCGCACGACTGCTGCGGAAGGCCTATGACGACGCTCTTGCCAAGTATGACGTACTCGTCCTGCCCACTATGCCTTTTTTGCCAACAAAGCTGCTAGAAAAAGGATGCAGCGTCAAAGGTTGGTAATTCTTGATAATAAAAAATTTAACTCCGTAAGAACAATCACTGTTGATCATATTGTACAGTACACGTTGTGCATACTCCTTGTAATACCGATTTTAGTGCTACATCTGCGTGTATGAGCAGTATATGGTACAAATTAGCTTGAAACTGAAAGCGTTTTTGTTTACACCACAATAACCAGTACCAACTATCATTTCAGAAACTTTAAAACGAGTCCAAGATATGCTTATTGGCAAACCACAGTTCAATATCACACACCACCCAGCCCTTAGCATTAACGCTGGCTTTGCAAATGGGCTTCCGGTTGGCCTAATGATCGTAGGAAAGCATTTCGATGAGGTCACAGTGCTCAAGGCTGCGTACGGATTCGAGAAAAAGCGAGATGAGAAGTGATGACGTGTTCTCTCAAGCTCTTTGAAGTATGTCGATTGTAAAGTAACATTTATAGATATTCCCCTCAGTAAGAAGACTATTTGAAATACTCATACATATGAATATTAAATCGAGGGCATTGGGGATCCGCTTACAGGCAATCCAACTATATAATAAAAATAATACTTCTCTGGTTGTACAATATACATGTAGCTGTGCTGCTTTTACGCGGGCTTCTGCACTACATAAACCAAGATCGACTAAGGACTAGAATCAAAAATGGATTTTCTAAAGGTTAAAATTAATGACCGTCTCATTTTATCAGTTTTCTCAAATGCAACACCAATTAAATCCACTTGAAATGATTTATACTGACAGTCAATGAAAAGGCATCATTTATTTATCAAATAATATTTTAAGTTCCTTTGGCACATTAAGAAAATAACAGTTTTCATGTGAAATATGACACATTATTCAGTCACACAACGTAAAATAAAGGTCAGAAAAGATCATTAAAATAAGATTATTAAAATGCAAGGTCACATGATCAAATCTCTTTGGTTCCGCCCAGCCTCCAGCATCCCCAGGGCCCGCAGTCACTCTTCCAGTGTCAGACGTGGCATCACAGAACTTTTTTGTCATGTGTCATACTGAATTTGGTGACTACCTTAAATAGGCTTAATTAATCACCATATATTGAACCTGATTAATTAACAACAAATCAGGAAAAACACACGATATTGTAACAGCTGATCACAAAATCAGCTGATCACAAAATCTGAAATTTTAAACATCCGAGTGGTCAGCCCACTCTCTTATGACCAAACAAGTGCATTTGTACTCGTTTATATGGTTGGAATCGATTCTCGGTAAAAGTATTAGAGTACAAAAGAACAAAGTTTTCAGATAAGTTTTCAATGACTGTCAGTATATATTGCATTTTTTCAACCATATTTTTGCCTTTTGAATGATCCATAGGTTTTGTAAATACATGTGATATCTTGATATCTATATTCTTTTTCTATAAAGAAAATTAAAACAGAGTCAGCAACATACAATGACAGGAGTGCTTTATTATCATATTATAAATGGACAGTAAAGAACAAAGCAGTTACTTTTCACAGGAGTGAAATCAAGCTATGAATCTCCAAGGTTCCAATATCACGGTCATCTTTTCCATATACTGAACACAACAGTGATGGGTAGTGTTCCAGAGATTTTAATCTTATAACTGATTGATCCCGAAGTTTCTTCTTCTGGTTGAGAGATCTAGGGTCTCCTAAGACAGTAATAATAATTAAGCAATCTTAGAATAAGTGTGGTAACTTGAAGCAACATGCCACTATAGGTTAGTGAGACTGAACTGTCAATTGTCAATATAATATTTGTCAATCCACTGGTGCCAATCCTCCTTTCCTACAAAACTGATTGAGACTGCCAAGCCCAAGATGCACATTTGTTATGGGGGATTGTCCCAACGTAGCTCAGTTCGCCAGAACATCCACTACTGCATCTACCCAAAGATGGCAGGGCAATCTCAACAGGCTGTCAAAAGAAAATGTGTTAAACATATTTTAAACTTATGTTAATTGCTGTAAAAAACAATGACTAAATAATATACAGTACTGATCAAACATATTGCATAAGTAAAAACAATGATTGAAAATGAAATCAAATATGCATGATTGTAGCTACCAGAATTTCATGATAGAAAAAGAAACAAATGAGAAAAGGTAAACCTTTTTTCTTCTCTGTGGAAGTGTTCCAGGCATTACAGAGTTGGTGCTCACATCTGAATTTGATGAATTTGCCCGTGCAATTTCAGGTGACTCTTCTATTATTGTCTGTACGTAAGATTGTCCAGGTCAAGGTTCGCATCCAGGATGTAAAATCTGAAAAATAAACATTATACATCAATAAATGCTTTACAACAACAGAGGCTTACTGTGTTCAGAATAGAAACTATCATAGCAGGATCAATCTATCTCAACGGAGTATCACACTAAGGCTCAGTTGTTTTAATCAGCTTAATTGTCTGGCACGCCCCCTTGCAAAGCAACATGAAAAACAAAATGGAGCGCAAAGTTTTCCTGGTTTTTCCTAAAGTACTTTTAGTTACAAGTGTTCTGTGTAATATGTAAGTCTTGAAAATTGAAGCACAGTGTGTTACAAATTCACATAAAGCTAGTTTGTTAATTTTGACTTCATTGTAAACACACATAAATCTGCATAGTGAATATAAAACTAAAATATAAAAAAACTGGCACAAGTAACATCCCCTAAAATGCCATGTGTGTTCCATACCTTTGATTCTGGGTAAGGAATTTCTAATGAAGCTGCTTACAGGCTCAGTTGTCACATGTAACAAAGCCCTAGAATTTAATGCACAAATATACTCATAAGTTTGATACACAGTTAATTCTTTTCAGTAGACATGAAATAGAAATCAAGTAAAATCTGTGAAATATACCAGTACGTCTTTTAATTTTGCTTAATATTCTTTACAATTTACAACTAGCAAAGGTCTTCAGGGCCATAAGTCACACCTTAAAAAGATGCAGAAGATTGGTCATAATAATAAATAATGCTTATAACAGCACAATTAACACTTAAAGGGATAATAACTCTTTGTATGAGATCTATATTTCACAATAAAGACATTGTAAACAACTCATAGAAATATAATATATTCTGTTATAATAAAGTAGAAGTATCATGGATATTCAGAAAACGTGATTAGCAAAGGTCTTTAAGCCATTGGAAGTTCAAAGTCACACCTTGAAAATGTCGATATGTGAAAATTTTAATTCTAACACAAAACTATATAATTACCAGAAAAGTTAACCGATAGGACAGGTTTTTCAACTGAAGCTATATTTTAGCCCTATGCTACTGATCTGTAAGTTTGAGAAGAGTAAGTGATGTGGTTTTCCTTTAATGGTCACTATGGAGGCAGTGCCCAAAATATGGTTGTTAATAATAAAATAAAAGTATCATGGATATACAGAAAATGTGACATGGAAAGGTCTTCAAGGCCATGGAAGTTCAGAGTCACACCTTAAAAATGCCAAAAAGTAAATAAGAGATAACTGTACTGAAATGATTTTCTTTCCATTTTCAACACTTTTTTTACATAAAACAAAATAATCAATTTACTGTCATTTTTAAATGATCAACTAAAAAAATTGCTGACATAAGAAAAATATCAATAAGACAATTTTAAATGTCCAATTTGCTCCATTCTGAGATTCTGAACATAGTGAATGATTAAATTTGACAAACTGTAAAGATTTGAGTTTTTTTCCCATTTTTGACACTTTATTACACAATACACGGTGACAATAACAGGTTTACCATCATTTTTATATAATCAACTAACAATATTGTTCAGATGCAGAAAATGTCAAAAGAACAACTTTACATATCTAATTAGTTCAAAAATGAGACTTGCCTGAAAATTAAATTTGAGGAAAAAAAAACATTTGTATACCAAAAAAAGGCATAACTTCACCAAAACTTAACTGATCAAGCTTATTTTCAAAACTTAATCTGTATTTCAGTAACATTGATAACTCCTGTGAATTTCAAGACAATTGGCCAATCGATTTCCCTTAAAATGTGATATAGGTGTTGCATATATGCTGAAAAAAGTGAAAAAAAAAACAGCAAACTTTTATAAAAATGGCCTGATCATGCTGATTTTCGAACTTGACCTGCGTATTATGAGTATTCATCAGTTTTGTAAGTTTCAAGCTAAAAGGTAAAACAGTTTTTCTCTTATCGTGTTGCATATATGCTGAAAATAGTGAAAAAACAGCATAACTTCCAAAAAATTAACATCCGAAGAGCAATTTTAAATGATTTTCGGGTTCATTAGAGAACACGACAGCTCATTAAAGTCTGATAATTCCTTTTTTTTTTTTTTTAATTTTGGCTTCTCTCTTAGTCTCTAAGCAGTGCTTGAAATGATGCGAATTTAGTAAGTGTTAGAAGGGGCGACTAAATCCAAACCTGGTTCGCCTTTTTCTTTCTGAATGATCCCCCTTTTCTTCAGCCCAGAGCCAAGGCTGCAGGGAGCGGCATCGCGTCGAAAAATTAAGCGTTTGCTTAGATCTACAAAAGCGTGCTTTCACAGTTGGAACGATATTACCTTCTTCACAGAAGAGTTCCGAGCACGATCCACGCATGCGTGAGGACTACGAATCGCAGCAGACGACAGACATTGTCGAAAATTTGTGTATGCCAGTATTACAGGTGCCATCATTGCTTTCATGTTTGTAATGGCGCTAATCTCAACAAAGAACAAACCGAGCTTAGGTGAGTAGAAACATCCTTGTTCGATCGGTGTTTATTAGGAAGTCAAGACGCGCTATTAGTTTGAACATAGAAGTAGATTTTCTCTACTTCTATGGTTTGAATAAATGTGGTCGTTTACTATTTGAAGCGAAGGCAATGGAACGCTAAATTTTCAAGCATGTCAGATTGACTTCAGCTAGCATGCATTTTTATTTAACGTGAATATACCACTTATAATATATGGCACACTTCCAATGCTTTCAGAAATTGTCAGCGGACCCAGCATTAGCAGATGCTCCATCGCAGTGGCCGCATGGTGCCCAGAGGAAACTAATCGCCAAATTCCACGGCGCCGTGAAATCAGTGTACAACGGTTTCCAAAACCGACACCAAAACGTTATTCGGTACCATCGCCGACGGTGGTGGCTGCAGAGTGGAATTCACCTAAACCTTTTGGTCCATCTGATGGTCCAGCATCTGAAGATTTCGCTAAAGGAATCGACATCTTTAACAAGAATGACTGTCCGAATCCTGGCCATTTATCTCGCTCTTTTTCTGCCGGCATCCTTGGCTGTAGGGTTCAGGTTAAACTACGACAAGAAAATCCCATTTACAACCAAAATCTACGTTGATGATCTTTTAAAATTTCTGTTGTTTGCCGACAACAAAAATCCAAGGACTTCGAAAAGAATATTTAAAAGACTTTTGTCAAAAGGGATAATCCTGCCCTTCTAATAATTTGAAATAAAAACAGAAAACCAATTACTAAGCACACGTATAATATGAGGAATGTAAATTTGTCGTTATAGCCTATTTTAAAATTTTCTCAAACAATTTATAACATGTTCTAACATTTCCCGTTTAAAGTTGAATAAATTGTTATTATTTTTGTAACATGTATTTTCATCATTATCAGGAAGTCTGTTAAAAATATTTTAAATTTTTATTGTTTGTGTACACAATGTTTTAAATATTCTATTACAGAATGTACGTAAATAAAACTGCAACAATCCAAACTTCTTATTTCATTTTATCCTTTACTGCTTGCTGATAAGTCTTTCTGATAAGCCTTTATCAATCATCAAAACCTCACCCTGCCTATCCTACATGTAGGCTACGCCTACGTGTGCATTTGGGGACTTTCGGACGATCTTGTATTTTAGGCATTGATTGGATCATTGACTAAAGCAGAGGTCATTGATTGGACAAGGGATGAACCGGGATTAGCTGAAAAATGACGTACCTGAAAACCTTGGGTTTCACCTAACAGGTTGAATCCGATCAATACCACGGCCTGGTTCCAGTTGGAGTGGAAATTGCGGTACGAGAGAATGGGCCTTTCATTGTCGTCTGATATTTGCTAGAATTTACAGCATATTGTAAAACGCAAGCTGTGATCAAAGTAACCAATCGCAGAAAGATACGTACTAGACAATACGTGTAGTTTACTACTAGATATTGAATAATGTCTAAATGTGCTATTTTCTACATGAATAATCAAGGAAGTAGTTGAGGTCTGTCAATGTATTACAGACACGGGGGCTTTATGTATATAGCAATAAGTTGGCACATGCACTGTAACAGCAGACTCCGTAACCTTGGTGAAATTCTTCTCTGATTTATACATGATTTTTACATGCAGGTATTTTAAATGTAATCATGGCGCGTAATATGTGAAGGCGATGATGTTGTAGGAGCTGTTGCGTTTTACAACCATCTGCCTGAGTATTTATTCTAAAAAGTGTTACTAGCTTTTTCCAGCTTTACCTTAATACACCCTGTTTCACATACAGAGCAATCTTACCAGTAATATGCATGGGAATACTGGTTTCTTCCACAGTGGCACCGGCTGCCTCAAACCACTGCATGGAGGCCCGAATGGTGGAATCTATGTCTTTGTCGCATTTATCAAAGCCTTCTTTTACCAAACCCACTTTCATTCCAGTCAAGTCTGCAGTCAACTAGAGGAGGATTAAGATCAAATAAATAAATCATCTCGCTAGCGTGATTTTTTTTTAGTTTGGAAAGATCTATGTCTATTTCATTAAACAAATGGTAAATTTTTCTAATGCCATTTCTAAATACATGTACTTAAAGGAAAACTGAGAAGAAAATGTTACAAAAATATGTTTGAATTTCATTTGAAGACAACGTATCGCATTTCTATCCAGTGTAAGCTGTGTATATATTTAATTTGGATAAGCCTTGTGAGAAGTGTAACATGCTATAACTCCAGATATAGATACTTTGCATATTATAACATGCAACATCACGTACTAGTTTTGAATACTCAGGCACCACGATGTTTGGCGGCTGTCTGGGGTCAAGGCCGTCATCGTATCCAGCGATCACCTGAATTGAGGCAAAAGAAAGAACAGTTATGGTTTATATGCTTACTAAAAATATACGAAATAATGACTACATATTCACAGGACATGCTACATGTAACTTCGAAAACTGAGTGCATCAGTAATTAGGCCTACACGCGTTTTACCCCACTTGATTTCCTTGCTTGTTCTATTTACAAAATGATCAATGTAAAATACAGTTTAGAAACCTTTTGACCGATAATATATTAAAACAAGGAATATAATCTCTATTTACCTCTAACAGCAGGGCGCAATCTTCCACTGTTCTTGTCATGGGTCCAAGATGGTCCAGGAAGGGCTGTACGGAGGACGCACCGGTGTACGGAACCAACCCCCACGTGGGTTTTAACCCCACAATACCACACCATGCGGCAGGCATACGTATAGATCCACCTTGGGCGCCACCAAGAGCCATGTCTATCTGACCTCCGGCAACCTTTTTAGAGACATCGTGATCAGTTACTGAGACTAAAAGATATTGCAGAAATTGGCATCAAGTATGCTTTCTTTTTCATATCTTGGAAACAAAAATTGCGCGAGGGAAATATATATGTATTGCTCTAATGGCCGTAAACCTAAACCTATCGATATTCCACTGAATTTATTGAACCACGTAGATCCTCGGATCCGATTAAGTTTAACTTAAATAATTTTAAATGCTAATTAAAATCGTCCTGCTTACCAGAGCTGCACTTCCAGAACTAGAACCACCGGTTGTACGTGTTGTATCATATGGATTCAAAACAGGCATCTTGCAGTTGGTGAAACTACTTCCACTGAAGCATAGGTCTTCGTTTGCAGCTTTTCCAAGAATCCGTCCTCCTGAAATGTGAAGAAAAATGTATGATTGAAATAATTCCTCTCTGAACCTGCTGTCAAATTTCATTGATTTTTTAAAAAATAATTTATTTTCTTACAAATTTTGGGTATGGATTACAGAAGGCTGGCCTTTTTTATAAAGTCTGATACTTGATCTGATAAAAGTAAATCGCATACCTGCGTCCAGTATCCTGGTGACCACAGTGGCATCAAACTCTGGCGTGTAGCCCTCCAACACCCTGGACCCGTTCATCATAGGTACCCCAGCCACCGCCGTGTTGTCTTTGATACCCAGGGTTTTCCCAGCCAACTTCCCAGAGGGGGCACCTTGAATATCCGTACGCCAGTACCTAATAATATTTTATTCGATACAAGCCGAAAATCTGTTAAAGAAGGTTGATTAAAAAAATAAAATATGGCGAATGGTAGACATAAATTTGCAATTGGCGTATGCAAATGTTGGACAACTTCATATGATGAAACATCGCACATCTTGTATTCAAACTAAACACTTATTTAAGATAGAGTAAACTGAGCGTTCCTGAGAATATTTACCAGCTATTAAAAGGGTTGTCTTCTGGCTTAGGACGCCATCCGGGAGTTCGAGGGTACTTAACAGGCAGCGTTGGTTCTGGCAGTTCATCTAGTATACCGTAATCCTCTTCCAGCGGGAGCAAGCACTCTGAAAAAAAGGCACCGATGTCAAATAGCGTATTTGGCAAATAAACGTATATTTAATAAGAAAAAGACGGAAGGTACAGAATTACGACCAAAGTAAAAGTGGATAGATAGGTAGATCAGTGGAAAGGTGACAGATTTATGAAAAAACGGCCCTAAAAGTTCATAAACAATGTGCTCAGACATAATCCATATTTTGTGTGTTTGTTTGTTTGTTTGTTTGCTTGCTTTCTTGTGCTAAATGTTGCCTTGGGGAAATCACTAAATATACACCCACTTTTCAAAAATTATTAATATAACTAAATGTATTATGTTTACCGTTACGAGTCTCTATTTGTATTATGGAAGAGACTGACAGACTACAAGTCTGTGAACAATTGACGACATGGCACTAGTTTATCTTCACTTGGTAACACTGACAGCAAAAAAGGACTCATACTGAGTCTTTTAGCGACTCCAGCAGCGGGTCCTAAATCAAGTCCCTTTGAGGATTTCTCCGAGTCCTTTAATGTAAAAGAGACTCCAGCTAGCTAGAGTCCCTTAGAGACTCAACTGGAATCAAGGGACTCAAGACGATTGAGTCTTTTAAAGGACTCGAAAGATTCTTTTAAGGGGCTCTAGCTATGAATTTTAGTCCTTTCAGAGCCTCCAGATGAGGCTTATAGGGGAATCATTTTAGTCTAGTGAAGACATTTAAAGACTCATCTGGTCCTATTTTAAAGGGGAATTTTTCAATGAAATTGTGTTTTCAGCCTTTTGCAAAGTGATACAACACTTAAAGCAAAACAGTGATAGTTTGAAATGAGTTGTTGCAAAAAATAAACTAAATGTTTTTTTTTTTGATAAATATTTCTATTTGCAGTTAAAAACAGCAAGTTAACAAATCCTCTTTTAGAAAAGCATGCAATAGCCATGGAATCCAATACCTCGATCAAGATACAAACAAATCCTAAATGATAAACATGAATGTATTGCATTTACAATGGTCATGAACATAGAACTCTTCTTGGAAAACTTAACTCGACCAGTTGTCCCAAAACCTGGGACGACCTTTAGTTGAATTTCTTAACTAATCTAGCCACTAAGCCACCGAAACATTTTAACAAAATAAATGCTTTCTTAAAATATTTCCATAACACACAACCAAAAAACATGTTCCAATCGAAAGAATGTGAAGTAATTTTTACAGCTTCCAAAAGATAATATAAAATATAATATGAAAGAAATGATTATTCATAGATGCAGCATCTTGCTGCTTACAATACAAACATTATTCACACAAAAGGAAACAAAGTTTCTGAAGACTCTGACCCTGGTATTCATCTTAAGTTAATGTGAATGGCTTATTATAACCAGTCTACTTGAAAATATCGTTTTAACTTATAAGAGTCAACATTTTAAAGTTTATACTTTATAAAACTAGAAGTCATGACAAACTTTTCCATCCATGTACAACTCAATGTCTTTGTCATGGTCACATGAACTAAATTCCTCATTTTTTTGAAAACTCGAACACCAATTTTTTGAGGAACAAAGTGGTGTCTCAGAACTTCAGAGGCAGATCTATTTTTTTTTTCAAGAAACTTTTCCTAAAAAAATACAGCCTTATAACCAGATATGCCAGAAAAAATTTTGGTCCTCAATAAATTAAGTGTAAGGAATTTAAAAGAGCTGGCAAATTGGCTAAAATTAAGTGTAAGGAATTTAAAAGAGCCGGTAAATTGGCTAACCTGTAATAGTTTGAATACTTATCAATGAATAATGGTTCCATAGTGTTTATGAATGTATTCTTGTCAATAAGGTAGTCTGCTTGGGCAAAACCTTAACCTTATTTGTATGCCCAATCAGGACTTTCTGAATGAAAGTCAGGTGCCATAAAGGTTGGTTGAATATGCCATGTTAAAGGCAAAATAAGTGGCCACCAGGAACATCGACAAATGAATCAACTGTGACAGTTTTCACATTTTCAGATAGATGTAAAATTTTGTCTCTTGACATAAAGTCTCCTGAGTACTGGAAGTAATTATAGGCTGAACTGAATCTCCCAGACAACTGAATTTTCGAAGCAGGCATCCACATTCTTCCTTCAAATGAAGCGGCAAACACAGCACACCAGGTAGCATCTACATGTAAAGAAAAATATATACTCATTATCATCTACTAATGAGATGTAACAAATGATGAATATACTTTACATTTGCAGTAAACTATGTATGAACTGTAGTCTTCAATGTCTAAAGAATTGTTTCATGATTAAGTGCAGGATCTAAAAATAAATATGTCATTGCATATATAAGTAATGTGCAAGTGAAAATAACTCGTAGCAGTTACATTATTTTATGAGTAGAGGATCAATGCAACCGAGGATAATTTTATTGGGACACTAAAGCGTTCAATTTCAAGGTTTTCATCTCAATTATCCCAAAAGGAAATAACTGTATATGGATTTAAAACCCCCTGGTTTTGCGAACCCATATGAGGGCGGGCATAAGTTGCCAAATTTTTTTGACGTCATCATTAGACCCACAATCTGCAAAACCATATCACACTGAAGAAGAAAGCAGCCTAAGCCTGGCTTGCGGAAACTCCTGACATTTTTATAAGGTTATTTTGCCTTTATTTTGAGACAATAAAGAATGATGCAAACCATGAAATTGAATTCAATGGCTTTTTAGAGGGAAGCATTTCAAAAGGAACTGTTAAAATATTGAAAATTAAATGGTACATACACTTTCTGTCAACATCAGAGCGTGCAGACGCCATATAGCTTCTTTAGCCTCTTGCAGTTCACTAGAGAGTCTCCTCATGGAAGCTCCTTTTCCTTTGGGCTGTGGCAAATTGACAAGACCTTGTTCATAAAAATCCAAGTTTTTGGCCATTGCTGACTTAATATCCTTCTCCGATAGCCTTGTGAATTCATTGAATAACTGAAAATAAGTAAACATTTTAATTAAAGATAAATTCAACAGATAAAAATATGAATGTATTCTAAAAATTGATATGGTATAATATGTTAAGATTAAAGGTAATTTTTCCTAACTAGCCTATCAAACTTGCTAGCCAGATCAAACACCGAAAGCCTTTTTTACATGAACTGATCTTTTAAAACAAGACTGTAACATAATAACAGATAAACACGACCACAAAAGCGGAAGTTTAGCCTGACCTCTGTGGTCCAATTTCAGAAACACAATGACCTGATTTTCTACTGCTACCAGTATATCACAGCAACAGGCCCGAAAAGGGCTATGGGTCTATAACTGATCGTCTCAATATGGTCTAAAGCACTCAATGATATGAAACTTTAGGAAATTAAAAAAAGACTAAGTCTAAAACCGTTAAATACTTAAAAGTTTTACTTGCCAAAACAAGAAACGTGTGTGAAGGCTTCCTCGTGGTACCTGACGGATCTGTCATCACCACCAATCACGTGACTAAAAAAACCGCCAAAGTGAGTCTTTAAAAGGACTCAAAGCTTGCAAAGCCCGCCAAAGTGAGTCTTTAAATGGACTCAAAACTTGAGTCTAGCTTGAAACAATGAAATCGTTAGGTTGGATTCCTTAAACAGACTTGAGTGAGTCTGTTTTGGTTAACATTGAGTCTCTAAGGGAATACAGCACCCTGGAGGCCTCTGAGAGAATCGGTTGAAGCTTTTTTTTTCTCTCAGTGAATGAATAAAAAAAGTATCAAAATTTCCAAGAAATGGTCAATTTTGCTATAAAGGGACCTGTGATCAGCGTAGTTCGTTGGCCTATATTCTCAAATAGCTATCTGGTGTTGCACACGCAGCCATGTTTGTCATTTTTTAATTGTCCCACACGCGCGTATGTGAAAATAAAATTCGAGAAGTAACAGATTACTTAACTAAACTAATTCTACTCCGACAATTTTGTGTGTGTGTGTGTGTGTGTGTGTGTGTGTGTTGTCGGATGCATGTGGTTATGCAGTACATGTACATGTACCTCTATATGCAGTGAGCTCTTCCTCTGACAGTTCAAGTCTCAAGTCCCCTGCGATCTTCCTCAGCTGTTTTATGTTGGGCGGGTGGAAAGCCGAGGCCTTGGCATACCCATCGGGAACTAAAACAAGTTTTAGACATCTTAAGACTTCATGTATATAAATATATACTTAATGAAAAAAGCACCATCAAGTAGGTGATTATTTTATTGACACGTGCTTCACAGTTAAAATTCTTCATTGATGACATACGCGTATTTCCGTAGATAAGCCAATCATGTCTGCTCTTCCGAAATTGCTTGACCATATCATACTTTGGAAATGTTGCCAATACATGAGAATGTGTTGTTGTAACCTGTCAAACTACAGGTAAAGGTACCAGTATATTCTTCTACAGTAGGCCTACAATACTTCCACACATAAAGGAAACCCTTGGATCTGTCAGCTCACAGTGGATAGCGTTTGAAATCACGATAAACTGGCCCGAGGGCCATAACGATGGTAATTATTAAATCTGCCATGCTTTTAATTCCAAAAATAAAGTTTTAATGCCCCTCTCAATAATACCTATGCTAGTAGCACTGCTACTACTGGGTTACTACCATACAAATAGATGAAAACACAGCAAAACAACACAACCCTTACAAATATGCAACTTCTTATATCCTTATATATTCTTATATAAAGTGCTGTATTCACACGTTATCAGAACTAAACCAGCATGCCCAATATATCAAAGTCTCACCCCCAAAACATGCTTGCTTCTCGGCCATTTTGTTCTAATCACACTAAATGCTGCAGTTAGCTGTTATCATGAAAGCGCAGTTCCTGCAGTATATTAGGTCACCCAAAGTAGGTTAAATGCACAATAAAGAAATAAAGTATTGATATTTTGACTTTAAAGTCAGAGTAAAGAATCAGTACGTTTTTTAACTCATATCACGAGTTGACGTCCTATAGATAGCTATTGTAGGAACACAATCATATTAAGGTTTAACTGTTTATTTGTTTGAATTGTAAGTGCCTGAAACAGCAATTACATGTAGCTTACATCAGTAACTCTATTCCGTGCCGATGTGGCAGGAGCGCACGTCCTGGGAATGCAAGTCCTAGGGCATGCATTTCTAGGAATGGCAGTCCTAGGGCATACGTTAATAGGATTCAATGTCGGTAGGACGAAGGCTTCCAAGTAATGCAAGTCCTACGTGTAGAAGTGCAGGTCCTAGTTGGACGTGTATTTCTAAAATTTTAGGAACGCATGTCCTATACAGTTTACACAGAAAAAATTATATGAATAAATAGATATAGAGATATACTAGTTTTAAAGAAAGTTTTTTAGTTTTATTTTCATATTTTGCGATGTTTTGATTTTCTGATAGGCCGTTTATATCGATTTTTTAATAAAGTAACAAAAAACAACACAGCTTTTATAGTTTTTCTTCATTTATATATTATGTATATTTTTTCTACTCATTGTGAATTTTGAAGTTAAAGATGTGCAGTTAAACTAGTTGATCTTAAAGGTTCTTTAATCTGCAACATTTATTTGGGAAGCTATAACCTCTGACCTTCCCATACTATCAAATGAGGGAAATATCACTTTTACACAAAACACAGGATCTCCGTTCTGAGATTAATTTTTCGGTTTACACTCGCAGAAATTGAAAAATAACCTCGAACTCAATGGAAATTTGTTCTTGAATAGTTTGGACTGAGGATATAAGACAAATCAAGACAGTTGAGTATTTGAAAAAAATACTATTTACCCATAAAAGTATTCTGTAATATTTCATTGCGATTTTGCCGGTGCATGGTGTCTTACCTTCCTAACATCAGGTATAAGGGAGAGTATCCAGTGGTATGGTGTTTTGCCGTGCTATAACCAAACGTAACTTGGTGTAACTGTCGGACACAGTCAAGTATTTTGGGGTAAAAGTAGACAAGAAAAAATGCTTTATTTTGTACCTGTAGCGCTTTCGTAAAACTATTCTGGGAAAATAAACGAAATACATGTATATGATGATGCCCCATGCAGACTGTTTGACAACCCACATTGAAAAACGAACGTATTTTTTCCTGACTGCCTGGATAGCTTTAGGTTGTATTTACAATAAGGTTTTGACGGCTGAAGTTAGCGCGCAGTATTGTTACCCAAGAAAGAAATCCACAGACTAAAGTACACAAGACATCTTTCGCGATCTGAGACTCGAAAATCCAGCCAGCAGTGGAGGTTAACATGAGGACAAACGTGTCTGGTGAACCAAGAAGTTGTAAAGACTTCTTGGGTGAACTATTTTTCTACTGATCTGAATAGATCTAGGTCATTGCTCAGTTGTAAGTTCTTGTAACACCAACCCGCTAGTGGGTTATTTTCAGCTTGCATGGTACAAGGTTGACGCGCATCCAGACGTAACGGTAAATAAATCTTGTGTCACTCAAAACCAACAGCGGACTCTCGGGGTCCCAGCTGGCAACGTTCCCCATTTTTTTCAAAGGTACCTCATTATCCCCCTTCAAAATTAATTAATTAATTAATTAATTAATAATTTTTAATAATATGCTTGGCACCACCAAGCAATATTAATTCTAATTCCAATTCCGTCCCAATGCCTTTAATATTACAGTAATTTTTTTACGTCTACTATTTTAGACTATATACAAGGTACAAATTATTTTACCCCTCCCCCTTTAACCTAACATCCCCAAGTAAAAACAACGTTACGTTCTGCATGTTGACAACGTGCCTGAATTCACTTACTCCGCGATGTCTTTTCTCTCGTTGCCAGAAGCAGTTTTATCATCATTCAATGTCACACAGACAATATAGCTTATCTAATATTACACTGGTATTATATAATTTGATGGGCGTATTTTTCTCTTTTTTTTTTCACGAATTCCATCTGAATTCGCCGAAAAGACAGTATGGGACGGTGTCTCGAAACTGAGGGTCCGTGTGACAGAAATTTCGCCCAGCATATAGTTATAACGGATTGAGTTAGTTTGACCTAAGTGGGTCAAAATCTAGGGTGAGGTTCACCTGTACAAATGAATGGGAAGCGGACTCTCTGTCGTGGGGGACTTTCTCGTACATGACACCGGTTTCGCAAAAGAAATTAAGACCTACATGTACACTTGAATTTAAGCCACATTTTTCGTTTACCTTGACCTTATACAGATGTTTTATTGAACTAATAAAAATCGATCCTAAATTGAGGAAGACCGAGAATTTTTGTTCTGAAAATCAAGACCAACATTAAGTCTAAAGATGTTTTTGAAACCACCCCCTTAAGTTCCACGTGCAACTCTGACAGAATCGCATTGTGACACGGCACTGCCTCGAGCGAATAATATAACACTACCTCATTCTGCAAATTGCCTCGTCTTACGAGCTCGATCTAGTTATCAATTCAAGAGTCGTTTTCTAGGTCAGCGGAACGGCTGTCAGAGTGCGAAAACACAACATGGCGGAGACGAAAGCTAGTTTCGGAGGTAAGGTTTTGCTAGATTTGCACAGGTACGAAGTGAGTAGTTCTAGTAGAAGTAGTGCTTTTGCTAAACTTGTGCATTAAAAATATAAACAACCTGTATACAAAGGTTATTTTATTATGTCTCTCTTCTTCGTAAGTGCATGGATCAAAATTGCTGACTACCCTTGAAGTCTGTCACATCGGATGAAGGATATGCTGTCTCTACTGGCATGATTTGAAATCCTTTTATTTGTACAGAGATATGTGTGAGTGTGCTAGATGACTTAAATTCCCGATTGCTCTAGACCTCCACTCTACATGTGCCTCTCACAATCCATCGGGCAACGCAAATGTTGATTTTACTATTTTTAGTAATGCAAGCAAGAATCTTTAATACGAGCACGAAGTAAATGCTTGACAAGCGCCATTTGGATAGGGAATAAGGTGCACCGCGAATTCATACAGCTAGCTGGTATGTTTGTGGATGGGCGTGTACTAGCACGAAGTTACATGCGCCACGCTGTGCGTGAACGTGAATTTAATTAATTCATGAATTTGTGCACGGTTGATTGCTCACCTACCTGGGTATATACTACACAGGGCAACAGTATGTGTGTTTGCATAAGCTGTCCCGCATTTTGTTTGGCCAAAATTGATTTACATCACTTCTTATTTAGCAAGTGCTACTATACCATTAAGGTAAAGTGAATTTGATATATTTGATATCTGTGATCAGTTCAACATGGCCTCAATTGACCCTCATAAAGCAGCCAGTCTGGTATTTTATTACATACGTATTGGACAGGTTATACGTTGTTGAACTGTTATAATACATTAAGTGTTAATTTTCCGAGTAACAGTATTTTCCAATATCAAGGGCTTACATTTGTTGTTTCAACATGCAGACTTGCAAAGTCTTCAGTGAAATATAATGTGAATAAATGTATTTCAGTCCCCGAAGGGTGTGCAAAGGCCCCGGCTTTCCACCCGCCCAACATAGAACAGCTGAGGAAGATTGCTGGAGACTTGGGACTTGAGCTGACAGACGAAGAACTCGCTGCATATAGAGGTACATGTATAGTATAAGCACACCCGCCAACATACATCCATACACACTCATACACAAATACACACACACAAACACGAGAGAGAGAGAGAGATTAGGAATGATTTACTGAAGTGCATTATATACCCAGTGCCTGCTTGCTTTTACACAGTCAACTGCCATATCTGCTCTGTGTCCATATCTACATAGTGCAAGCACGCGTGTTTGTCGTACCAGGCAATGTCGCTGGACTTAATCGATCAGCTAAGATAAAAAACCCTTTTCGTGCTCTGCTTGTTGCTATGATACACCATGGCGGCAGTTCAGCAGTATTGACTAGACTTCCTGCATTTGTATTCACGACATGTTTTTCGTATTTTGCTGGAGAGTGGCCTGTGTGTGCATCGCTTCTTGTAAAAATTGGAAGTGTTCCTGATATAGAGCTTTTCTTCGCCCCCCCCCCCTCGGATTGCATGTATAAACCTCCAGATTAAGACAGATTCACTATGTAACTTAAGATTCATTAAACTAGTGTTAGATGGTCTAAGACAATAAAAGTCATTTTTTTCAATATTACCAAATTTTGCTACTAAACACTCTGAAGGTAGTTTTTGAACACATTTAAAAAGGTAAAATGCTGTTTTACACACAGGAGAGGTCAAAAGCCATGGAACATTTTCAAAAAAAAACCGTGGGACCCTAACCCAGGTCAATCAGCATTACAGGAGGAATTCCCAGCTAACCAGATGTGTCCCCGGCTCGGTGCTCTGCTCTAAACTATGCGGGTTAAGTTTTTTCTCAGGTTGGCATCACCGAGAATAGACTACCTGGAATACGGACTTGTTTCGCGAAAGTTGGACGTAACATTTTACATGAACAATACGTGCTGCATACATGACCAATGAATTTGTAGGCTTATTTTCTTATTTATGTAATTTTCTTAATTATTAGCACGTATTGCTTTACGTTATTAGTGTCAAGACTTTTAAAAATGAAAGATTATGGAAAGGTACAAAGGTAATAATGCTTACCCACTTTGTGTGTGTTCAAGGGGGGGGGGGGAGCATTGAAATTATACAACATTCAAAATACATAGCTTATTCATTTTCATTTTCAGTCTCTCAGGTAACACCCGGATCTTCCGATAGAGGTTGCAGTATTGTTCATGTGCACATGCGTGGCGGTTTTAAATCTTCTGCTATTACAAATGTTATATTTTTTATCGTTAAGAGCACATGCTCGACCTGGAGGAGGAGTATGGTATTCTAGACGAACTGGCAGAACCTACGCTGCCTGTTAAATACCCTCGAACTCCAGGCTGGCGTCCTAAGCCCGAGGACAACCCTTTTAATGGCTGGTGAATATTGCTATTATTTCACGTTTTGAAGGATCGATCAATACGGCTTTTATTTTAATTTAAGCGAACTACAGTGATACAATACTTGTTGGATACAACAACCTCCATTGGATGTTGTTTGACGAATATTTCAATGATACTTTTTTCTCCGTTTATTCACACAGCGACAATAGTATGTTGCTTTGAATATGTAGTTTCTACAAAAACAGCATTGTAGTCTAGGTCTATTTTTAACACACTGTTCAATATGAAGCTGAGGTAATGAGGTCATATTGGAAATTGTCCTTTTTTCAACCAAGTTAAAAGTAGGTCATTGTGCATTTTTTGTGATTTTCACGAAAACATACAATTGCTCTCAGCACCTACTTTATTATTATTATTATCATTATTATTTTTTTATTATTATTATTATTGAGCCATTTGTTTATTTTTAAATCATTTATTGCACAGGTACTGGCGTACGGATATTCAAGGTGCCCCCTCTGGGAAGTTGGCTGGGAAAACCCTGGGTATCAAAGACAACACGGCGGTGGCTGGGGTACCTATGATGAACGGGTCCAGGGTGTTGGAGGGCTACATGCCAGAGTTTGATGCCACTGTGGTCACCAGGATACTGGACGCAGGTGAGCTAATACTGTCTGCTCCAATTCCAACGTTCTTGATTTAGAAAAATATTTTGGCGGGAAAGTCGACAAAGACTTGCAGACGAAGATTTAACGCTGTCATATTTTGTTTAGCTTAACTGTGTCATATAGCTAGAGAAGATTTAAAGACAAAGCAAAAAGATGATAATAATGCAGTTAGAAATAACTTATTCACTCATTTTTATTGTTAAGGTGGACGGATTCTCGGAAAGACCGCGGTTGAAGATTTGTGTGTCAGTGGCAGCAGTTTTACCAGCAGCAAAATGCCAGTGTTGAATCCTTACGACGCAACGCTATCAACGGCCGGTTCCAGCGCCGGTAGTGGTGCCTTGGTAATGGTTGTGATAATGCATCTGTTATAGAATAATCTCTCTTTATATTTCAGAACATAGCAAAACAATAAATATTTTTGACATTTTTTTGGTCATGTGTATGTACATGTTTTGTCCATATATGTTTCAAGTTTCGTTTTGCTCTCTCTACTTTGTTAAGGTTGCAGGAGGCCAAATTGACATGGCTCTTGGTGGCGACCAAGGTGGATCTATTCGATTGCCCGCCTCGTGGTGTGGTATTGTGGGGTTAAAACCCACGTGGGGTTTGGTTCCATACACTGGTATTTCAGTTATACACCCCTGTATTGACCATGCAGGCCCCATGACCCGAACTGTGGAAGACTGCGCCCTAATGTTAGAGGTAAATTTAAAGTTACACCTGGACTGCAATTTTTTAATTGTTATTAAGATGACCGTTGTAAAACAAAAATTTCGAGTAATTTGTTTTTTGGCCATCTGTGTGTGCAAATGTAGACGGTTAATGGATAAATATAAGACCCGGATGTTAGAGATGGCAGGGCATGCTCACAGATATACCATGCATAACTACTGTAACTCTACGGGTTGTGAATTATATTTGATATGACTTTGTACGTAACAGGAATTGTTACTATAATTATTATTTTAATTCAATATGTCATTGTTTTCTTAACGAAGAAAAAACAAGAAATTAAGGGCGTATTCCCAGAGCTTTTAGATAGATCTATCCCCGCGGGGAGTCTCACTAGATTACTGTCAGATAATCCGGCTTAAATGTCCGTCCCGCCTACTACAAGCTGTAAGGGGGTAATTAACTTTTGTGCCCGCTCGGCTGACAGCTATTTAGCGTGAACCCCCAGGGAGTTAGGTCGATCTAAAGTAGATCGATCTAATCTCTGGGAATGGGGTCTAAGGGTAACCGTATTCATAACCGCTTTGTAGGAAGGCCGTTTGGTACATGCTTCAGTACTCTAATTTTGTGTAACCTGAAGTATAAGTAGTTATAATTTATATATGTTGGTGATAGAAACATTTGTCCGGGTTTGATATTTACAATCCGTTATCCGTTTATTATATCAAGTTTGTGATATCCGTTAAAGTCATAATAACTCTTCGTTTTGGCCAAAAATTGGATTTTCCTGGAAAAAACGGCAATTTTCCCGTACTTACCAATGGTCAACGACCCCTGCATTCAAAGTTAATCCAGGGTTTTTTTTCCTAAACGTACGGTTTTTTGTTAAAATCTCTGAGATTTTAACTGACGGAGCTCTCTCTGACATTGCATAGTCACTGGTGATCTACTTAAAACCGCGGGAAAAGCAGACAACAACAACACTATGTAAGATTCATGAGATATAATCGTCTTTTTGTATAAAAATGCATTTATATCCACAATGTGTGTCATTCTGGGCTTTTCGTTATCCGACGCACTGTACAAAAACTCGCAACTTACGTCTGCGTCTGCATTAATGCGTTTGGCGCCATTTTATTTTGCTCTCGAATGAACGCGAGAATCCGCGTGACACCATTACGTCATTAGCAACGAATGCCTTGATGACCGGGAAGAAAGGCATCGAAAGCCCTATTGACCAGCACAGGTTTTAGTTTTACTACAATAACGGCCGTTTTAGTGGAAAAATACAATAGAATATATTTCCATGCGTTGTTTACAATGTATTTCATGCGGAATTTTGAATCTCAAAGGAAGAGTTATTATTGCTTTAAGGTGATCGCTGGATACGATGACGGCCTTGACCCCAGACAGCAGCCAAACATCGTGGTGCCCGAGTATTCAAAACTGGTATGTTTGTAGGTTTCACACAAGTTGACCTCTTTATTGTTAGAATGTAACTTGATGATCAGTTTGGTTTAAAGGATGTATAATTCAGACTGTTTTAATTTTCTTTTAGGTTAATTAATGATTAGAAAAAATGGCTGCCTTTGGTATGCGCTGTTGTTTATAAATGTGAATCTACGCCCATCCTAAAAAAAATAACGAAAGTCAACCATATAAACGTACATTTATTCTAGCTGAATGCAGACCTTGCGGGAATGAAAGTGGGTGTGGTCAAAGAAGGGTTCGACAAATGCCAAAGTACTGCCGTTGATTCCACCATTCGGTCAGCCATGAATTATTTTAAAGCAGCCGGTGCCAGTGTCGAAGACGTCAGCATCCCCATGCATATTACTGGTAAGACGTCTGAAAACGACGGAGGAACATTGGTCGATTGTTGTCAGTTTACAAGGAACAAATGGCATTTATAATGAGATACATTTGTAATTATTCATGACTCCATTAGATATTTAACTGGGTATCCCATAAACCCAATTGTTGGAATGGTACTGGAACCCAACAGTTTAAATGGTATTGGAACCCAATATTTGGAATGGCATTGGTACCCAATAGCTCAAATGGCATTGGAACTGAACCGAGGTGTTTTGCTCAAATGCCCCTGTGATCGGTATACTTTAGAAATCCACGTGTACCGGTACACTCTACGAGAATGACAGCTCGATAGCATGGCTGTGGCGTAAGAGAGTCACCTAAACGAAGCCGCGTCGCTCGGCACTGCCACTTTACTTACATGGTATTCAACCACTAAATGACAGGAAGCGAATTTGTGGGGATCTCGTGAAAGGGGGTAAAATCCCGTGTAGCGTTATATATAGTTACATGTTAGCGCCTCCCATAGTGTATGGGCACATCTGTATCTCTAAAGTATACTCCTTGGTAGAAGAGCCAAATGCATTCATAAGGTATATCGTTTTATTTCATAGGTCGGAATATCGCTGCACCAATTATATTTGAAGGGTGCTATGAAACCATGGTGCAGGGGGGCGGTAAGTTCTCACTCAAAGCAGGTGCTTTATTATTTTGAATAGCTAAATGTCCATAATGACATTAACAGATAAAGTAATTGTTGTGCACAGAAGATGTTTTACATCTCATTTGGAATGTTTTGTATAGTTAATCTTTTTTTCTGAAATGACGTATGTAATTTGTTGTTTACAGCTGTTGCCTTCGGATTCCCTGGCTTTTACCCGACTACCATGCAACAGGCCACAGCTCGGGGGATAAGAACCCATCTCAATGATGTATCTCACACATATAAAATGGTTTCCTTGCTCGGAGAGTATACCAAGCAACGGTACAACCACATCCACTATGCTAGAGCCATGAACTGCGCACGACTGCTGCGGAAGGCCTATGACGACGCTCTCGCCAACTATGACGTACTCGTCATGCCGACCATCCAAAAGCTGCCACAGAAGCTACCGCCGAAGGGATCGAGCATTAAAGGTAATGATGATCAAATTAAACAAGCTTACAGAAGGAGGGGGATAAAACAAAAAATTGAAGAGTGAAACGAAGCAACTTTCAACTGTACCCGAGTTTTTTTTCGCCACTACACGTACATGATGTGTACAGAGATGGCAACTTTTCAGGTATTGTGTCGTTTCGCTCGATACTATTTTCTGATGAAGGGAGAGCAACAAGAAACACACTAACTACTTTGTCCTCCCCTAAATTCGCCATTAAATGTAAAAGCAGCCACGTAGATGTTCAAAGCGTTTTACTGCTTTAAACTATGTTTCGACGCAATATTCTCTCCTTTTTATTTACTGATACTTACTAGTATTTAGCGTGGCTTAACCTATTTTAGATATTCAAAGTGCTATTTGCGACATTACCGAAATTTCTTTTATTTTACGCATATACTTATTACTGTTTTTTAGAAAGCATCGAAAAATCCCTTGAGATGCTGTCGAACACGGCCCAGTTTGACGTCACCCATCATCCGGCCCTCAGCATCAACGCGGGGTTTGCAGATGGACTTCCGGTTGGCCTCATGATCGTCGGGAAGCACTTTGATGAAACCACCGTGCTGAAGGCTGCATACGGCTTCGAGAAAAAGCGAGATGAGAAGTGATTTATCGTCAAATTCAAAGTTGGTCACGAGGATTCGTCGATTTCTGATAAGATTGATTTTTCCAGATAATGAAAAATAAATATACAAGAATATTCAGATTTTTATATACTGCAAATATGTTATTCAGGCGCAGGTGAAATGGGTAGGCCAGTCCTACAAGACTAAGGACAGTTATCCTTGCCTTGGCCACAAAATATTCATTGTAACCTTGCGGTAGCTGGTGTATTATACCTATAACATAGAAATCACACTTTAGCTGATATTTTTGGAGCAACAATTCCTTGTGTATCAAAAATTCTGAAGAACGTTTTAGAGGATTAAGAATACGCGTAGCAACCTGTGGAAAGTTGGCTTTAGTTTGCGTAAAAATTGTATTTCATAAATATATGTGTTAATTTCTACATAAGTTGGAACAACCGATTTATATTTGTTGTACCATATAGTTTAAGCACCAGCATTATTCTGACGCATTATATTAGCTTAGCTGCTAGCACATGTAAGCCCGTCGGATGCAAAAAAAATGCATCCGAACATTAACGAATACTACTTCACTCTGAAGATGAAAGAGACGGACAAGAGTGTAGCATGGTTTCATCTGATATTACAGCGCAGAGGTCCAGTGAGAATTATTGCACACACATGTAACTGACGTTGTCACGCAGGTGGTATCAAGGGGAGGGTAGATTTTGCCGACTACTCATAACAGTCAAAATCCATGCGCACAGCATACTCTTCAAAATCAAGTGGAAGCTTGGTGTCGCCTGCTACGAAAATTGACTGGTCACTGCGTCTTTCTGTCGTGAATGGCCATTTATCGCTTATAAAATAAGGAAAGGCATGACCGGAGTTTGTTTTGCTAATGTGAAGACTGAAGCCTATATTGATGAAGGAGCCATGTAATATTTTCTACTTGCATTATATCTCACAAGTGATACCAGACATGATAAGAAACGATGTATAACATTCTTCTGCAAAATGGCTACCAATTGTCTCCAAAGCATCAAGTATGTGTTCTTTACCTTTAATAAGCCGCTTTGGTCTTTCACACTTGTTTCAAGGTCGGTAAAACCCTTTTGAAATGTAATGAAACATATTTTGTACTAATCAGACTACAAGAAGCATCTACCAGTTAGGATATGTGACAACTTAAGCCTACATATATATTGATTTTGGAGGCTTAAAATAGTTTCTACTCACACTACGTGAAACAGATAATACTAAAAATGTATTTTTACCAAAAAATAATATAAACCGGCGTATGACACACTTATAAAGATATAATACATGTAGTTTCAAACTGGTGAATTTTGCTTAATTTTAAAATTGTATCTGGCGGCCATCTTGGATTTTATGGACAAAATGGCCACCAATGGCCTCCATAACGGCAAAAATGAGTTTTTTGGCTCATAATTTAGTACCGTATTGATGGTATATAACAAAAAATTGCATTGAAATATATTTCAATAGGGGTTATCAGTATCCATGGTTTTGCAGCTTTCACAGACAAATATTGTGAAATTCACTTAAAAACGCCCTCTTTGTCCTTTCAATTCACCTTCTATCACCAAAACAATATTAGAATTGACATGTGCACCTCCACAATAGTAAGAATCGACATATTACACAAATATGTAAGTCAAACGCTTCAAAAATCAACATAAAATCGCAAAATTATGTCCGCTTTCAGAATGGCAGATGGCAGCCATTCGGATTTGAGGCGCAAAATGGCCGCAAATTGATTCCATAATGTCAAAAATGAGTTCCTTGTCCCTAATTTAGTCAGGTTTGATAATCTATTCATCTTTATAGCAAAAAAAATAAAATAAAATAAAAAACTGATGGAAATTGATGAAATATTATATTTTGGTACCCAGTTTGCATTTATGCACTTATCAATAGAACGTGTCTCTAGGGATAAAAATTTTTCTTTTGGCCCAAGGAACATTCATGCCAAGTTAGACATTTGTACTACAAAATGCAGCGTTGGCCAATTTTGGTCCTAAACAAGCATACTATGTAACCCTGACAGACTTGTATTGTTACAAGGCACTACTACTACCTTATCCCTCAAATTATCACGTCTTACGAGGTCGATCCGGTTTTCAGTTCAAGAGTCGTTTTCTAGGTCAGCGCACTGTCCCGCCTATCAGAGTGCGAAAACTGCACAATATGGCGGAGACGAAAGCTAGTTTCGGAGGTAAGGTTTTGCTAGATTTGCAGAGGTACGAAGTGAGTAGTTCTAGTAGAAGTAGTGCTATTGCTAAGCTTGTGCATTGAAAAGATAAAAAACCTGTTAAACAAGGTAATTTTATTATGCCTCTCGTTTATTTTATTATGTCTTCCTAAGTGCATGACACAAAACTGTTGAGTGTCCTTGGAGTCTGTCACTTCCTACCGGATGAAGAATGTGTTGTCTTATGTCCATGATTTGAAATCCTTTTATTTGTACAGAGATATGTGTGAGTGTGCTAGATGACTTAAATTCCCGAATGCTCTAGACCTCCACTCTACATGTGCCTGTCACAATCGGGCAACGTATATATGTTGATTTTAAGTAATGCAAGCATGAATTTTTAATCCGTGCACGAAGGAAATGCTTGACAAGGCCAGTTGGATAAAAAATAAATTGCATCGAAGATTCATACACCTAGCTGGTGTCTGTGCGTGCTCGTGCGCGTGTACTTTCACGAAATTACATGCGTTGGCAGACACCGTAATTAGGAATGCTGACGCATGACACGTCGTGCTCCGTGAACGTGATATTAATTAATTCATGAGTTTGTGTTCACGGTTGACTGCTAACTTTCCTGTGTATATGTTGCACAAGGCAACAGTTTATATGTGTGTTTGCCTAAGCTGCCCCTCATTTTGTGTTGCCAAATTTGATGTAGATAGCATTTTATTTAGCTCGTACTTCCAGTGCATGTGCGTATATACCGATAGGTGAAGTGAATTTGATATTCCACGTTGTTGTTATCAGTTAAACTTCGCCGTAATTGATCCACATGAAGCGGTAAATTTGTAACCTCTCAATTTGAAAATTGTAACCTCTACAAGTACGCAGACGATAACACCTTAAGTGCCGCACACCCAGACTTCGATATCTCAAAAAAGGAGCTTGAATATGATGCAAAAAATGCTATAAACTGGTTCTCCTCAAATGAGATGGAAGCGAACCCTGAAAAATGTCAAGCTATTTTTATAAGGAAACAGCAGACAACCATAGTAACAAGCAATTATCTTTCAATGGAAAATTGATAAAACTAGAACCTTGGGTCAAGCTCCTTGGGGCTTACTTTTAACAAACACATCTCAGAATTATGTTCTAAAACAGCATGTCAACTAAACACTCTGAAAAGGGTTTCAGCTTATATAGATGTTTTTTTCGGCTAGCCATGTTCAGGCACTTTACATTATCAAACTTCAATTATTGTCCGTTAGTGTGGCACTTTTGTGGTGAGGGAAATATGAAAAAAATAGTAGAGATACAGAAAAGGGGTCTAAGATATGTCTACGACAACCACACATTTGCACCCCAACCTTTAATAATTACATATTTCTTTTTAGTTAATTTTAATTGTGTCACCATAATATATTAGCCTTATCGCACAATTAATTTTTATATTCCATTACAAAACATCCCGGTGACTCCCTTCGCCACATAAGTTTTCATGTAATTAGCAAAAAAATGGCCCTATTTCCGTAGAATTATAAAAGCAGTTACGATGAGCTGTTAAATACACGTATGTTAGGTCCTGGAACTTTGCACTTGAACAGACTACGTCAGGGGCGGATTGAGGCCGTCTTCTGGGTCTTCCAGAAGACGGTCAGGTTTTCAACTTTACAATGACGGGTATCTAATTTTTTTTGTCGGAAGACGGTCAGAAAAGGAGGATGGATGAACAAAGATAATTGGGAACACTGTCAGAAAATATCTCTGGATCCGCCCCTGTACGTATGCTTGCACTTGAGGTTTACAAAGCTATAAATGGGCTTGCACCTTCCTACATCTCCGACCTTCTCCAGGAAAGAATAACAAATTACAACCTTAGAGGGGAAAAGACTTTAAATATCCCCATATTTAACACAATAACATATGGTAAAAATCCTTGTCACATCTTAGGCCAAAAATATGAATGATCTCTCAGACGAATTAAAGCAATTAAAGCATCAATTCAGATGAGTTTAAATCACTTTTAAGTCTTTGGGAAGGACCCAAATGCAAATTTAGCTTGTGTAACCTATATGCATTTAGTGAAACTGTGTAATAATACAACATGTTTACATGATTTTGTGCATCTATACTACTGAGCATTGTATGTAGAATTGTTTGTTTTTCACAATTAATTAGCAATAAAATAGGTGTAGCATTTTGCATATTTTTCATAGAAATTTTTTTCATTTACTTTCTTAGTAGATTTCATGTGTACTTGTATACTCCTAGTAGAAAGATTTCCCATTTACTATCTTACTAGACTGCATGTGTAAATATCGCATTATGTAGAAATGTTTATCCTTACCCAATCGGCGAATAGCTGCAAAGCTAATGTTTCCTTTCAATGTATACCCGATGAAATATAATTTATTGTATTGTATTGTATTGTAATGTATTGTAGTTGTCTGGCATTTTATTAGCTAGGGGATATATGGTTGAGCTGTTATAATACATGAAAGTGTTAACTTTCCGAGCATTTTGCAATAGCAATGGCTTACATTTTGTGCTTCAGCAGATAGAATTGCAGTTTTTTCTGAAATAAAATGTAAATAAATGTATTTCAGTCCCCGATGGGTGTGCCAAGGCCCCGGCCTTCCACCCGCCCAACATAGAACAGCTGAGGAAGATTGCTGGAGACTTGGGACTTGAGCTGACAGACGAAGAACTCACTGCATATAGAGGTACATGTAAAGGATAAGCACATGCGCCAACATACATCTATACGCACTCATGCACAAGTACAAGCACACTAACATACGCCTGCACACACACACACACGCGCGCGCGCGAGAGAGAGAGATTTGGATTAATTTATTGACGTGCATCATATACCCAGTACCTTCCTGCTTTTGCGCAGCCAACTGTCATATCTGCCCTGTGTCCACATCTGATTAGTGCACGTACACGTATTTGTCATAGAAGGCAATACAGTCGGCTTATCAATCAGCTAAGATAAAACCCCTTGCCGTGCTCTGCTTGTTGCTATGATACACCACGGCGTCAGTTCAGCAGTACTGACTAGACTTCCTGCATTTGCATTCATGACATGTTTTTTGTATTTGCGCGAGAGGAGCAGGGTGATCAGAGCTTCCTGTGAAATTGGAAGTGATCCTGATATAGACCTTTTCTTCCCTCCCCTTCCCCAACCCTATTGCATGTGCAAACCTCCAGATTAAGAGAGTAAATTAAGTTTCATGCAGATAGTTGTAGTCTTAGGGTGTATTCCCAGAGATTTAGATCGATCCAGGGATTAAGATTTAGATCGACCTAACTCCCTGGGGGTTCACGCTAAATTGCAGTCAGCCGAGCGCGCACCATAGTTAATTACCCCCTTACAGCTTTTAGAAGGCGGGACAGACGCTTAAGCCGGCTAAGCCGACGGTAATCTAGTGAGACTCCCCACAGGGATAGATCGATGTAAAGTCTATGGAAATGGGGTCTTAAACAAGAAAAGACAATATTTTTTCTCAATATTTTTAACCACATTATGTTTCTTATTACTCTGAAGGTAGTTTTTTTTAACACGTTCAAAAAGGTAAATGTTGTTTTGCACACAGGGGAGGTCAAAAGCTATTGGACATTTTCAAAAATACCGTGGGACCCAAACCCAGGTCAATCAGCATTACAGGAGGAATTCCCAGCTATCCAGATGTGTCCCCGGCTCTGTGCTCTGCACTAAACTATGCAGATTAATTTTTTTTAGGTTGGTGACACTGAGAATACACTACATGGATTACGGACCATCGTTTCCTCGAAGAACTTTAAAAGAAAAGTTGGTCGTTACATTTTACATGAACAATACCTGCAGCACACATGCCCAACGAATATGCGGTTTTTAATTGTGTAATTATCACGCATTGTTTTACGTTTTAAATGTCGAGAGTTTTAAAAGTGAGAGCTTATGGAAAGGTGCAGAGGTAATATAGATAACCCATTTTGTGCGTATTCAAAGGGGTGGGTGGGGAATAGCACTGAAATTATACATCTTTCAAAAAACATAGCTTATTCACTTTCAATTTCAGTCTCTCATGCAGGTAACATCCTGGACCTTCCAATAGAGGTTGCAGTATTGTCCATGTGCACATGCGTGGAGGTTTTAAACCTGTGCTATTACAAATGATATATTCTTTCTTCATTAAGAGCACATGCTCGACCTGGAGGAGGAGTATGGTATTCTAGACGAACTTGCAGAACCTACGCTGCCTGTTAAATACCCTCGAACTCCAGGCTGGCGTCCTAAGCCAGAGGACAACCCTTTTAATGGCTGGTGAATATTTTTATTATTTCACGTTGTGAAGGATCGATTTGATTTTAGTGTACTATAGTGATTCAATACTTGTTGGATGAACAACCTCCATTGGGTGATGTTTGACGAATATTTCAGTGCTCCTTTTTTCTCCGTTTATTCACACAGCGCCAATAGAATGTTGCTTTGAATATGTAGTTTCAAAGATGGCATTGTAATCTAGGTCTATTTAACACATTTTTCAATATGAAGCTGAGGTAATGAGGTCATATTGGAAATTGTCTTATTTTCAACCAAGTTAAAAGTAGGCCACTGTGCATTTTTTGTGATTTTCACTGAAACATACAATTGTTCTCAGCACCTACTTTAATATTATTATAATTATTATTTTTATTGAGCCATTTGTTTATTTTTTAATTATTATTTGAACAGGTATTGGCGTACGGATATTCAAGGTGCCCCCTCTGGGAAGTTGGCTGGGAAAACCCTGGGTATCAAAGACAACACGGCGGTGGCTGGGGTACCTATGATGAACGGGTCCAGGGTGTTGGAGGGCTACATGCCAGAGTTTGATGCCACTGTGGTCACCAGGATACTGGACGCAGGTGAGCTAATTACTGTCTGCTACATTTCCAACCCTCTTGATTTGGAAAAATATTTTGACGGAAAAGTCGACAAAGACTTGCAGACAAAGATTTAACGCTGCCCTATTTTGCTTAGCTTAACCGTGCCATATAGCTAGAGAAGCTTGAAAGACAAAGCAAAAAGATAATAATAATGCAATCAGAAATAACTTATTCACTCATTTTTATTGTTAAGGTGGACGAATTCTCGGAAAGACCGCAGTTGAAGATCTGTGTATCAGTGGCAGCAGTTTTACCAGCAGCAAACTGCCAGTGTTGAATCCTTACGACGCCACGCTATCAACGGCGGGTTCCAGCGCCGGTAGTGCTGCCTTGGTATTGGTTCTGATAATGCATATTCTCCAGAATAATTTTCTTCTATGAAAGAACAATACATTTTGTGCCTTTTTAAATTTGTCATCTATATGTGAATTTTATTTTATTTTCCTCATATCTGGCAAGTTACGTTTTTCTCTCCCTTACAGTGTATTTCTGGTATTTTTCTCTCTACCTCCTAAGGTCGCCGGAGGTCAGATAGACATGGCTCTTGGTGGCGACCAAGGTGGATCTATTCGATTGCCTGCCGCATGGTGTGGTATTGTGGGGTTAAAACCCACGTGGGGTTTGGTTCCGTACACTGGTATTTCAGTTATACACCCCTGTATTGACCACGCAGGCCCCATGACCCGAACTGTGGAAGACTGTGCCCTAATGTTAGAGGTAAACTAAAAGCTACACCTGACCTGCAATTTTTAATCGTTGTTAACATTACCGTTGTAAAACACATTTCGACTAATTTATTTTTTGGCCCACTGTTTGTGCAAATGTAGACTGCTAATGAGTAAATATAAGGCCCGGGCCCCGTATCTCGAATGCATCGCGTATTGCGAATCGCTATATCAAATAGAAGCTACAATGTATGATATGGGACGAGTATGGGCGAGTTATGGAATCGAGAAGCTTGCACACGTGCGCAACATAGGAACCTTTCGAGATACGGAGCCCCGGATGTTAGAGATAGGCAGGGCATGCCTACAGATATTCCGATCCACGCAAGATAACTGTACCTCAAAGGGTTGTGAATCATATTTGATATCAGTTTGTACGTAACGGGAACTTTTTTTATTATCTTTACTAGCATATGATCATTTTCTCAACAAAAGAACAAGAAATTAAGGGTTACCATATTCGTAATCGCTTTGTAGGAAGGTTGTTAGGTAGATGGTTCAGAAAGACGATTATATACAGTGCAGTTTGTACTATTATTTCGTGTAACCTGAAGTTAAGCAGTTATGATTTTTATATGTTGGTTATAGAAACATTTATCCGGGTTTGATATTTACAATCCGTTATCCGTTTATTATATCGAGTTTACGATTTCCATTAAGGTAATCGCTGGATATGATGACGGTCTTGACCCTAGACAGCCGCCAAACATCGTGATGCCCGAGTATTCAAAACTGGTATGTTTGTTTGTTTTCACACAAGTTGACTTATTTATTGTTAGAATGTAAATTGATGATCAATTTGGTTTAAAGGGAGCATAATTCAAATTGTTTTATTTTTCTTTTATGTTGATAAATGATAAGAAAATATGGTTGCATTTGGTATACTTGTTGCTTATAAATTTGAAAATGTGTCCATTCTTTATAAAACACTGAAAGTCACTAATCCATATTTACATTTAATAAAGCTGACTTCAGACCTTACGGGCATGAAAGTGGGAGTATTAAGAGAAGGATTTGACAAATGTGAAAGTAGTGTTGTTGATTCCACCATTCGGTCAGCGATGGATTATTTTAAAGCAGCCGGTGCCAGCGTGGAAGACGTCAGCATCCCCATGCATATTACCGGTAAGACATGTGACATGTGATTTTACCCAAATGCCCATGTGAGCGGTATAGTTTAGAAATCCACGTGTACTGGTACACTCTGAGAGAATGACAACTTAATTAACTATAGTGTAAGAGATTCGCCTAAACGAAGCCGCCGCACTCTACACTGCCACTCACATTGTAATTAACGTCACTCAACAAAAGGGGGTGAATTCGTGGGGAACTTATGAGAGGAAAGAAAAGTCTATGTAGCGTAGATAAGTGCTAGGCCCTGTCATAATGTATGGATATATACAGACTTGACATTTAATATGGAATATTTCAGTTTCGAAGGTATGCCTAGGTAAAAATGCATTCTTTTTTCAAAAAACTCCGATAATGACGGAGGAACATTGGTCGATTGTTGTCAGTTTACAAGGAACAAATGGCATTTAAAATGAGCTACATTTGTAATTATTCATGACTCCATTAGATATTTAACTGGGTATCCCATAAACACAGTGGTTGGAATGGTACTGGAACCCAACAGTTTAAATGGTATTGGAAGCCAATATTTGGAATAGCATTGGTACCCAATAGCTCAAATGGCATTGGAATTGAGCCGAGGTGTTTTACCCAAATGCCCATGTGAGCGGTATAGTTTAGAAATCCACGTGTACTGGTACACTCTGAGAGAATGACAACTTAATTAACTATAGTGTAAGAGATTCGCCTAAACGAAGCCGCCGCACTCTACACTGCCACTCACATTGTAATTAACGTCACTCAACAAAAGGGGGTGAATTCGTGGGGAACTTATGAGAGGAAAGAAAAGTCTATGTAGCGTAGATAAGTGCTAGGCCCTGTCATAATGTATGGATATATACAGACTTGACATTTAATATGGAATATTTCAGTTTCGAAGGTATGCCTAGGTAAAAATGCATTCTTTTTTCAAAAAACTCCGATCTCATATAAGATATGTGAATGGAGAAGTCTGTAGTCAGGTGTGTCACTTCCAATTAACTGAATACCAGTTTTGTTGCGCTGCTGCATTATGTAATATGCAGTGATTTAATTGGGTAGTGCACCTTTGTGCAGGTCTAAGCTTGGCTTTGGCACAGCATGGTTCTGTCAAAAAAGTATCAATATGTCGACAACTACATTGTACTGCATTGAAGAATTTGAAATTTTGCATGCAAGTGGTCGGTTTTGCAAGGTGTAAAATGAGCTATGCAGTGCTCTGCAAATTTGTTAATCTGTGGCAGAATGGCGCGAAAAAGTCAGACATTGCCAGAGAGATAATTGTGCCAAACGAAACGGCTCGCACAGTTTTATAGAGTAATGCCCAGACTGATGTACCTACACACAGGCCAAACCTAATGTATTGAAATCTTACCACCAGGGTACAGGACCCACTGTCTGTCGGGATATGCTACTGCAACTAAACAAAAACCACCCAGTCCGTTCAGAATGAGGGGTAAATTGTCACCAAAACGCATTTTTCAAGGCCCTTAGCGAACACCAAACTGGTTTTAGCTGGTTAGAATGCCAGACGCCCTCAGGGGAACCCACAGTAAACAGCAAAACATCGTTGTATGTTTCTCTAATGAATTGGGGACCTTGACCGTTTCTGAGTTGAACACTGAAACCTCGTGGCTTTCTTTATTGAGGTCAGATTTCACTTGTACCGCTCAACTAGTCAAAACAGAGTTTACAGACATCCAGAAGAGGCCAACGACTAAGCGTGTGCCGCGTCTAAAGTGACTAAGGTCATTAATAGCGTCAGTAATTGGAATGGATACCACATTGGTGCCAAAACGCCAATGATGGTCATCCACGAAAACCTGAACCAGATAAAATAAAGGAATAATCTGGGAACCACTTGACTATCATTTGATAGGGGGCACCTTAGGAACAATTTTAGGTTGCACAGTGAAATTGCCGGTACACACAGAGCACTTTTAATAGCAGATTACTTACAGAACCAAGGGAATGAGAAGCTACCTTGGTAATCAAAATCGCAATATTTAAACCACATAGACAATATGTGGGTAGGTCATTATTAGCCGAATCAATGGCATACATGTCCTACAACAAAACTGGACCAAATTGGACAGATTTTGACCGGTGCCCAGAATGATATTCCAGATTGAACTCTAAAAACCTAACCCAAGGAATGCCTTGCCACTTGAGAGCTCTGGTAGCAGACAGAAGAGGTCAAGCGTAATAGCGACTGTTACTGTGACTAGACACTGACATGGGGGTTCTTTGTGAGTCGTGTAACTCTTTTACAAAAATAATTAGGAAAATATGGAGATCCAAATTATCTCTTTTAATTGTTGTCGTATGACATAGAACAGACAATGTCTTTTTCTTTGTTTCTCTGGCGAATTCCATTAATGAACTGATGTCACAATGATATCAAAGAGATAATTAAAAGTTATTAAAACACGATTTTAATCCTCATTTTCATTTACCAGTCAGCAAAATAGGAAAAAACTGATGAAAAATGATTTGGAAAAAAATATTCCATATTAAATGTCAAGTCTGTATGTACCTCTAAAGTACACCCCTTGGTGTGAGAAGAATCAAATGCATTCATGAAATATATCGCTTCATTTCATAGGTCGGAATATCGCAGGACCAATTATATTTGAAGGGTGCTATGAAACCATAGTGCAGGGGTGCGGTAAGTTCACACTCAAAGCAGGTACTTTATTATTTTTGATTGCTGAATGTACATAATGAAATTAACAGTTAAAGTAAAGGTTGAGTATAGAATGTTTTATATCCCACTTTGAATGTTTTGTGTATATAAACATGTTTGTTATTTTAAAAAATTAATGAATTTTGCCAAAATATTTAAAACTAAGACAAACCTTTTTTTTTTTTTTTTTTTTTTTTTTTTTTTTTTTTTTGTTGCTCATGTAATAATTTATCTACGCGAGCATATAGTATGTTATGGCAAAATGCTGGAGTGACGTGTGCAAAATCTATCACAGCCTGGTAAAACATAATCTTTGCTCCAAATAAATGTCTAAAATGATTAGCAACAGCGACACTTTATTCTAAAGTATTTTCTCAAAATGGCGTATGTAATTGGTTGTTTACAGCTGTTGCCTTCGGATTCCCTGGCTTTTATCCGACTACCATGCAACAGGCCACAGCTCGGGGGATAAGAACCCATCTCAATGATGTATCTCATACACTGAAAATGGCTGCCTTGCTCGGAGAGTATACCAAACAACGGTACAACCACATCCACTATGCTAGAGCCATGAACTGCGCACGACTGCTGCGGAAGGCCTATGACGACGCCCTCGCCAACTATGACGTACTCGTCATGCCGACCATCCAAAAGCTGCCACAGAAGCTACCAGCGAAAGGATCGAGCATTAAAGGTAATGATGATCAAATTTAACAAGCTTCCAAAGGAGGGGGGGGGGTGTAAACAAAAAATTGCAAAGTGAAACGAGGCAAATTTTAAACTGCAGGAGAGTTTGTTTGTTCGTTTTCGTCATTACCTGTAGCCTACATCTAGGGTAAAGAGATGTCAACATGTCAGGCATTTTCTCATTTTGCTCGGTACATTTTTGATGAGGTGAGAGGAACAAGAGGCACACTAACCTTAAAATTGAAGGGAGGGTGACGTCATGCGACGCTACGTCCTCTCCTGATTTCGCCACTGGGTGTATAAGAAACCACGTAGTCGTTCAAAGCGTTTTACTGCTATAAAATGTTTCGCCACTATAGTCTCTACATTATATTTATAGATTCTACATGCTCTTTATTGCGGCTTAACCCATTTCAGGTATTTAAATGCTTTTTGCGAAATTACCGAAATATTTTTCATTCTATGCATATGGATATTACTATTTTTAGAAAAAATCGAAAAATCCAATGAGACGCTGTCGAACACGGCCCAGTTTGACGTCACCCATCATCCGGCCCTGAGCATCAACGCGGGGTTCGCAGATGGACTTCCGGTTGGCCTCATGATCGTCGGGAAGCACTTTGATGAAACCACCGTGCTGAAGGCTGCATACGGCTTCGAGAAAAAACGAGATGAGAAATGATTTATCGTGTAATTCAAAGTTGGTCACGGGGATTCGTCGACTTCTGAAAATGTTGACTTTTCCAGATAATGAAAAATAAATATAGAAATATTCAGATTTTTATATACTGCAAATATGTTATACAAGCTGAGGTGCTAGCCCATGTTAGCACGTCGGTTGCAAAAAATATGCATCCGAACATGAACGAATGCTATTTCACTCTGAAGTTGAAAGAAACTGACAAGACTGTAGCATGACTTCATCTGATATAACAGCGCAGAGATCCAACGAAAATTATTGCACATAATTGACGTCATAACTCAGGTGGTGGCATCTGGCGGAGGCTATAGGCTTTGCCGACTGTTGATAACAGTCAAAATCCATGCTCACAACATACTCCCCAATATCAAATGGAAAATTGACTGGTCACGGCGTCTCTCTGTCGTGAATGGCCATTTATCGCTTATAAAATAAGGAAAGACGTAACCGGAGTTTGTTTTCAAACTAAAATTGCCTTCAGGCGTTTGAAAATATCCTCTATTCAGTGATCTAATGCAAAGCTTGTCGCAACTGAGGCATTTAACTGTACCAAATGAAAGCTTATCTGTAACTGATGTTTGTCTTGGAACGCTGTCATGGAACATCTAGCAGTAAAAAACTGTTTTAAGCAATCTGAATAAGTACATTTTGTTTTTATAACATTTTCCAAAATTACATAACTGAACTGAGAAGAATTCCACGCTTTCCTGCAGGGGATTCCTCCAAGTCACCTCCTCCTGTAGTGACACTGTTGTAATGAGGTTGTTAAGTTTTAGGTGTACGCAGTATCCCTGTCGACGTGATCTCCTCACGCACTTTTATAAAAACAGTAGTAAGAGTCATGTCATAAGACAGAGCTGGATAAATATACATTTACCCTTCTCATGCTGTATATTTACATGTAGATGGCCCTAAATATGCATATATGACATTGAAGTGGAAAATTAAATTTCCACGTCTCCCATTTCCTTTTGCACTGTGAAACACTGGAAACCAACCCCCACACGCACCCAAATAAATACAAACATAGTTCTTACTATTGCGTTAATTTAATAGCTTAAGGAGAGCATCTCCGAGGTGACTACGCTAACAACAAACGCTCTTCACTATATCACAGTCTATGGACAAGGTCCAAAGTTTTTGTCCGTCAGAATAGAGCAAGCAAGGTATAGGTTAGAACTTGGACATAATAACGTTATTATGTCCAAGGTTAGAACAATCAATTGTCTTTACTGCTATCAGGGGGGAGGGGGGGGGGGGCAGTGCCCGAAGTGGTTACGTAATAGTGACCAACATTGTCATTGCATGTAGACTTCACATTCCATTACATTCCATTACAGTGCAGAGAAAAGCCAGAGAAATATTTTTGAATATCGCGAAAAATAATCTACGCGTTCTTGGAATAGTAGAGGGTAGTCATTTTTTTTTTCGCTTTTGCCATTTTGCCTCTTACCGTTTTGCTGTTTAAGCTTAAGTTGATTAAATGCCTGGGGGAGGGGGGAAGGGTCCGTTAAGTGTATATTGTCCAGTGGACCCACGACCCTGCGATAAACCAATGAACCAGTAAGTGGTATTACATAACCTCGCCTGGACAGCGGACAAATATTTTCCTGATACGCGACAGACAGTGGATATAGTATACAAAATGGCCGAGAAGGAAACATGTTTTGGAGGTGAGATTATGCATATATTGGTGTTGTTCTGATAATGTGTGAAAACAACTTTTTATGAAGACATACATAGAGAAGCGTTCATTATTTTCCACTGTTTAATTGTGATTAGTGATATGGCTTCAATTTGTGATATTCATATGCTGCTACTGGGCATCTCTCACTTTCAAAATGTGAGTGAGGTTTTAATTTGAAAACGGAATTCATAGTAGAATGGCATTGGGGGGGGGAGTGATTAGCATACCAGGGCCCCGTAACTCGAAAGCATCGCGCATTCCGAATAGCGATATCACATAGAGGCTACAGTGTATTATATGGGGCGAGTATGGGCGAGTTATGGAATTGAGACTCTTGCGCTAGGTGGTAATGCGCTATGCTTTCGAGTTACGGGGTCCTAGTTGTACAATCCGTGGACTTTATTGGGGCAGGCCGAAGTCACTAGACTGACCACTGTGAGTGTCTGTGACCAGCAGTAGTATAGACAATGCAGGTAGGGTTGTGTAATAACTGTGTTTATTTACGGAGAACTGTCAAACAAACCGGTGTAACGAAACTGGGGGTCCGTGTATGATGGCTAGGGTTAGCCTGACCCAAGTGGGTCAAAATCTAGGGCGGGGCTAATCCGTACAAATGAATGGGAAGCGGACTCTATCATGGAGGACTCTTTTACGGTACACCGCCTTTCTTGCAGACTGAATACGAAGGCGATACTATAATATTGCATTAATCTATCATTATCACTTGCTTGGTGTAAATGTATTTTGTCAACGGATGAGACATTTAATAATAAGTTGAAATGCATGAGTGGTTTATGTGACAAGCGATTGCTCTTTTAACGAAAGGGTTGTTTTTGGTTGTTGCAACAACACATCTAAGAATCAGTAAATAATTAATGATCTGTTTACAAATATGATAATTTATCTCAAATTCTAGTAACCAAACCCAATTTGCCACCCTGAAAGTCTGCTAGTTCAGGTTGTAGTTGTTCATGCCCCATTATGCTTCAGTATGCACTTATTTTGTAACAATCAAAGTTTTACTTTTTTTATACGCTCATACGCACTTCGCTTTCCTTCATGCCCCCTTCAATCAAAATGTGAATAAAAGAAAAGATTTCAGAGTCCTATATTTTCGTAACGGCTATTTTATATAGTTTTAAACTTTGCAAGAAAAACAGTGTGAGTTGCAGCAGCTACGGTCACATGCAGACATTAAAAGTGACAACTTGTGAATGAAGCTGGCATTCCCAGCTTTCCATCCTGTGCCACGCGCACCCATTTTATGGTCAAGTTTTTAAACCCATCCATGGGCACGAACGAGAAATCTTCTTGTCATTGCGGTAGTTGCGCTAATCGGAGGTGGAAATGGAACAATATGCACAGCATTGTAGCATGTCGCTATATTTGGTGCATCTGCTTTTTTATTCCTCATAATGCTTTATGCAAATAAATCTCTACTTTTCTGGCGGTGTGAAATAGCTAAAGCATTTGTATACAATTTTTTAAAATTACAGATACTTGATTGTCTCGATAATTTTTTCGATATATAACATATCACATCACCCCTTTTATTATGTGAAAGGTTATCAAAATATAACCTGTATGTTCGGTGTGAAGATGGTTATAAAGGAAAAGGTATTTATGAGAGGTATTTAAGAAAATTTTAGTACTTCTTGACGCGCTATAAATAGCCTTCTAAGAAGTTTTGAAGTGACTTCTGATGTGGCGAGCCGGAATCCGTTTTATAATGTCTTTAAAAAATATTATTTTTCATCGCCTGGAATGAAACTGGTTCTCTTATGTTCAAAAATGATGAAAGGTAACAGGAATCTTTCATAGGATGAATGATTGTTCTGTAATGCACAAACAATGCTTAGACTGTCAGAACGTCATTTTTTAGCTACGTGTTTCATTATCAAAGATTCGTTTTGTATGTAATGTTATAAAACGATAAAATCGTAAAAAAAAGATCATTTTTAGCTCGATTCAACACACCAGTGAGAACGCAAAACAATTGTATACAGAGTTATATGTCAATACAATGGTGTGTACATACAGTATAATATTTGTGTAACCTACTTATGATCACGTAAGATTTATATAATGGTTGTAGAGTCATCAAGTGCACGACGCCACATTAAATTTCTTTTGTTGATTAAAACAGATCTCGTGAAACAGAATCATTTGTACCTTGAAAATATAGACCAAGCCAGCATAGACTTAACCGTGAATTTTAACGCAACCAAGTTATCGTTATTGTGTTGGAGTTAGTAAATGTGGGGACTGGTATGATTCAGATCGACTCTGTCAGACTAAATGATTGCATAAAGTCAGAAATTATTACTTTCCCCGTTAAAATCAGAGTTTTCTTCAAAGTAGAACTATTTCGTATTTGAACGATAAAACGTTGGTCTTCGTTGCTTTTAAAAAAGCGGAAAAATTACACTTTTTCACAGTCGAACAATAAGTAAGTTGCCTGTTGTGTTGTGTATGGAATGTTACGAAGACGTTAAACAAAAGTGAAAAATGCCGGTAGTCATGTTTTGTTAACTACCATTAGCATTTGTCTGACATGTTATGAAAGTTAATGTCTTCCGTTAAGTACTTAGTTTCCTATTGCAATTTGCATGGTTGGGTTTCTTTACTTCTTATGATACGCCCTTAATTTCTGTAATCATATAAGGATCTTAACAAGTTTCACCTGCTCACATTAGACCAACCTCTTTATGTTACGTACTCACGTGTATTACACAGACCTTGATGCCTAGTGATGTATATATTACAAATATAAAGTCTTAACTATTAAAAAAACTTATTTCAGTCCCCGAAGGGTGTGCCAAGGCCCCGGCTTTCCACCCGCCCAACAAAGAACAGCTGAGAAAGATCGCTGAGGACTTGGGACTTGAACTGTCGGAAGAAGAACTCACTGCATATAAAGGTACATGTACAGCATAAGCCCAACACACATCCACACACGAACGCATGCAAGCGCTCACTGTCTATTCCTTTCTAGCTTTCTTTCTTTCATGCATTTAAAGTGATATTAGCGTTTATGCAAGACATCTTATTGTCACCTATGATGCAAAATGACACTTCTCGTTCAGAACGCTTGCTAGGGCTAGAAGAGGATTACGGTATACTGGATGAACTGTCAGAACCCAATTTGCCTGTTAAGTACCCTCGAACACCCGGATGGCGTCCTAAGCCAAAAGACAACCCTTTTAATGGCTGGTAAGTGTTTACTTTATATACATCCCACCGTTTTTAATGTTTACTAAGAGTTTATTTGGATGTATACGTACATGAAAGGGGAAGGGGTACAATTCTTGAATATCTTTCCGCTTTTTCCTGCTTACACTTCATTTTAAAGTACATATATAAGATTGCTTTAGACCCATCTATGAAAAAAATCCTCGATTCTCCTTGTTTTAAATCTTTGATATTCAGCTTTTAATCAATATTTTTGTGTGCATCGAATAATACATTATTAGGTACTGGCGTACGGATATTCAAGGTGCCTCCTCTGGGAAGTTGGCTGGGAAAACCCTGGGTATCAAAGACAACACGGCGGTGGCTGGGGTACCTATGATGAACGGGTCCAGGGTGTTGGAGGGCTACATGCCAGAGTTTGATGCCACTGTGGTCACAAGGATACTGGACGCAGGTGAGTGTTTAAGATTTACTGGAACCGGTATGAGAGGAATATTGGTCCACAAGGAATCGTAGTCCTTTTTTCTTTACAATAATGTGGCATGTAAAATAGGAACAGGGGGATAAGGTCAAGAAATCCAAAGGGGCTGTTTTTTCGGCAAAATTCAAATTCAATGCATTTCATATATTTCTAAAGAAGGTAATGTGAACTTCTGGAACTCAACCCACTTTAAACATCAATGTAACAATTCGAATATTTTTTCAATTATGCCACTTGAATCGAAAACAATTGCAATTTTTTTCCTTCTTAAGGAGGGCGGATTCTTGGAAAAACCGCAGTTGAAGACCTATGCTTCAAGGGCTCCGGTGCCACTAACAGCAAGATGCCGGTTTTGAACCCGTATGATACAACACGTACAACTGGTGGGTCTAGTTCCGGAAGTGCAGCTCTGGTAAGCAGAACGATTTAATCGTCATGAACATATTACATTGGTCGCAACGAGTGCATTTTGGCATAATAACACGTCTGTCATTTTATTTAGGCGCACAATTTGCAATTATATCTAAGATATGTACAAAAGTATGGTTAAACTTCGTAAATTATAGAGTAAATTCCCGTAAATTTTGTCTTAGTTGGCATTACATAAAAAAGTCTTTTTTAAGGTCGCCGGAGGACAGATTGACATGGCTCTTGGTGGCGACCAAGGAGGATCTATACGTATACCCGCCGCGTGGTGTGGTATTGTGGGGTTAAAACCTACGTGGGGGTTGGTTCCGTACACCGGTGCGTCCACCGTTCAGCCCTTCTTGGACCACCTTGGACCCATGACAAGAACGGTGGAAGATAGCGCCCTGCTGCTAGAGGTAAACACGAAAGAACCATGAATTGTCTAGTCCATCAAAGACATGTCATAGCGGGTTCATACATGTATATAGTGTTCATTTACCATCTGATGTCAGGGGCTTTCAAAATAAATACAAAATTAAAATACCAGCAATATAAAAAATTCAAGACAGACTACCAGTATTTTATGGCGCGAATCTGAATCTCTTGGGCGAGTGGGATCAGACATTGATGTATTCAGTATTCAAATTTGTGGTATTCTGTGAATATAATTTGACATTTCATACATTTTTCCATTATCATTTCAACCAATCCAGGTGATCGCTGGATATGATGACGGCCTTGACCCCAGACAGCCGCCAAACATCGTGGTGCCCGAGTATTCAAAACTGGTAAGAGTTATTTCCTTTAAGGAGGCATCAGTTGGTTATGCCATGTTGTATTTCTAATTTTTTTATAAAGGCAAGTCAAATATGCTGTTTACTGAACTAAAAAGAAATAAGTTTTGAGACAAAAATGGGATCAAATACTTTAGCCACAGTTTCTCTCAATGTACAAAAATTGCATTTTGAACTGTCATTGGTTAATATAAAAATTAATTTAGAGATAGACCTAGTTCTTTTCAAGGCGGGTGATACTGGAGTAAGTACAAGTAAATGAAACTTGTATTCGAAATAAATCCACGATAACTAGACATAATTTACATGTGTTTATTTGATCCTTCTCATCTGCTAGTTGACTGCTGATTTGACTGGCATGAAAGTGGGTTTGCTGAAAGAAGGCTTTGCTCAATGTAACAGCGACATGGAGTCCACAGTTCGGTCCGCCATGCAGTATTTTGAGGCAGCCGGTGCCACTGTGGAAGAAATAAGTATCCCAATGCATATTACTGGTAAGGTGTATTCTAGTGATAGAGCGGGAAAGACCTGACTCCATCGGGAGCGCTGTTTTATAGACAGATGAATTTTAAGGGAAAGACCTTGACCTTTGTCCAAATATTTCAATACCTGGAAACTCATTTAAAAGTTGCTTGCTTTTCAGGAGGAAAGATCGCAGTGCCAATATTATATGAAGGCAGCTGCGAAAATGCCCTTAACGCGGGTGGTAAGTTATACCTTTATTCTCTTTTTCCATATGATATCACCTGCACATGAGATTAAAGCACAAGATATATAAAGATATACCCTGTTGATAACGTTATGCATAAACGGCGGTAGTAAAGAACGGGTAATATAATGAACGTTGGTAGCTGACGTTGTTTCAACGTTTGTTTAACGCCTATTGCCTGCTGGGAAGTGGTGGACTAGTGAGTCTCTCATCAACCTGCTAGACTAGAAAGACGCTCATTATCAAGAACCAATCACGAATGAAGGACTTTTGTGATAAATTCTCCAAACTGCTTACTGATTTCGTTCTGGTTCCAGGTACCGCCTTCGGATTCCCTGGATTCTACCCAACTTCCATGCAACAGGCCACGGCTCGAGGGATAAGAACCCATTTCAACGACATTTCGCACACTGTCAAGATATTCTCCTTACTCGCGGAATATACTAAACAACGCTACAACCACATCCACTATGCTAAAGCCATGAACTGTACACGACTGCTGCGGAAGGCCTATGACGACGCTCTCGCCAACTATGACGTACTCGTCATGCCCACGATGCGCACTTTGCAGGCAGAGTTGCCAAAACGGGTAGCAAGTATACAGGGTATGAAAAATGAAAAGAGTCGTAAATGAATAAATTCATTTTACACATTATAATTTACTTGTCAATTAAAAAAATTAAATGTTGTAAAAGTATAACACAACCTTTCGTGATCACAGTTTGTGCATATCGAACAGGTATCGAAAGAGCAAATATGCTGTATTTGTACTGATCGTTTTAAAACGTAAAGGCTCTTCACTCATAAATACTCATAAATATACTTTTACTCACATTATTTTCATTTCGTTTTATGATATAACTCAAACCCCAGAAGAATAGTTCATTGACGTTTGTGTATTCACGCAGACGCTTGGTTTGCTTTCAGAGAACTTGGACAAAATCTTTGGAATGCTCAACAACGCAGCTCAGTTCAACCTAACTCACCACCCGGCACTCAGCATCAACGCTGGATTTGCAGGTGGACTTCCGGTTGGCCTCATGATCGTCGGAAAACGCTTTGATGAGGTCACAGTGTTGAAAGCTGGTTACGGTTTTGAGAAAAAACGAGATGAATAGTTTTTAGAGGGTTAATATGTCATCAAGGCCATTGACAGGGGAATCATTATTATCACTTCAGTTTCTCAACGACGATTTTCATAAGCAATCGACCATTTCCATGAACGAAGTGCATGTGTGACGAAGTTGTTGTCTTTATTACTGGTGTTACGCGAGGTAGCAAATACAACTCAGTTATAATCTTTCTTCTTATTTATTTAACTACTTTCCAGTTGTTGCCCACGTCACTTTCTTCATTTCTATTCTACCTCATGCAATCTTAAATAGCGGCCTTCTCTCTGTTCATATCACGCGTAGTTGTATACACTGTAAATGCCATAAGAGCATGACAATCAACTCAAATTATTCTACATAACACTCCCCGCTCCTTATTCACTCGTGGCTGTCATTTACTAACATTACACATGCAAAAAAATCTCTTAATAGATTGTTACAGAGTGNAAGTGCGGTTATCACATCTGTCATCTGCGTGGATTATTTTCAGTATTGCTGTCTATAATTGCTAAATACTCGATATCAGGAATGTTGCAGAAAATACTTAAATTACATTTCAGCAGTGAAGAAAAGACTTCTTCTTTTCACTTTAAAGATGAAATAGACAACGCTCATCGTTACAGAGTGTAATCGTTGGTTGCTCACGTTGAACCGTGGTAGCAATACATGTATTTCCAACCTTGCAACCCTGACGCATGCGCACACAATGCTAAATTGTGCTTTGGGTGGTCAGTAGATAAACAAAGAAAGCTGATATTTGTCGAACTTATCTAGAATAAACAGCTCTGTAAGATAATAGTTGAAACGTAAGGATTTATGGTAAGGTGATTTTCTCGTTTCGCTTCTTCATTTTTTCCCCTTTGCTCTTCTTTGTTACCGTACATGTACATGTCGCTGGTTAATTCGTGACACTTTCCTCTACACGTTAGAGAAAAGCGCACATGATTGCACTGTGGCCTTCGTAATGCGCCTACGTTGTTGACCCGGCACGTTGTAGAGTATATCACCCAACTTAAGTGTTCAGCTGACCCTAGAGCCTAGAGCCTGACACCATTTTGGACTTGGCATATAAAATGGCCGAGAAGAAAGCATGTTTTGGAGGTGAGAGTTTATTGGTTTTCTGCTTGTTGACAGCTACATGTCTTATGTGCGTTTTACAACACTGCCGGGCGTCAAATTGGGCCAAATTGACGCGGTGTATTACAAACACCCACGCACTTAACGTACTCTTCACCGAAAGCCTCCTGAGTGGTATGGTCATTTTAGAACTAAAAATTATCGGTCTTTACGGATGTCCACAGCTAGTTGTAATAGAAGCAGACTGTACATTTCACGCATATGTGTGAGGCTGAACCCAGACTGAGCCCGCTATTTCAGACATCCGTCGTTAAGGAAAACATCACACTGTGGGCGTAACCCGATCCTTTGCTCCTTTACAAACAACAAACACAGCAAATGAGTTTGACCAGCGCACTAGTAGTGCCACCGTAGTTCCACCTAGAATGACTACAAATAACTTTTATTCGACACACCCTATGATTGCGCATGCACTAGTCTGAGTCTTTTCATCTCATAACGCACAGAAATCATATTCCTGCTATACTTCGAAACGCCGGTATATTTAAGAATAGAAACCTCACAACAATAGCGTGAGGTGTGTTTACCTTACAGCGACAAGTTAAAGGTGAAACTCAATGCCCCACGAATGATGTATTAAAAAGCAGCATAAAAGTGTCACGGAAAACGCAGTGGATTCTTATTGTCGTGCAAAAGACTAATTCTATAGATAACACTAAGATAACAACCAGACATAGCCCCGTGAATAAAATATAAAAGCTTTTATTCCCTTCCATTCCGAGTTCATCGTTATTGCTGACAGCAGTGCGCTCTTCTCCAAAACCTTGCAAACTGGCTTGATTTTACGCTACGTTGCAATATACTAGAGCCATCTTGTGTGATTCCCATTTACTGTAAGTCACGCACACCACTCGTCACAAACACTACGCTAACCAGAGGTATATGTTTTACAGATGAATTGTCTTTAATCAGTTAAAACCTTATTTTAGTCCCCGATGGGTATGCCAAGGCTCCGACCTTCCACCCGCCCAACATAGAACACCTGAGGAAGATCGCTGGAGACTTGAGACTTGAGCTGTCGGACGAAGAACTCGCTGCATATAGAGGTACACCACACCAACAAATTCATACACGCACGGTCGCAGACATTCACTATATCTCTTTCTATTTCTTTCCTTCTTTCTGTTTACATGGACGCACGCAAGAACTGCCACTTAACTATTTATTTATTTACCACTTGCCCTACCTTATGTGTCTCTCGTCTCATTCTAGAGTGATATAAGCATTTTTGAAAAAAAGGAAAAAAATATAGTCGCTTTATGTTAAAATTTGACATTCTTTCTTCAGAACGTTTGCTCCCGCTGGAAGAGGTTTATGGTATACTAGATGAACTGCCAGAACCAACGCTGCCTGTTAAGTACCCTCGAACTCCCGGGTGGCGTCCTAAGCCAGAAGACAACCCTTTTAACGGCTGGTAAATATTCATGTGAAGAGTTCTGAGTAAGTGTTTTGTTTGAAAATAAAGAGTGCGATTTTTCATCATTTGTGGCTGTCCGACATTTTTTTCTCTTACACTTAATTTTCAGTTGCATGCACCAAATTTGTGTCTACTATTCGCCATATTTTTCATCTTTTGTATGCAACCTTTTTTTAACAGATTTTTGGCATGTATCGATAAAAACATTATTAGGTACTGGCGTACGGATATTCAAGGTGCCCCCTCTGGGAAATTGGCTGGGAAATCCCTGGGTATCAAAGACAACACGGCAGTGGCTGGGGTACCTATGATGAACGGGTCCAGGGTGTTGGAGGGCTACATGCCAGAGTTTGATGCCACTGTGGTCACCAGGATACTGGACGCAGGTGAGCTCATACTGTTTGTTGGACAAGCGTGACAGGAATGGTGCAGCCGATGGTAGTCCACTAATATGAGAACAGTGGTGCATTTAACATTAATTTTTACAGGTGGCACTGCCTAGTATACTGGACCCATACTTAAGGCTTACCCTAACCTGTATCAATCATATGGACTCTGGACTTCCTTTGCTATACCACTACCGCACCAGTTACGAAATGAATAAATATTATTGGTTCCTGTAATTCATGACTTTATATTTGCAAGGAATGAAAAGCATAAGTTTTGAGTTCTGTGCAGTACAATTTACGTCTCAAAATACGACCTTATGTATATTTGACTGCTGACTCATGAAGGGATTCCAGTTGGGAAGTATACAACGTTTATTTTGCACATTTCAGGAGGGCGGGTTTTGGGGAAAACCGCAGTTGAAGACCTATGCTTCGATGCGAGAAGTGACACCAACAGCAAAATGCCTATTTTGAATCCATATGATGGCACACTGTCAGCAGGGGGGTCCAGTTCTGGAAGCGCAGCTCTGGTAGGCCTAAGCAATGTGAATATTACCAAGTTGAGAATTATGGAGATTTTTTAGACAATTGTGCATACTTTTGATCTCTTCATAGAGAAAACTATGCACCAAACGACGTCATCAAACCAGATGGCCACAATGTAGAGAGCGAAGAATTACTCCGCATATTTGATGTCAGTTTCCCTATTAGGCCTATCATTTAATAGTGGTAGAAATTACATAAAATTATTTTTAAGGTCGCCGGAGGTCAGATAGACATGGCTCTTGGTGGCGACCAAGGTGGATCTATACGTATACCCGCCGCGTGGTGTGGAATTGTGGGGTTAAAACCCACGTGGGGGTTGGTTCCGTACACCGGTGCGTCCTCCGTACAGCCCTTCCTGGACCATCTTGGACCCATGACAAGAACAGTGGAAGATTGCGCCTTGCTGTTAGAGGTAAATAGGAAAGTAACATGTATTGCCTAGCAAACCCACGATAATTGTTTAATACACAAATGCTTTTACAGCAGTAATCTTGTCAAATGTAGAATCAAGTGAAACGAATATATCATTTTATTTATCTTACATAATTTCATACATTTCTTTCATTAAACGTGTGATCTATCTGTTCTCTTTTGCCACAATTCAGGTAATCGCTGGATACGATGACGGCCTTGACCCCAGACAGCCGCCAAACATTGTGGTGCCCGAGTATTCAAAACTGGTACGCGTTGTGGCATTGCCTGCACTTCTCAAATGGTTTGGTAAAACATATATCCCACATACCGTTGGAAAAAATTGAAAATGGTACATTCTCTATGAGACAATATTCTTATGAAATTTCCGACGCATTTCTCGCAGTTTCACGTTGGTAAACATAATGATAAAATTCACACTCCATATGTAATAAATAGCCTTTGTTGTCAGATAAAACGTATCCAAAAGAAGTTCACGATAGCGAGTCATGACTTTTTTGTTTGATCTTATTCTTTACCCTAGTTGACTGCCGACTTGACGGGTATGAAAGTGGGTTTGGTAAAAGAAGGCTTTGATAAATGTGACAATCATATAGTTTCCACAGTTCGGTCCGCCAAGCAGTATTTTGAGGCAGCCGGTGCCACTGTGGAAGAAACCAGTATTCCTATGCATATTACTGGTAAGATGTACTCTCTTTATGAAAGGGGGTGGGTTGAGCGAAATCGGCAGAGACCAGAAACTATGTGACTATACATGCCACCAACAACTGCGTGTGTTGTCGCCATCGCTGTCGAACGAAAATATTGGCCTCACAGCGAATTTCTCACCCTTAATTGAAAGAGTCATATATACGGTGACCAAATGCAATTTAGTTATCAACTTTATTTGTTTGTGAAACTCATTTCAGGAAGAAAGATTGGTGTTGCAATATTATTTGAGGGATGTAGTGAAAATGCTCTTAATGCAGGAGGTAAGTTTTTTCTCTTTTTTATTAAAAGGTGTAGCATACGTAAGGTAGAAAAAAAGGGAGCCTATAAAATTTTGAAACTTAAGAAAAGGGACGTAAACACGTACTGGCAAGAAATATAAGGAACGGGTAGTACACTACCAAGACATGTGTGATACTAAATAATGGTCGTTACGTGGGATGGGGATAACTTTCATCAACCAGATTTTCACTAAAGGTCAGTCTTAATGGTTCTGAGCGTCAACTATGTACTGTATGTGTACTTAGAGCCGTTATTAAATTAAGATTTTGAATAATATTACGCACATACCTTCGACAATTCCAATTTTCTGTATCAAGGGTTTTCTAAAAATGGTAGATCAAGGGTAGTCTAAAAATGGGAAAATTGGTCTAAATTTTTCTGCTTCGTGAAACGGGTCCCTAACTGTTTTCCGATTTCGTTCTGTTTCCAGGAACCGCCTTTGGCTTCCCTGGATTCTACCCAACTTCCATGCAACAGGCCACGGCTCGGGGGATCAGAACCCATTTCAATGACGTTTCACACCCTGTCAAGATAATGGCTTTACTCGGGGAGTACACCAAACAACGGTACAACCACATCCACTATGCTAAAGCCATGAACTGTTCACGACTGCTGCGGAAGGCCTATGACGACGCCCTCGCCAACTATGACGTCATCGTTATGCCCACGATGCGCACCTTACAATCAGAGCTGCCTAAGAAAGGAGCAAGCATTCAGGGTAAAATGAGTTGTAGACGAAGATATTCATTTTACATTAGTATAATTTAAAATCTTTAAATCAAAATGTTGCAAAACAGTGGGTGAGCTATTGCATATATCCCTTTGTTCGGGATATTTTCTCTTTCCAAGTTAATCACTTTCCATGTGATGACATTGATGGCTTTTAAATATCATTTTAATATCAGTATTATGTTAGTACTCATCTCTATTATTTAAATCCCGTTCTATGGTCTAATGCACTCGAAAAGAAAATATAATGTTTTTATCTTAACAAAGACTTTTTGTTTGCATTCAGAGAACTTAAACAAAAGCGTACTCCACAACGCAAGCCAGTTCAACCTAACTCACCACCCGGCACTCAGCATCAACGCTGGATTTGCAGGTGGACTTCCGGTTGGCCTCATGATCGTCGGAAAACACTTTGATGAGGTCACAGTGTTGAAAGCTGCTTATGGTTTTGAGAAAAAACGAGATGAATAGTTTATAGAGGGAAAATGTGCGACCATGGCAACTGGAGGGGGAATTATTTTCATTACTTTCGACTAACAACGATGATTTTAAATTATATGAATGCTATTTTTAATTCTTAAATTTTAATTGAATTAATCAATTAATTTTTTAATTAAAATTCTACAAATCCAATGCTGAAAGCATTGCACTCGGGGATTAATTGCAGTGCATGGTAGAAACGTGCAGCTAGATGCCGCCATGTTGAATTCTTACATGCAGAGCTTACTCTCTAGCATTCGTTTGTCTACTGCAGAGCAAGCTCGTCATAAAGCACAAAAAGTCAACATGGCGGCATCAATCTGCAAAAGGCCCATTAAACACGTGGCTTTTAATAGCACCTTATGATGATACATTGTTACCGCGTATAAATTTGATGCCACTTGGCGATGTCTTTTCAATTTTATCAACATTATTGCCTCTAAAGAAAACATTTTAAAACATCAGGTGTGAGTGGGTTCTAAATATGAATAAATGATAAAACGGATATCTACACCGGTATTTTTTTTTTTTTTTTTTTTATACCATACATAGCAAAAGCTATTACAGGAAAAGCACAGTGGGTGTGTGCCCAGTTTTCTCTTATATAAACAAATAAACAGATTAATAAGAAAAAGTAAAAAAGAGTTAAATAAAATAAGAAATAAGGTAACGAACGAACAAGACAAAAAATCCAGTCTCTGCCTCTCTTAGAGGAAAATGATGGATCCGTCGGTTTATTAGTTCATGTGTGGCCTGGCAAATGTCCGTTTTTGGATGTGGCATCCATTAAAAGTTGTTTCTTTTTTTTAATTAAATAATTATATCTTTTTGTGGTATAGGCTACTGTGTCGATTAATACCCCGACTGCAAATCAAGGTGACATCCGTAAAAACCATTGGCTTCGCCTCCTGCTTGCTTGGCATGTTGTTGGAAGTGCCAATTAGTGACAAGGGGACACCATTGATGAGAAGGTCCAGACTTGGCATGTCTGTGACAAACTTTGAGTTTACCACCACACTGACCGTCCCCTTCTCTCACCCCTTACCCGGACTTGTAGCCGATGGATGTCACTTAAGGACGGAAAAATGCTTTCTGCAACCAGTCCAACCCCCTCCCCCCCCCTCCCCCCCCTACCCCCCCCCCCCACCCGGCAGTGCGTCTCCCGTACAGTCGGTTATCCTAGGCCATTCTATACAGAGGTGAGACGCCAAGTTCTTATCAAACTTGACACAAAAAATAAATAAATGAAGACTTTAAAAAACGTACATTGGTAGTAAGTCAACAGTTCAATATCTCAAGATAGATTAAAACTGTACATATAGCGCATTAATACAGGCTGCAGCGTCCAATGATATTATTGCTCGTTCCCACAAGCCTACCTGACAAAGATTCAGCCAAAGGAATGGGAGCACCTTAGAAAAAATTAAAAAAAAACGTTAGCGTCCCGAAGCTATCTCAAGGTTCTATAGCAAGGGGCGCTGTCAAAACCACGTCTCCAGGGGCCTATTTTGATATGAGGGATATTAACCAAGGCGTGAGGAGACCCTCCCCCAAGCACCACTAGTGGCACTGACGTCATATATCGCAGTTTGGAGGCCTAACAAAGGATATTAGGGCCAAGGAGCTAGGAAGGAGCAGCATTTATCGCTAAGGGTACAGCTTCTTACCACTTGCTACAGGGTAACTTCGGAAAACAACACGGTTCAGGGTCAGAGAAAAGATCCATTTAAAAAGAAGCAAGGTGAAAAATATTCAGATAAGAAGGACGTCTGCTGAGCATTGATTTGGCTTAGATTGCCTGCAGAATGACAGAAAATTTTGAATCTTATGGAGGTAAGCTCGTAAATTTATGATTTGAGAGGCAATTCGTAGCACGAATGATACCAGTATTTGTATCAAAATCATTGGTTATATATTTATGGGGGTCACTCTGGTCTTGATTGTCCGAACGCAGTGGGAGACGGGGATAAATGGTGAAATGTCGAGTATATATATAAATAATAATTTCATTTCTGTGATAATTAAATGAGTTTTTGTCGGTTGTGCCACGAATACGGTTATACCAACACAGTATTTCCTATAGGTTTACATTTTTTCTTGACACCTGACTTCTTTTGACCCGCCAGTCGCGTACTACCTTCTGTTACTGTGTTTGCGGTTAATATATTGGCCCCACTGGCTTCCTCACCTTAAATGAGCCCAAACACCAGTCGGCTTTGTTGATTCATTGGCGCTCTAGATAACCAGTGTCGTGTAAATTGTACGAAACCTTGACCGGGCACTCGGACTATTCGGTGTCCTTAGCTGCACTGGGTGGGCTAGGATATCTAACTTATCTGTTTCGCCGCTTCGATAACCGTTCTGAAAGTTTTTCAGATTCCTCTCATCCAACACATTACCGATACATAGAGATTCTCCAGTACTATCTTTTCCGGCAGCAGGATAATTCCCGAAGCAGGTGTAATGTAGTGCTTATTAATATAAATGATGGGAATAAAGGGATGGGGGGACAGTACCTTATTTCCTGCTTTAGGCTAGTAAGATAGACAAAACCATACTTCATTTTTTCTCAAACGGCCAAAAATTACCCGCAAGAAAACGCAGTAGATACTCCAGCGCAGTAGACTACATGTGTATACATGTACGCAATCATACTGCAAACCGCAGTAGACTACTGCAATCATACTGCAAACATGCTTCAAATCTGCTTCGATTTGGGAGCTAATTAGCATATTTGAAACATGCTTCTGTCATGCTGCTAATCTACTGCATTAATGCTCCTCTCTGTACAAACCTATGTCCTTTTTGGAGTAGAATTGCAGTAGGCTATGCTGCATTTCTACTGCAAATATGCTCCACACCACTACTGCGTTAATGCTTTTTTTGCTACTTCGATACTACTGCATTTTCGTGCGGGTTATAAACTCTGTTAACTTAGACTTCAGCTTCTCCTTCATTGTACCACCATCCGTTAATAATGCCTGATATTTATCTTGCATGATGACTTGTTTGCCACCTGTAATTTCGTGTTCATTGTGTGATCGCTATCTGATAAAACGTGAAACACAGACCATTTCTCAGATGTTATGTGATGTTTTCATAAATTGTTTGAAATCCTAAATAAACAACGGGTATCAAGCCCGAAGTCATATTTTCATCACATTATAGTGTTTTTAAGGGGTGGGTGTGGGAATTTTGCCTTCACTATTTCAAGTTAAGACGATGTAGTGTGCGTTTTAAACAGGAGAGATATCCATATATTCAGAAAACCTGCATGTGGTCAAACTTTAATTTATTAACCGTGTATAATATACATGTAAGTCTTCTTAACAGGCTGGCTTTAATTACATTGGTTTATACATTATCACCAATATATTATAGGAATTTATATTTCTTAAATTTAACAATTTTCCAGTCCCCAATGGTTACGCCAAGGCGCCCACTTTTATTCCTCCCAACAAATGTCAGTTGAGAAAGCTCGCAGAGAACCTAGGACTGGAACTATCGGAGGAAGAATTAACTGCATACAGAGGTAGAATAGTAATTCACAGTCATGCTATTTCTCTTACGTAACGCATTAATACACCTGTAATGCACAGTATTTATTACTTGCTGCAAGGAAGAAAAGCAACAGACGATATAGATATCCAACAGTATCGCGGCCCCTTCAGAAAGAAGATGATCAGATAACTGAAATGCTGTCGCATGTCGGCCATATGGAATAATTATGAATAGGTTCAGATTTTTAGTTTTCTCTCTCTCTCTCTCTCTCTCTCTCTCTCTCTCTCTCTGTGTGTGTGTGTGTGTGTGTGTGTGTCGCGCACTCTCCTCTGCATCTTAACATGTCTGGCGTCTGCGCAAAAGATCCGTAAGTCGACCATAAAAACTTTTTCATACTACTCATTCCTTTCAATTGAATGCTTTGTGCTACAGACTGGTCATTTTCGTCACATACAACAATTACTAACAACCAGTGTCTATTGTCTTTTTTATCTCTTAGAACGGATGCTCGGCCTTGATGAAGACTACAGCGTGCTGGATGAACTGGCAGAACCTACGTTACCTGTTAATTATCCTCGAACCCCCGGATGGCGTCCAAAGGCAGACGACAACCCTTTCAATGGCTGGTGAGCACAAATGGGCACTTTCGGCACAGTTTAAATTAAAGGCGTTTTATGCTAATGTTTAGTCATCGTCTGGCTATAGATGGTTTGAGTGTAGCGAAATATGTCAATCGCTTTAGGGAGCCTTTATTGTCCGTAACCTAATAATGAAGATCGCTAAACTGATGTTTGGTGTAATCAAACAGTATAATTCCGGGAGTAAGACAAATCTGTAAACGGTTTTGATCCCATCTAGATCTGGGTGACCCCTTTGATATAAATATTTTTTTCTGATTATAATGTTCCTCTGTAACTGTTTTTCTTCAATAACCATCACTAATTATCTTTCATCTGAAAAGAGATATAGCTGTCAAATCCACGACGCTGCAAACGCCTTTTTTTTCTAGCGTCATTTCTTACAGCCATGTGATGTTGCAATGCAGTTGAAAGAACAAAATATCTCTTATTGCGAACAATGAATAATGCGACTTTTGGTATCTTTTGTCGAAGAGTGACTTGATGCTAACGTAATTCCATCGTTAAACATTGTTTTACTTTTTTTTTAACTATTTAGGTACTGGCGTACAGATATTCAAGGTGCCCCCTCTGGGAAGTTGGCTGGGAAAACCCTGGGTATCAAAGACAACACGGCGGTGGCTGGGGTACCTATGATGAACGGGTCCAGGGTGTTGGAGGGCTACATGCCAGAGTTTGATGCCACTGTGGTCACCAGGATACTGGACGCAGGTGACGTGGACAAATATTGGTGTTACGCTTGAATTGATATTTGGTATTTCTTTAAGTTTTTGAAACTATAAGGGGGCATTTGGTCGGGTTAGGCAATGATTTGACATGCCAACTCGCTTCAAATGCATCTTTAATTTTAGCATGGATTATGGCCAGATTTCTCAAAACTGTGATACCGATAAATGCTCTCCATGTGGGAGCCGTTACAACATTTTGACAACAATAAACTTGTTTTATTCAGGTGGACGAATTCTTGGGAAAACTGCATCCGAGGACCTGTGCTTGGGTGGAAGTAGTTTCACCAACAGTAAAATGCCGGTTTTAAATCCATATGACCCAACGCGTTCGGCTGGTGGTACCAGTGCTGGTAGTGCAGCCCTGGTAAGTACATGACTACACGTTGTTTTCTACATGTGAACACCGCATATCCCGTAGAATTTATTGCCTGCATTTGGGGATGCATATGGCACAGGCCAGATCCCAGTTGGGTCTTTGCATTGTTAACAGCATAATGAGCATGTTAATTGGCCAAGTAATTTACAGATGAGCTGCCAGTTTGCTTGTATGGAATGCGTAATTAAATAGGGGCCTTGATCTATGACACCCCCTATTTAATTTCTTCTAAAAAGACCCAAGTGGTCACTTCGTAAATTTTTTTTCAGAGATTTAATTTTGAGTCACAATTTTTTCATATTTTGAAGGTCGCAGGAGGCCAAATTGACATGGCTCTTGGCGGCGACCAAGGTGGATCTATACGTATGCCTGCCTCATGGTGTGGTATTGTGGGGTTAAAACCCACGTGGGGGTTGGTTCCGTACACCGGAGCGTCCGCCATGCACCCTCATCTCGACCATATGGGACCTATGACGAGGACTGTGGAGGACTGTGCCTTATTATTGGAGGTTAGCTGTGACGTAAGAGGGATTAACGTTAACAAAACACGCCTTACAGGTCAATTTTTGAATTCAGTTCGATGAAAATAAAATGCCTTGCCGTCTTCGGTGTATTCAAAGCTACTCTGCGTGTTGGAATTCCGATATTTTATAGGGCTGTACGGCATGTACCGGTAGGGCATGTATCAAAAGAAAGAGCAAATCCACCTTTTTTTTTTTTACCAAAAGCAGTCTTTTCCTTTAACGTCGTAAAGGCGGTGAATACTTTGTTTTTGCCAAGAAATATGATGGATGATTTTTAGTTGTTATTCCCTTAATACCCGCGTTTTATCTTAGAAGCATTTATCCCATCTCAGTGTAAAAATTATCCAATAAATAAACTAATGATTTGTAAAGCCTGTTACAAAAAGAAATATTTACTTGTATTTTTCACTTCTCTGAATGACACAATTAAATATATGCGCTATTTGATTTTTTTTCATTTGCCAAAGGTTACTGCTGGTTACGATAATGGTCTTGATCCAAGGCAACCTCAGAACTTAGTGGTACCAGAATATGCAAAACTAGTAAGTTATCCATTAATACTTTGGACTGTGGTGGGAATAAAATTGTTCAGTTTTCAGATTTGGTCAGAATTTTTGCACTGCTCAATAGAAGTTTGGCTAATTTATTGTAAAACCCCATGTCAGACCACTTAAGTTGACAAGATTATATCCGATGACTGTGACGTTTTGTGTATTACAGTGTAAAGGGTTAGCTTTTTTATTTCTAAATTATTGTTTTGCCCATCTCGGTACTACATTTGTTTTTGTGAAAGCTTTTGTATTCTCTTGTGATCATATGAACTTGCTATAATTTACAACAATCGGCTAAAAAACAGATTAACATGGGGATGGAACATTTGTATGTTCTGTAGGTTAACGTATGTACATGTACTTGTCTGTAAATTTTGGTCGTATCAAGTCAACCCTATTTTCAACAACTCTGAACTATGGCTCCCTCAAAGGTATACAATTTGCATTTCAAATAAGTACACAGTCATATTTATTGTGGCTAAATAACGTTAAACTACCCGATAAATCATGATTGTCACTTAGGTTATTAATTTGGAAGTAGTACCAAAAATTTTAGTCAAAGTCAGGGATGGGTCGGGGGGTAATTCGAGTATAGAAAACATTACTTTTTTGCTTGCGGAAGTTAGAATTTGGCACAATTTCTTTAAGTATAGCTTCAAATCTTTGAATCTGCATGCAGCGTAATACCTTTTACTATAGTTGTCTGCTGACCTCACGGACATGAATGTGGGTTTGGTAAAAGAAGGATTTTTTAAATGTGAAGAACAGGTTACTTCCACCATTCGGGCCTCCATGCAGTATTTTCAAGCAGCCGGTGCCAAAGTGCAAGAGATCAGCATTCCTTTGCACATTACTGGTATTATTTTATTGTTTTAATATAAAAATGATTTCCTATATTTTACTGATCATGAAATATGAAAGATGTGAAAAGAAAGGGATACCGATAATGTTCAAATCATAGCTTTCAAGCTGCACACTTACTTGCATGCATGTTACATGTGACGTTTTAGGTATTCTTAGATGTTAGCCAAATCAAATAGTCTGAACGCGTACACGTAAATTTAATAAATACGATTCATTTTAAATACAAGATTTTTCTATATTCAAATAGTCTGAACGCGTACACGTAAATTTAATAAATACGATTCATTTTAAATACAAGATTTTTCTATATTTTACTTGTTTTACTATGTTCTGTACAGTGTACAATTTGGACATAACATTGCGTTTGTCCTTTTGTAGGCCGAAAGCTGGTTTCGCCAATTTTATTAGAAGGATGCTATGAAAACATTTTCAATGGAGCGGGTTAGTATTATACTTGTTTAGACGAAACGACTGTATCAATAAATGTCGTATACAATAGGTCTATGTTGGACAAAAATTGTAAACGTTACTTTTGTGTTAACGTTTTTAATGCCAAAAAATAGCTGAATCGCAAAAGTTTGTTGCCTTTTTCCGCTTTCTTAACATTGGCTACAGGGAATCAATCTTGACTTCTATAATTTAAGGATCGGCGTTTGGTTTTCCCGGATTTTACCCAACATCGATGCAAGAGGCTCAGGCTCGTGGTTTGAGGACCCATTTCAATGACGTGTCACACACGGTTAAAGTCAACGCCTTGATTGGAGAGTATACGAAACAACGCTACAACCACATCCACTATGCTAAAGCCATGAACTGCGCCCGACTGCTTCGACAGGCCTATGATGACGCCCTCGCCAACTATGACGTCATCGTCATGCCCACTATACACATTTTGCCGGCAAAGCTGTTGGAAAAGAAAGCCAGTATTATAGGTAGGTAGACTCACTTTCATTGAAAACTGCAAGATCTTCCCAGAATAACTGATTCACGACAGTTACTAACTAGTTTCGTATACACACTCCTATCAATTTATCATGTGCAAAATAATTTTGTAAGGTTAAACTTTAAATTGATTGCTAATAATAATAATAATAATGCCAATCTTTACGAAAATTACCTTGAGCACACTACGGATATAATTGAAATTAACCGTAATACTGAACCTTACCTTTGAAACTGAGGTTGAGTTGTCACCGACGTCACGTGGTGACATTCTGTGTTTCAAACGTAAGATCGAGTTTGAGCGTTAATCGCAATCCCATCCTTATTACATTTTGAAACAGCTTGAATGAATCAAAACGTTCATTTTGACATACTTTGAATATTTCACTCGTTTCTAGCCCTCTCTTTCTATCTGTTTTAGAGAGTATAGAGCGAAGCCTTGAGATGATTCACAACACGCCCCAGTTCAACGTCACCCATCACCCGGCACTCAGCATCAATGCAGGATTCGCAGATGGACTTCCGGTTGGCCTCATGATCGTCGGAAAGCATTTTGATGAGGCGACTCTTCTTAAAGCTGCTTACGGCTTCCAGCAGAATCGAGATGGACATTAATACGCCAACCACAGTCCAGTGCCATATTTATTTAGCAAAGATTGCACAAACATGACAATCGACGAAAAAATATTATTGGCTCTGTTATCGGCCTTTGAAGGCCTAACAGGGTTGTAATTTTTTAGACATGAAGAACAAAGTAACGCTGTTGTTACCTTTCAGTTATCGAATACATGAAAAAAGAAAGAAAGAAAGAAAAATCAAATCAAAGCCCCAACCTCAAAAGTAACAATCACACGTTACAGAATCTTATAATCGCAACAGGTGAATTCTAGATGGAGCGAAATTTCAAAGTTGGTCAAGGAAGTGCGTCTGCTCCATTGATTCAAATGTGCAGAGTGGGGAGACTAACAATGTACAGTGAAGAAAACTTGATTTAAAATGATTTTAGTGATGTGAATAGAATTGTTTCCTAAAAATAATAATTTTTTGTTTCCACTACAAATGTCTGTCTACCCATTCACATGATAAAACGCCTTAGCGCTTGTCTATTTTTATTCTAGGTCCCAAACTACCGTTGTTCTTGTTCTGGCCACTGTTTTATCCACCCAGAAAAAAAAATCCCGAAAAAAAGACTCATGTTTATCTTTACAAATATGCATAATATTTCATTCAAGATCATGCACTTAAGCTTTGAAAAAACAAATACACAACTGTTGAAATACTCGATTCGTGAGGATGACGTGGCTACAATGATGAACAATGGAACGCTGCGACTGAGACGTATTTGACGAAGTCATCAGACGTAAGGAGACGTCCCCTCAATGACATCAGCGAAATGTTACAAAGCACTAAACGTCACAATAAAATTACATCATAGGGCAGCGGTTGCCGTGGAGCCGTTGCTATAATCACGTTCGACTCTGACAACGTCTACGTTTGACGGTGTTTTTTGCACGTATTTTTCAATTTACTTATTGTGAAAATGTTATGTATTTCTCAAATGCGAGCTATGAAGACCAAAACAAGGAGGGTTTCTTCCCTGGTAAGTGGTTTTAAAAGGATATCTTCTTACTGTTTGCATGATGGAATGACTATTTTATATCGGCATTTCACTGTGAACATTAACGTAATTATGTTCTATGCCCCACTAAAATCTTTTTGTTGAAAACTTAAATAAACCACCTACTTCATCACAAATCTAAGTTAGAATTGAATGCAGTCCAGTCTGCAGATGTTATACATGTCATGGAAAAATACTTTTTTGATTGCGAAATTCACCAACCAACTAAAACTTCATGTGCCTTTGGCATTTTCCATTTTCGCCAAATACAAACAATTTACTCACCAGTTGACTCTTAAGGAAATTAAACTTGCAGTTCATAACTTGCTGGACTTTAACTTATTTGCTTTTGTTTTAATTCTTAACTTGCAATTAATGAAGGCATACGCAATTACAGTTTATTACATGGGATCTGTTATCATTCTCAGGGACGGCCTAGTGTCTGGGCAGTCATGAAACAGAGGGTGCGGAGTCTGTTTTGCGCTGGTAAAAGTCCCACCATCTCAATCAGCACTGCCGCCAGTGAATCCCTCGTACAAGGAATGAATGGAGGAAATGGATCGCTCCGTACTCCAGATCTCCTCCGGGACATAGCTGACATTTCTCTTCAGATTTCTTTGGATACCATTGAAAGTCTGAAACCTGGATTTTTGTCATCGGCTACCATTGACGATGATCTGGTGGGTGTGATGAAGAATTTCTTTTCTTCTTATCTTTACTTTTTACGGACTTCGTTCTCTACCCCTCTCTCTCTCTCTATCTCTCTCTCTCTCTCTCTCTCACACACACACACACACACACACACACACACACACACCTGTCACTTTTGTCCACAATACGATGTAGAACACTGTTCAGTGATTACTTTTCAAATTCAAGTTACTACTAAGCTGAAATAAGACAGTACAAATAAAGGTCTGAAATACAAAATTTCCTGAACTTTCAATAAAAGGCGCTGTTTCTTTTTTTCAGAAAAACATCAAGGAATGCTCTCCTGCTGACATCGAGTTTGATAGAGACTCTCGCGGGAGGCTGGTTGAAATAGGCAGCGGTGGCTTTGGCACCGTCTTCCTTGCCACTCACCGGCCCACTGGCGACGTCGTGGCCGTGAAGATGTTCAAGAGGAAATACTCCTCCGACCAGAGAATTCGCCGCGAGGCAGCCGTCCTGGGCCACCTTGCCGGCACGAAGCTTTGCCCTGAGTTCTACGGGTTGGTCGACTACGGGGCGGACGGCGGCGTCGCAGAGGGCAGATTTGCTCACCTGGCTGTAGTCACGGAACTGGTTCGCTTCAGGAAGAGCACTTTGCAGTGCTTCGACTTGAAGAAGTTCTCGCAGACTTACTTTGCTCGCCGGGGACTGACGCCACAAGACTGGCTGAACTTCAGCCTGGAACTGGTAGAAGGAGTGCAGGAGATACACGAGGTGCGTTTCAGTATAATTTTTAAAATGTTCTGATCATTTTTTCAGACGTGTGATTAGTTGACAGTATAATATTTCTGGATTGTTGCATTAAAATAAGTGTGCATTGTTTTTCAGTTTTATTTATTTATATGTTTTGAATTTCGTTCCTCTCTCTCTCTCTCTCTCTCTCTCTCTCTCTCTCTCTCTCTCTGGGGCCGTATTCTCAAAGGGTTGTAACTTTTGTAACTATTTACGTAAACTTGTAACTTTGGTCTTTCGCAGTATTCTCAAAACTAGTGCAGCTATTGTACTTATAGCGAATTTTTGTAACTTGTCACGTTACTGTCCGTAGGAACTTAGAAACTTTCGAGAATACCAACCTACGTGAACAATCGGACTGACGTGTAAAATCTAATTAAAAAAATTCAAGCTAAAACCTTTCGAGAATACGGCCCTTATGTGCTTGTGTCCATTTCATGTAGCTTTTCTAATATTTTATACTGATGTCTTTAAATTACTTATGAAATATACTTTAAGACAAAATTTTATTCGTTCCAGAAAGGAGTCGGTGTCTTTGATCTCAAGTACGAGAACATCATGGTGACACGCGACCGTCAGGGTGCCATTCACCCTCGCATCGTGGACTTTGGAGCCGCGTGCGCCCTCAACGGCGACAAGCCCATGATGCCACCAGAGAGGTTCTCTTTAGAAACCCTGAGAGCTCTCCGCCACGATAGCGTCCATCTGGCGCCTGAAATCTTCGAACATGGCGTCTCTTCAGCAGCCTGGGATGTGTACAGTTTAGGCCACGTGCTGCAGGACCTGGCGGAGGGAGAGAAGATGGAGGACTTGAAATTTTTGATGGGACAGTGCGTAGCAGACGATCCTGCTCTGCGACCATCTTTGGCCCTCCTTCTGCAGGAAATGAACGCGCTTTCAAACGCAGATATGGCTTAGACTGTGACTCTGTATATAACTTAAGCCCTGATTGGAATGTACAAAATATTACATCTGATGTTATCAGACTTACATAAAACTACAAGGGCTAACCTCATCCAGGCATATTGCCTCAGATTATATAGCGAAAACGCGTATGCGTGGAGTACATTCCTATGTACATCTTGTAAATACATTACTGTGTGTGTGTGTCTGTGTGTGTGTGTGCGTGTGTGTGTGTGCGTGTGTGTTTGTGGCTGTGCCTTTTTGCTCTTTTTTATTTTCATATTCAACCAAATAAACCTGACAGTTTTTCAAAGCGACATTGTTTCACTCAAAACACCGACCACATCAAATGGACAATTATTCTGATCGTTGCATTAATTTTACAAAAATTCCCATAAACTATTGTTTATTGTACTATATGTGTCATCTTATACTACTTTTTGCCAAGAGGTCTTTAAATTGATTGCAAGAGATTTTGCCTCGTGCAGAAAAATATTGGCTACGCGCATCCTGAAAACAGACTCCTGTTTTTCTTTGTTTTTTTTTTTTTTTCAAAATATGCATAATATCTCATTCAGGATGGTGCATTTTAAGTTTAGAAAAAACAAATACACAACAGCTGAAATACTCCTGTCGTGAGGATGTGGCGGCCACAAAGAAAAACAGTTGAATATGGCGACATAGCAGACGTCCCCTCAGTGACGTCATCGAAATGTTACAAACCACTGCATGTCACAATAAAATTACGTCATAGGGCAGCGGTTGCCGTGGAGCCGTTGCTATAATCACGTTCGACTCTGACAACGTCTACGTTTGACGGTGTTTTTTGCACGTATTTTTCAATTTACTTATTGTGAAAATGTTATGTATTTCTCAAATGCGAGCTATGAAGACCAAAACAAGGAGGGTTTCTACCCTGGTAAGTGGTTTTAAAAGGATATCTCCTTACTGTTTGCATGTAGGAATGACTTTTTTATATCGGCATTTCACTGTGAACATTAACGTAATTATGTTCTATGCCCCACTAAAATCTTTTTGTTGAAAGTCTTAAATAAACCACCTACTTCATCACAAATCTAAGTTAGAATTGAATGCAGTCCAGTCTGCAGGCGTTATACACCTCATGGAAAAATACTTTTTGGAATGTAAAGTTTACCAACCAATTAAAAATTTGTGTGACTTTGGCATTTTTTCATTTTCGCCAAATACTAAAATAATTTACTCACTAATTGACTCTTACGAAAATTAAACTCGCAATTCATAACTTTCTGGACTTTAACTTATTTGCTTTTATTTTACTTCTTAACTTGCAATTAATGAAGGCATATGCAATTACAGTTTATTACATGGGATCTGTTATCATTCTCAGGGACGGCCTAGTGTCTGGGCAGTCATGAAACAGAGGGTGCGGAGTCTGTTTTGCGCTGGTAAAAGTCCCACCATCTCAATCAGCACTGCCGCCAATGAATCCCTCCACGTACAAGGAATGAATGGAGGAAATGGATCGCTCCGTACTCCAGATCTCCTCCGGGACATAGCTGATGTTTCTCTTCAGATTTCTTTGGATACCATTGAAAGTCTGAAACCTGGATTTTTGTCATCGGCTACCATTGACGATGATCTGGTTGGTGTGATGAAAAATTTCTTTTCTTCTTAATTTTACTTTTTACGGACGTCGTTCTCTCTCTCTCTCTCTCTCTTTCTCACACACACACACACACTCACACATACACACACACACACCTGTAACTTTTGTCCACAATACGATGTAGAACAGTGTTCAGTGATTACTTTTCAAATTCAAGTTACTACTAAGCTGAAATAAGACAGTACAAATAGAGGTCTGAAATACAAAATTTCCTGAACTTTCAATAATAGGCGCTTTTTCCTTTTTTTCAGAAAAACATCAAGGAATGCTCTCCTGCTGACATCGAGTTTGATAGAGACTCTCGCGGGAGGCTGGTTGAAATAGGCAGCGGTGGCTTTGGCACCGTCTTCCTTGCCACTCACCGGCCCACTGGCGACGTCGTGGCCGTGAAGATGTTCAAGAGGAAATACTCCTCCGACCAGAGAATTCGCCGCGAGGCAGCCGTCCTGGGCCACCTTGCCGGCACAAAGCTTTGCCCTGAGTTCTACGGGTTGGTCGACTACGGGGCGGACGGCGGCGTTGCAGAGGGCAGATTTGCCCACCTGGCTGTAGTCACGGAACTGGTTCGCTTCAGGAAGAGCACTTTGCAGTGCTTCGACTTGAAGAAGTTCTCGCAGACTTACTTTGCTCGCCGGGGACTGACGTCACAAGACTGGCTGAACTTCAGCCTGGAACTTGTGGAAGGGGTGCAGGAGATACACGAGGTGCGTTTCAATATAATTTTTAAAATGTTCTATGTTTTTTTTTTTCAGACGTGTATATTTCTGGACTGTTACATTGAAATTGGTGTGCATTGCCTTTCCGTTTTTATTTTCTTTATGTTTTGAATTTCGTTGCTCTCTCTCTGCCTGGGGCCGAATTCTCAAAAGGTTGTAACTTTTGTAACTATTTGTTACTTGGTCTTTAGCACTATTCTCAAAACTAGTGTAGGCCTACTTACTTCTATTGTACTTACGATTGTTTGTAACTTTTCACGTAACTGTCCGTAGTAACTTACAAACTTTCGAGAATACCAACCTACGTGAACAATTGGACTGACGTGAAAATTTATTTTAAAAAAATACAAGCTAAAGCCCTTCGAGAAGATGGCCCTTGGTCGTTATGTGCTTGTGTCCATTTCATATAACTTTTCTAATATTCCATACTGACGTCTTTAAATTATTTATGAAATATACTTTAAGACAAAATTTTATTCGTTCCAGAAAGGAGTCGGTGTCTTTGATCTCAAGTACGAGAACATCATGGTGACACGCGACCGTCAGGGTGCCATTCACCCTCGCATCGTGGACTTTGGAGCCGCGTGCGCCCTCAACGGCGACAAGCCCATGATGCCACCAGAGAGGTTCTCTTTAGAAACCCTGAGAGCTCTCCGCCACGATAGCGTCCATCTGGCGCCTGAAATCTTCGAACATGGCGTCTCTTCAGCAGCCTGGGATGTGTATAGTTTAGGCCACGTGCTGCAGGCGCTGGCGGAGGGAGAGAAGATGGAGGATTTGAAAGTTTTGATGGGACAGTGCGTAGCAGACGATCCTGCTCTGCGGCCATCTTTGACCCTCCTTCTGCAGGAAATGAGCGCGCTTTCAAACGCAGATATGGTGTAGACTGTGACTCTGTATATAGCTTAAGACCTGATTGGAATGTACAAAGTATTACATCTGATGTTATAAGACTTATTTTAAACCACAAGGGCTAACCTTATCCAGGCATATTGCTTCAGATTATACAGCGAAAACGCGTATGCGTAGAGTACATTCCTTTGTACATTGTACATACAAGCTGAATATCTCATGAGTTCTGATCACTTTTTCTTGTAAATATATCAATGTGTGTGTGTGTGTGCCTTTTTGTTCTTTTTTATTTTCATATTCAACCAAATAAACCTGACAGTTTTTCAAAGCGACTTTGTTTCACTCAAAACTCCGACCATATGGACAGAACAGTTATTCTGATCGTTGCATTAATTTTACCAAAAAAAGTCTATTGTACTATATTTGTCACCTTACATTACTTTTTACCAAGAGATCCTTTTGTCTCGTGCAGAAAAATATTTGCAACATTTTCAAATTTACACCACATAAGTATCTAACGCGACAACAGACCATGGGTTTTGTACGCCAATGTCTAAGTTAGAAAAAATCGCTTGAAATATAATAAGATTAATAATATACAATATGAACAGTTCCTCTTTGTCGTCTAGCCGTCGAATGACGCGTTCTAGAATGATCTCTAGAATATCTAGAATGATCTTTTAGAACCGACCGGATGGCCTTGTGGTTAGAGTGTCCGCCTCCGGAGCGGGAGGACGTGGGTTCAAAACCCGTCCGGGGACATACCAGTCCTTTATAAACGGTACCTGCTGTCTCCCCGCTTGGCACTCAGCACTTTGGGGTTGAAGCAGGGTCCTGGTCAGGCAGAGAACGATATTGTAAGATTGATAGCACTCAGCGCCTCATACGGCAGCGGGGCTGTATCCTCCCCAGGGAGGCGAGATTGTACACAGCGTGTTTTGACCAGTTGTATACTTGTTATATGTATGTACATATTTGTAAAGTCTAACGAACATATTCATATGGAGTTTAGACTTAAAATAAATATATTATTATTATATTATCTCTACTTAAGATCAAACCTGGGGTAGCCTCAGCTTCAAACCACGCTCACTGAATCCCTGCCAAAATTTGTCTCATTTAACACTCACTTACGGTTCTCAATCTGTCCTAGAACATGTATTGCTCTTTAAATTAAAAAAAATCCTCAGTCTGTTTTAGGACATTCCGAATGACATCCCAAAAACAGTTCTCGAACTGTAACATTTATTACAGAACAACACTAGAACTGTAAAAAATACACCAAATGTTCTAGAATAGATTGAGAACCGTAAGTGAACATTAAATGAGACAAATATTCGCAGGGGAAACTGCAACGAGTGAGCACCATTTGCGCCCGATGTGACAGGTATGGCAGGTCAAGATGTTTTCAACGAAAAAAACTAGCAAATCTTAGTGAATTATCTTTATTCAAAACTGGACATCATGATTTAAGTACTTATAAAATTCTTATAGCCGATTTAATAGTTTCTCAAATACAGAATTTGCCTGCATATGATAAAATGTAAAGTTTCTTTAATTTCCAGGAGATGGATGAACTAAAAGATTAAATCTCATATTGCCAATAACACAAGGTTATCTAATACGTCTTAAAAATTCATGTTATTATAATAAGATATGTTAATATGAACAACACAATAATAAAAAAAAAGACTACAAACGCATTGCAATATATCAAATTAGAAAGGTCGATCAAAATCAATTTTGACAATTAAAATGTGACACTAGTTCGTATCTCTGCCCTTGAGTATTTCCACCAAATTTTGAGTACTTGATGACAAATGTAGATTTGTGAAAAGCTTAGTCTTTAGCCTGCATTCTATAATCAAAACACATTCATTTTTTTGCCAATAAAAACTAAAATGGCGAAAGTAAAACTAGCCATTCACATGCCTGGACACAACTGACCAATCTAGCACAAACTGAAAACCCATCCAATCTATGCATCCAAGCTACCAATCAGACACGGGTTATCATGCTCCATCCTACACAAATAGACCAATGATATTTGAATTTACTTCAGCCCATTTTACCTGTCTTCTTAAGAGTAAATGAGATAAAAAAGAAAAGAGATTTGTAATATATGACACGCTAGACACATAAAGCTAAGATATATTAAAGCTGTATATATTTATATATATGATGTTACACAGTGATGAAATGTAAGTTCTTCTAATTAAGCACCAAGTTAATGACCAAAACTGATATGAAAATTTGTTTTTACATTCTAACATTTTATAGGTAAACAAATGCCTGTGTAAAAGTTTAAATAATCCTACCTACACTTACACACTCAAATTAAAATTTACAATAAAGAATGTGTGGGCCAGTTATTTGGTTGTGCAGCTTACACTTCTTACTTTCATTTAAAGTGTACAGTAAAACTTAAATCCAATGCTCAAGTATCATATGTATGTGATTTCACCAACTGCTTCAGTCAATATGATACCATGATACAAAGTGGTGCTAAACATAGGCATGACTGTGCTTAAAATGGGCTGACAGAACATACGAGTTTTAAAAAGCGTAAACACGAGATTCTGGGTCAAGTAAAAAACCCTGGCAGTGTTACAGCTATATCAATGTACCAATCAATTTTCTTATATAACATGATAAAGAAACCAAGACTATTTATTCCTTGAGAAAACAGTGCCTCAAGTAAACAAATTAAAAATTAAAAAATATCCAATCCATTTTAAAGTATGATTTACAGTTCAGTGCCTCTGTTATCTAGTAAACAAAGACTGGAGAGCAGTTATGTGGAATAATTCACCGTTATCATTTGTATAATTTATCATACAATTCATTTATCAAAAAATCTAGCGGTGGGACATAATAGAAGTTGCACCCTATAATTACATGCAATAAACTTTTACTAGAAATATTTACACTTATATAAATGAACACATTCTTTCCATGTTAATACTATTGGCATTACACGTAAGATGACAGTGCTGTATTTTAAACCTACTTTAAGTAGGGGCAAGTAGATTGGAATGCTATACAGCCTTTTTCTAACTTTTGTTTGGAGAAAATGGAACAACCATTTTAACCATTTTGGAAAAACTACAAAAAAGACACAAGGTATCTATAATGCAAAAACAATGGCTTGATGCTCTCCTTAAGATTTACTTACTTTTATCAATATCAATATTTGTAACTGATACTTTGTTTCTATCAAATATTCTTCTAAGGAAGTGACATATATAGTAATTATCTGAAAAAAATCTTCCTTAAATGGTTTTGTTGGATATGTATGAAAGCACACTTTCAAAATTTCTGGAAAAATCGGACAAATATGAATTGTATGAAATTTGTGAGTAATTACTAAATGACTTAATTATAACAATAAAATCTAAAAGCATTTCTCCATCATTTATTACTTACATACACTAGTATAGATGGCAGCACATGATGGAGCACCATGTGACCTGTTCTCAGTTTTAATAAGTTAAACATAGAAACACAGAACAACGTCCCAAAAGTTAACATTTGACCTTTTGGCTTGGAGGTTACCTAGAGTTCAATCCCAAGAAGAGTTCTGTTGACCTGTCAGATGAATGTTGAATTTTTTCTCTACTATTTAATCCACTGTTTGATTCACATGATTACTTATTTAGGGCTGGCAATCTCGATAGAAATCAGACTTTTCCTGGATTTCTTGAGTGAGAAGTTTCATTCGTGCAAGCAGGGCCTCAATCTCGCCAGAAAGCTCTGTCAAAGACTTCTCTCTTTCCATGAAATCTCGCTCCATTGCTGAAGAACAAAGCATTTCATTGTAAATAAGTTAAGTGAATTTCTTTTTTTTTTTAATTTCAGGTGAGAGGTCAGATGCTTTTAGGCAAGAAGAAACTATGAACATTCAAATGCCTCATAGCTTACTACAAAAAATACATTTATGAGAACTTTAAAATATTTTATCTTTACATTAAATATCTTTAACTGACAAAAAAGTGTTCAACTATATAAGAATTTGCTTTCAACCTACTTCGAAGTTGGTACAGTTTAAACTGAGTACTTTGTGCCAAAGTTGTTGCATTTTTTTTAAGTTGGACTGCTCTCTCTTTTGCATCCTTGGTCATGTTGTATTTGGCCTCTAGCTGAGCAGAAGCATCCTGGTACTTGGTCTCCAAGTCTGCTGCATCCTGAAAAAAAAAAAAAAAAAAAAAAAAAAAAAAAAAAAAAAAAAAAAAACAATCACAATGTCACATCTTACAGTGCTATTAGTGATAATAATCAATCACTTTGGAAACTAAGTTGCTTCCTAATGCTATGTTCCACTTGGGATTATAACCAGTAAATCTTAATGAATTAAGAAAGATACATTCTTATATTCAAGTCCCAAACCAGAAAAAATACTGCAAACACGTTTTAAAAGTGCAAAATATATTCGATTGAAAACCAAACTTTGCCAAACTCACAGATTCTGCCTTATTGGCCATTTTCATGGCTCCGTCAGCCTCCCCTTTGGCTCGCTGGACGCTGAGTTCATTCTGGACATATTTCTTCTTGACATCCTCCAGTTTTGTGGTCAAGTTCTGGACAGCTTCCAGGGAAGCATTGGCTTTGCCCAGTGCGGCATCCGTCTCTGATTCAACCTGCAGAAATAAAGGAATAAAACAGATGATTTCAATTTGGTACTATTACATCCAGAAACCCCTTCAAAAAGAACAAAGTATGTACTGTTTAAATAATTTTCTTTAATTTTAATTTTCAATATCAGAAATGAGAAAAAATACAATATTCAAAAAACTACCATGTTTAAAAACTACTTGTTTAAAAATGTGATCAATGGCATTTCAAAATACATACAGCTTAAACCCCACTGAAGCTACAGAGAGTCTAATTTTCAAATGACATAACATTTAAATGCATCTTATTTAAACAGATAAATTATCAAAAGAGCACCAATACATTAGGTATCATGGAAAATGCACACATCAGAAAACAACTACACCTTTTGTCTTCAGATATGGTTTACTTTTAATATATATACACTCATTACAATAACTAGTAATCAATGTGAACTACCAAATAAATTAATCATACATGTGTAAAACTCGGAATAACATGTATTTCTACTGATGTTCAGTATACAACAGCCCAAATACTGTACCTGAGTGAGATGTGTTTCTGCCTCCTTGATATTCTCATTGGCTTGGTCTATAGCCTTCTGGGCTTTGTCCTGAGCCTCTTCGGCCAAGTCCAGGCGGTCAGACACCTTACGCGCTGTGTCCAAGATGGTGGCCGCATCAGCACTGAAAGCAATATTTGACGGTGTTTGACACAAAGTAAAATCAGAAATGATCCAGTTAATTAACTATCGCATCTGTTTTATGGCATAAAGACTCCATTGTTTAAGTTTTAGACCAAAACTTTAATTCTATTTCAGTGGACTGGTATGAATTTATCTCTACCATAAGTGTATCAATTTTTTTGTTCTAAAATTACATAAGTTCTTAAGTGATACTCTGGTAATTCACCTGGCTTTTTTAGCTTCTTCCTGCAACTTATGAGCCGTTTCATTCCGACTCCTGGTGGCATCCAAAATCTCATCAATATTGGTTAGTCCGATGACAGTTTTGTTAATCTCCGCAGCCAAATTTTCTATTTCCTCTGGTGTCAGTGAAATACTCATTGCCAAAACCTCTTCTGCGACCTGACGGATATCTTCTGGGCGAGCCCCACCCTTGGTGAGGAACTCTGCAATTGATTCCAGTAGTTTCTGTAACTCTGTTCGAGATGACTCAGACATGTTCTTGGCTTGCTCAGCTTTGTCAAATGCGGCCTGTACCTCGCTCTTTGCCACTGAGGCATCTGCTTCCACTGCTTCTACCTAGAACAGTAAAAACTCCATGTTAATCCTGTTATCTTGTGATGATTTTACCAAAGCTTAAAATACTAAAGACAACAAGTAATTGTTCACTGCAGATGTAAGTTGAACAGTTACAACTGAGATGTTCAAAAATCCTATATTCAGGATTTTCCCACCAATTTTTCCTTGGATAAAAAGTAAATTTCGCCTAATCATGAATTATTGCTTGATATCAGTTAAATTTGGTGTTTCATACCATTTTAATTAAATAATTAAGTTTTAAATGTTTCTTGCAATACGCAGACTGTCTGTGCCTGCCTTTAGTAGGAAATACTGGCATCACATGCTTTTATTTGAGGGATTTATGGTTTTTAAGGCCTGAATTGAGAAAGCCCAGAAGCTTTTAATAGAGATGTAGACGGAAAATATGATTGTGGGACAGCTTGAACAATGAAGTATGAATGGCACAGTACCAAATTGTGTAATGTATATTCCATGTATTCATTTATGGCCCATGTTCACCTTTCTCTTCAATATATACACTCCCAAGACCAGATAATGACCTGATTTGCCAGTTATAAGAAGATTAACAAACCAATTTCATGACATAAAGACCTGCTTGGCTGCACATAAATTAATACATCATATCAATTCTTACCTCTCCAAGTAAGTCTTGCAGATTCTTTGACCTCTCTGCCAGAGTATCTTCTGTCTGTTTAGCCAGGGAGAGGGAGTTGTTCGCCTTGGTCACGGCACCTGCATCGCAGCTTTGACCGCCACCTATAATGCCGCACTTGCCACATCCTCCTCCACCACATAGCACGTCACATGGTGTGCCACGCCCATCACATACCTAGGAGGAATAAATAAAAAGATCTTTAAGTGTTCAAATCTCCAGGGCAAGAAATGTTTTTGGTCTACTAAAAGATATCAAGTGAATGTTTAAACTCCTAAATCCACAATTTGCATGGAAATTTGGAATCTGACACATACAAAGAGCACTGGGATCAACTTCTTATTTTTTAAGAAAAAGTGCATTTCAGATTACTTCAATAAGAATACTATTAACTTAACGTTCAGATAAATAAATCAATTAATGTTTCTTTAATAAGAAATTTTACCATGTTGTTAACATCTGCCAGCTGATTCTCGAGGAGTTCGATGTCAGTTTGCACATCTTCAATAGCATCTTCGTTTTCCTGTGTCTTACGCTGGAACTCGGCCTGGTTGTCCGCCATGAACTGCTCGGCCCGTTCTCGTGTCTGTTTGGACTGGGAAACAGTGTCATCTGTGTCATCCACAGTCTTCTGCGCTGCTTCCGACCTTTTCTGGCTGCTTTGCAAACTTTCAAACGCACCTTTTAAGAAATGGCCAATAGAATGTGTTTTTAATATTGTTTATAAAATTTCCTCTCTGAAAAATGTGTATCTATGACAGCTCTCTGAATTACTATTACTGCAATTTTATTATCTCCTATAAGAGTGTGAGAAAAAGATTTAAGAAAATAACATCAAATTGTGTTAGGTGTGACAACAAAATAATGTCAAATTAGGTGTGAGACTCACCTTGTACATTCTGTTCCTTCAGTTCCTCAGCTTCCTTCTTCAGTTCATCAGCGGCTTGTCTTAGTCCATTAATGCCAAGACGTAGAACCTGAATGCTATTTTCCGTCTTCAGGATTTCTCTTCCTGCTTCCTTCACTCCATCTTCAACTCCCTGAACAGAGTTGGCCTGGCCATCCAACTGGGTTCTGAATGTATATAATAACATTTATCTGTAACTTAAGGTACTTGGATTGTTCATTGATATGAAGTATATATAAATACCGGCTTAATAATAATGCCTAGAAAAAACTGTTAGGGGGTAATTATCTTTACCCCCTAGCAGATTCGGTAGGCATGACAGACATTTAAATCTCCTTTAATTCTTTAAATATTTCCTTTGTAAAACATCATTTAAAAACTTCTTATTTAGTAACACCTGATGTGGCCAAATATACATGACACCAACATTTAACTACACACAATTTAAAACATGTCAATGTATCCTACCTGAGCTGTTCCAGCTTAAGTTTTAGCCCCTCAATATCAGCCACAGAGACATTTGCATTTTCGATTAGCTGGCGAACCTGGTCAAGTTTGCTCTCCATCTCACGGAACACCTGCTCGTAAGCTTTGCTTACACCCTGAATTTTGATTTCATTTGCTTCTTGGATCAGCAAGCGTGTCCTTCCTGAAGAAGAAATGGGTTAATGATGGGTCCTTGTATTTAGATCTTGAATTTCATTCTTTTAACAAATTTCTAATTTGTTTATATTAAAACTGAAGATGACACTAACCAAAGAACCCATTTTTAGTTTCTGGGCCACCAAGACAGTTTTATTAGGTTACAGTCTGTCACATCATTGAGTCTACACTAATCTATCAATCTGATTTCTATTTTTGAAAAATTTAAAAGTAGGTTGGCCATATTTGATCTCCAGAATGAACTATGAACCAAGAACACAGTAACTTACCCGCCAGATCCTGAATGATCTTGTCCCAGTTATCAAAGCACTCTCCACAGGGCACACAGTTGGGGAGCTGGCCCGTGGTCCCCCTTTCGCAGCGGTCACACTTGTGTCCAGCCACCCCTTCCAGACACTCACACTGACCAGTACGGCGGTCACACTGCAGGCTGGCTGACCCTTCCCGGTTACAATCACAGGCTAGTGGGATAGAAATCAAGTAAATAAACAGACATGAACAAACTGAAAAAATCTGAGGCATATCACAGATTTACAATGACTTCAGGGCATAATTGGACAGCAAATGACATTTTTTATGATATATGTGATGTTGGGAGTATTGCATATTTGCCATGTTTTTGATGTTCACAGTATATGTTTAATTTCAAACAGTTGACATGAGGAATTAGACTAAAATTAATTTCTCTCTGGTTATGTGATGCCAATAGGGGGCGTGATATGGGTCAGCGAGTTCTCATGTCATTAGTTTCCATAACTTATTTTATAGACTGAAAATTTTTGTGTGCTCAGCCTATGGCATTTCTAGCATTTAGTACCTGGATAAACCCTTAGTCAAAGCTGTCAAAAACTTATTCTTAAAGTTAAGACCAACTTTACTGAAATGGGATGCAATGCTGTCTGTACTTACGATAGCAGGCTATGTTAGGGTTACCCCAGTAGAATGCCTCACATTCTCCACATGTCAGCCCTCCTCTTCCTGGCTTACATTCACATTGGCCATCAAACTGGAAAACATAACTCGTATACTTCATTATCTATTATATCTATTGCAAGTAAAATTAAAATCTTGTCTTGGAAATGTGCAATCAGTAGTGCCACCTACGGGAGGCAAACAATACCACATACCGCACTTATGAAAGGGTGAAAGTATGTCTGCTACCTAAGCTCAAGTTGCAATGTCATAAAGGCTTCAATATTACATCCCTATCTAAATTTTACATATCTCTTTTCAATCCAATTAAAGTGGCACCCCTTCAAAAAAAATATATATTTTGCATGAACAAAACTAGAAAGAGTTTATTAAAACTCTTTTACACACACACATTTTTTAGAAAAATTTCTGGTTATTTCATCAAACTTGAAAGCAACAGACAACAACATCTCACCTCATTACACTGAGTGGACAGAGACCCATCAGGGTCACAGTTGCAGGCCTCACAGCCAGTACCGCTGGCCAGCTTCCAGTGGTTGGGAGCACACCGGTCACAAGCTCGTCCAATCACATTGGGCAAGCATGGACACTGTCCAGTGACAATGTCACAAGCTCCCATGGAGCGGTTTGTGCCGAGAATGTTACACACACATGCTGTAATATTCAAAGATTAAACATAATCATAGCAAAGCTTAAATACAGAATATCTTTCTCCAATGTTATGTAAAACAAAAATCTGAAAGTCTTAAGCAACTTTAAACAATCCAAAAGTTAAAAATTTTTACTTTCCTCTTCATTTACAAATCTTCTTTTACCCGGCATGAGCCTAGGTTAAAAAAAAAAACTCTGAAAATTTATCGAATATCAGACAAGAAGAATCTCAGGAACCATCAGAATTCAATTTAAAATGCAGAATTCTGCAGAAAAAGCTCATGACTGTTTACTGAAGATAACCTACCCTGACATGTCTGCCTTGTTGCATCTCCATAGTAACCCTCCTTACACCTCTCACAGCTGTAACCTTCAGTCTGGTACAGACACTTCAAACATTCCCCAGTGACAGGGTCACAGCTACCAGGTACGTCAGGATCAATATTATTATTACAGAAACATGCCCTGCATTCCCCACCAGGTACAACTGGGTTGCCATAGAAGTTATCAGCACAGCGATCGCAACGGTCACCGGTGTACCCAGGGCGACAGTCACAGCGGACATTTTGTTCTCTGGTCAAGCTGCACGTGTCTGCATGCTGGAATCCGCTGCCTTGGCCGCCAGGACATGGGCAGGCACGACAAGGAATGTTGGCGCCTAGTCTGGGATCTCCATAGTAACCACGGACACATCTGAAAATCAATGGGGAAAGATATGAGAAAATGGATCACCTGAGAGAACAGACTGTGTACAATGCATTTCTCAACAATTTTTAGCAGGTAATTATTAAGGAACTTTAGAATTAAGAATATAAACCTAAAACTGATAACCACTGATATCCTGCTATTATTTTTATTAATGCAATATAAAGCTAGAAAAGTGAGAAATATTTGGTTATCCACGTTGAGACATAGTGAAATACCAAAGTGTATTAAGATTAGGCAGATATTGCATTAATGACTGTGCCACATAGAAACAACTCTACTAGGGTGTGCTAATGGTGAAACATTCCAAAAACAATACTCACAGTTCACAATTGTCTCCAGCAGTGTAATCTCTACATCCAATACATCGCCCTGTGGTGTCCTCACAGGTGTCAGCATGGCCATTACACTGACACAGGCGACAGTTGGGGAAGTTATAATACCCACGCTGACACTGGTCACACTGGCGGCCATAGGCGTTAGGGATACACAGACACTGGCCAGAAGTCACATCACAGAAATTGTCGCGGGAACCGAGAGCATTACAGTTACAGGCTGAAATTATATATGAAACATTTTAAGTGAAGTTTAAACGACAACGAAAAGCATTACAGGTACAGGTAAAAAAAATCTACTAGCCCTTCTGGGCACCAGTTTCAAGGAATCAACTGACCCAAAGCAGAAACACTGTCCACTGGCTAAACAAAGTTACATTTCTATTTTTTGGGCGCAGCTTAAAATTAACTGAGATTAGCATTTATGTTGCAGACTGGGTTTGTCACTAACCTAAGCATCCCTGTGGTCCAAATCCATACGTTCCTGGTGCACACTTATCACAGCGTCTTCCTATGACATTTGGTTTACATTGACACTGACCACCAGAGGGGTCGCACACGGCACTCACGGAGCCAGTGGGGTCACATTCACAGTCTGAAAAGATAACCAGGTGTTTATTCAAATCTATTAATCTATCTATACATTTATTCACTTGACAATCAATAATTTGGTTTTTCAGCAATGAGTAGTTTTTTTCAACAGAAAGAGTGTTGTTTAAACCTGCAATAGTAACTCGAGGGCAGAACACTATCTAATGTTCTCATTACTAAAAACATTTTTGGGCATGTTTAGTTGAACACTACTACCCATGCAGTGGAATTTCTACTTCAAAGCCAAATATTGACTTAATCTTAATGCACTCAGTGTAAAAACACAATCCTAATGCTAGTTTCCAACTTTGTTATGAAGTTCTGTAATTTACCGTTGCTGATTAATTACCAGCAATGCACCTTTCCAAAATATGCAATATCCATACACAACTACTGAAGATTTACACTTACCAAGAGCTTGCTGGTGAATGATGGCTCCTAAACTGAAGAGGTATTTCTTGCAAACCTCAGCAAGGTCTGGCCTGGCTGCCGTCAGCTGGTCTTCTCGGCAGCGGTAGCGCTCGAAATCTGTGGTGATCTCCTGTGGGGTGCCAGGAATACTGTTTATTCTTGGGACAAGGACAATCTGGAATAAGAATATATGTGATGTTGTATAAATTAAATTGAGTTAAAATAACTGATTTCACATACTTAAGTCCTCTTGAGTATAAATTTATGTTCAACTATTTGTTAAACCATACAGAAGTTAAAAGAAATAAAAATAATGTGATAACAAGGCAGCAAAGCTGTCAAATGTACAGACAAAAAGCAGGAAATAACTATGCACAAAATAGGCTACTGTCAATTCTGATGCAAAAGTACATTATGTTAAACTGTAAATTCAACATCAATTTTTAATTATGCTCAACAGGAAATACTAATGAAAGTAAAATGTGTAACAAGCATAAGGCTTCAGGCCCATGAGAGTTCAAGTTCACACTTTGAAAATGTATAACTTCCAGAAAAAGAAGCCAATTAGACTGCTTTTCCAACTCAGGCTGCATGCCGATTTTCGAACTTGACCTCCGTTTTAGTAAGATCGATTACTCCTGAGAGTTNAAAAATCACTTAAATATTGTTGCAGTCCCAGTAACAGCTTTCAGTTTTTAGTGAACACAGTAAAACTTTTATTTCAAATAGAAATTCCAATTCTTTACAAATATATGAAAACTTGACTTACTGAATCAATCAAGGCAGTGGCGTCAGGTGTAGCTCTGTCACTCTTGTACCTGTTGAATTCTAATTTGATGGTATATGAAACACCTGTCTCTAAACAAGATGGCGGGGAGACTGTGTAGTAACGAATACCTGAAATGCATTATTATGCCATTTATTAATTGATTTTTCACTTTTGATTGTATGCTATTTTAACAAAAAAAGAAAAACTTTTTAAAAACATTTCCAGAAATCGACTCAAACACCATGTTTTACCCAAAAAACAGTTTTAGACCAAGAGATATTCTATTTTAGCGGACTACTACCTGCTTTTTTTTTAAATAAAAGTAGACCAAAATTTTGGTTCTTAAGATAAAAACCAACTTTCAATTTAAAGTAATTCTGTGGAACCAGCCAATGGATGTGAGTGGACAGTAGCCCATGGGTGTCTGTTGACTGACCTGCAGGTAGACTGGTAGCCTTGAAGTCATCTTGAGGAATGCTGTTGGCACAGACACTGTTCTGGTCCACCCGCCCTGGTCTTTCTACAGTCACGCGAACATCATCCCAACGATCTGGCATCTGAATTACAGAGAATTTATTTAAACTGCTTATTCAATTTTCATAAAATCTGGTGTTGGTATAAGCCAGTATCGCATACCCAATCAACTGCAAAATATCAGGTACAGACTCAAGAAAACCACACTTCCTTTAAAAATATATACTGTATAAATTTTTTTTTCACTTCAATTTTTTAAAAGCCATCAGAAAAAAAGGGAAGCAAAAAAAAAAATTCAACAATCTATCCTGGAGTCCTAAAACAAGATACAGCAAGTTACCCACCAACACCCACATAAAAAATTCACTCGAATCCTACATCACAGACATCTGAACTTACCCGTTAAGTCCTTGGAATGCAGAACAAAAGAAAAATTAATTTGGTAACTTTTTCTTCATACCAAACTTTATGCCATTAGAAATTTTAGATCTCATAAAATCTTTTAGAAATGAACATAAATCCATAAATAATTGCACCTTTCATCTTATCAACATCTTGATGCAGGCTAGCTAAACCTTCACTGATTTTCACATTGGTAATTTTTTCAGAAAAATCACACAGAAATTGACTATAGTGTAATTATTTTTTCAAATTTTGAGGCAGAATTTAATTACTTTTATCAAATGGAAAATATTTTACATGACATAACTAGCCATCTCTTCAGACTTTAAAGCTTAAACTAGGACAGATTTAACAGGAAACATAGTTCTAATAAGTTTTGTTCACAAGTTTCTGAAGACTACATGATCACTGCCATAATCTAGTACACGATTCCACAGTGACTGACAAAAGTATTCACGATGAGATTAAAAGAACACAGTCTTCATAGTAAATCTTTTCAGTTCATTAAAAGAACAGGCAATAATAGTACCCATGGTTTCTCCAGTGTATTCTTTACCTACCTGTGGCTCATATCTGATGACGATGTCATACTCCATGGAGGAAGGCAGGTTGTCCACTGTGAAAACCAGGGAGTCCCCCTCGCTGACCCGCATAAACCCAGGACCTGTCCATGTGGTGGGACGTCCTGCTACAGGCTCACGGATCACCACCTGGTAATTCTGAAAATAATTTCCTCAAAATGTGTATCTGTAGCTGTGCCAAAAATATCTGCTTAATTATATATCGGTAAGTTTTGATGAAATTATCTGTCTATTTCTCAACCCCTCCATCTTAACTTGAAACAAGGGAAAAAAATGTTGCTCTTCACTAGTAAAATGTAGCATGTGGTTATAAATTGTTTTTTCACACAAGACTGGTTTGTATTCCAGATTTTGAATAAAAAACACAAGTGTACTAGTTAAAACACCTCAATCACTATCTGGTTCTACTATTGTGAAACAAAACCACAAACATAAATGATTGAACAAAAGAAGATGGCTACTTACCCCAGTGCCTCTGGCAAACTCGCCCTCATAAACTAGATAATCCAGATTAGTGATGAAATATCCTGGTCGCGGTCGCTCACAGCGACGGCCAATGATGTTCTGCCTGCAGGCGCACTGCCCTGTCGTTTGTTCACACATGTTGTTCAAGGCACCACCAAAGTCGCAGTCGCAGGCCTTACAACCGTCTACATCTGGGCCAAGCCCCCAGTAACCAGCCTGTGTGAGGAGAGAGAGAGAGAGAGAGAGGAATATTTATTCATTTATTTATCTAATAATTTATCTAATATTTATCAGCCTAAATAGGAGACTTTTAGACCGTCATGAAATAACTGAAAAAATCAAAAAGTTGGTTTTCTATGAATTTTCTATTTTTAAATTTTTGTTGTTATTTTCATTTATTTATTTATTTGAGTTCCATATGACACCCTTCAAGTCAGATGGATGTTTATAAATTGCATAAAATTATGAACAAAAAGATATATTACAGGAGCAACCTGAACATAACTGATTGTTAGATTGTTGGTATCAGTTTACACACAAACTTTCTCCTTACCAGACACTGGTTGCAGTTCCTTCCTGTGACAAATCTTTTACAGGTGCAAACACCAGTGATCTTGTTACAGCCAAAGTTCCCCACGGTGCCATAGGTGTTACATTCACATGCTGGAAAAAAGATGGAATATTAAAATTTCTGTTTGTTTGATTTGCTTCAAATAATGATAAAATTACATCTCAAGTTAATCATTACCTAATTGTATGTCATACAGTTGGTGTGTTCTTGGTAAACATAATTTAAATTAAGATCAATGTACAAAGCTTAATATTAACTTCAATATACACAAAAAATATTTAAAAATCTATATCATTATTTTTGGCAATAATAAAAATCTAACAAATAAAATTTAGCTAACAGATAAATCTATAAAATTCATTTCAGAATGATCCTAAAAATTACTCACGTTCACAACCATCGATGCTTTCTTCACGCAAGTTCCAGTAGCCATTTTTACAGGTGTCACACCTGGGTCCGTCTACGAACCGTTTACAGAAGCAGCGCCCTGCCACCAGGTTGTGCTCCGGGTCTGAGCGACTTTCACACTCGCCACTGTTCTCAGAGCCCTTGGGGTCACAGTCACAGGCTAAGGATGGGAAAGAAACAAACCTTTAAACTATTTACATGAAAAAATTCTGTCTAAAAAAACAAGTTGTTTTTAAGAACTCAGGTCTTTGAAAGTAAGATTATGTGATGAAACTCAGTAATAGCAAGGGGATAGATCTTGAGCTGAAAACCTAAATTATACATGACAAAATACTTTCAGAGGTCCTTTATTTAAAAGATTTCAAGTGAAAATGTAACATTGTTAATAATAATAATAATAATAATAATAATAATAATAATAATAATAGTAATAATATTTTATGATTGTTATTATAATTTTAATACACATTTTTCCTTTGAAGAAACTTGTAACTTTAAATGCATAATACAGCTGAGGAAATAATTTGCCAGAATACTTACGTTTGCAAACTTCTGGATGCCTGATGTCTTTGGTGGGATCCTGATAGTAAAATGGCTTACATTCCTGGCAGTTACGACCCATAGTATTGTGTTGGCAGTCATCGCAAACACCCCCACTGACACGTCCTGTGGCCTCGTACACGGCAGGATCAAAGTGACATCTGCTGGCATGATTATTGCACTCACATTCTGAAAAAATACAATAATTATCTCAATTACATCTTGATAAATAAGCACCAAAATTTTAAACAGATTTTCCTTTTTTTTTCAACCAGAAGTGCAAACCAGGCATGTGCCAATCACTTCAACTGCTGGCAAAATGTCAAATCTGATAAGAAACACACTAAAAATTATGCACCATTCATTTCATTTCCTTTTTATAATTACTTATTTACGGATATAGGTTTCTTGTTACTGTAATGTAAGGAAATACAAAGTGATGTAGCTGAAACTGTTTATGGACATTCTTTAATATTTTCTACTAGTCTTTATTAGAACACAGTTATAAGTCAGATTATAAATAAACTCCATGTATAGCTACTGTCCTGTTTAAACTTAAAGAATACTTGAAAATGTGCAAATATTTTAAATTGAAATTTTCCACCTCATCCCAAAATTCATGGCACGCATGCATTCATATAAATAAATAAACACTGGCCTACTTTTGCACTCATTTGACTGGTTTCCTCTGGCAGGTCTCCATGGCAAGTCATTGTAGAAAGCTTCACACTGCTCACAGTTCAAACCCTTGGTATTGTGGGTACACTCACAGCGTCCATGAACCTGGGGTCAAGGTCAAATCAGGATCAGGTCAAGGTCATTTTTATTCAAAGTTAACATGTGCAAATTGTTTTCAAATTACTTATGAGATTTCAAACAGCCATAATGTAACTGAGCCATAAAAACTGATCACATTATGGACATATAAAGAGAAAACAATGAAGTAAATTAATAAAAGAATTAAACTCTTCTTATTTAAAATAACAATAATATCACTACTAGTGACTCACAGAATAAGGAACAAAATAGTAAGTTAAACATGGTGGAGATTTTTTCAGAAAGCAGGGGATATGGGACAAATTTCTATGGGCAAAACTCTGCATGGATATTTATAGCAAATTTCAATTCAGACAAAACTTCTGAACAAATGTACCAAAATTGTGACTTACCATGTCTGATCTATTTGGCAAGCCTGGTAGTGGCAGACAGCGAGATGCATGACCATAGCAGGAGCAGCTTCCACGGACTACCATTTCATAGATGGAATAGTAATACTTCTCCTTGATCTCTGGTCTGCTGTCAAGAAGGTCATCACCTGAAAAGAAAACATTTCACTTTCAAAATGGTGCTGACATAGGCAAGAGGTATTGGTGCAGAAATGGGCAAGAGGTGTGGATGCAGGCACAATCCATTGGTGTTGAGATGGACAAGAGATATTAATGTTGACATGGGCAGGAGGTATTGGTGCAGAGATGGTGAAAAGGTACTGGTGCTGATTGCAATAGGTGAGCTGTATTCATTTTGAAATTGGCAAGAGATCAAGATAGACCATTCTTATTGTGTTTTAGGTAGGATGCCAAACATTCAATTGCCTCACTTCTTTCAAAGAAAGATGTCTGTTTAGCCATGGTAAGCCATTAAGCCACTAGAGTGTCTCATGTAGGAAGAAGGCAGTTCTGTTGAACTTGTAGGGAGAACTATCCTAATATCAAGGCCTGGCAATGTGTGCCACATTCCTGTGTACTAAGAAATAGCCTCCATGTGCAGAGGTTGTGGCCAATAATTAAGTATGCCAGGCTTAAATTGTCAATATTAAAGATTGAAAAAAAAAAAAAAAAAAAAAAACCCTGTGTTTGAAAATGCCACTGACCTGCCAACGAAATCTTAATCTTATTCATTTACAGGGTTCTTATATGTTGTCAACCTGTTAGACTTGATAAAAGACCACCAATCAAATAAAGAATAATCTTGCAAGTCTTTTTTTTTTTTTTTTTTTTTTGTAAAATGAGGAGTAGACCGCCCCCATGTCCAACATGGCCTAGTTCACTATAAAAACACACCAAGTGGTCAGTGGGTTCTATATTTGTGCATTCTACTGTAAAGGAACCTTATAGGTGTTATCTGAAACACATGCCATGACCAAATGTTAAAATGGGTAACAGAGGTACTCTCTCCCTGTCCTATAATTCTCTCTCACTCTTAAAATCTTTCTTTGCCGCCGTCCCAATTCTGATATTACAATCTCTCTCTCTCTCTCTCTCTCTCTCTCTCTCTCTCTCTCTCTCTGACTGTTTCAGCTATCAATACTAGAATCATCAAGTTGACATGAATTACAAGAGACTATATATGATAACCACAACAGTTTCTGCCTTGTCTTTGACACTTGCTGACCTCTCACCAATCTCACCACAAATATTTACACAATAATTACAAGTTTATGTATTTCCTATGAGCTTACTGTTGTGTGTTCAACTTAGTGCTACCAGATTTATCTTGATATGTGCATTTTGCATTTAACAAATAATAATCATATTTGTCTAAGAGGAAGTGTGGAATCACACAAGTGCTACAGAAAAGAACCAAAAAGTCGTCATCAGTGCTATGCAGAGGGTGGTAATACAAAGAGAACCCACTGTTCTTCAGACTACTAAAGCTGAATGTAATAAACCCAGTCACTTGGTGCCATGTTTTTAGCCCATTTGCCAATTTATTTCAAATAAAACATCTCATTAAAAGCAGGTGTTTAGAAATTTTTATCCAATTGCCATATCAATTGGACAAAAAGCATATTCCTGCAATCTTTAAAAACTGCTTTAACATAAATTTTTCTCTTGGGACTAAAAAGCTGTTTTTATAATATGTAATTTATATACTTAATTGGCTAAATAAATATTATCATTATAATTTTAATTTATCACAAACTATTTGCATTGTTGGGCGGAACAAATCACCAGTCTCAAGCAGCGTTACATCTTACTGCACTAGCTCCCAAATTTCATGTCGCCAAACCACTAAATAATTTAAGCCAATACAAAATGATAAATTTAATTTAAAAAGTATCATTTTTACATTTTATTTCACCAAATTAGTATATATTACACATTTTGCTTAAATGCCCCATGCTAGAATGAACGCAGTCTTGTGTTGATAGGAAATAACAGTTATGGAGGGTATAATAACACAGCTGTCTAAATTTCTACAACCTTGGTCGTGAATGAGCACCCCATTTATCCATCCTCTGTATTCACCAGCCTTTGTTGCTTATTACATGAAACCCTGGGCGCATGACAATAGACAGACAATGTAATGAACTGGGGCAGGGTATCGTTATTTAATGCACAGACGATGTAACGTGTTGGCAATGGAATGGTCATTTCAATGCGCGGAGGATTTAATACACCAGGCTATAGAAAAAATAACAATGGACAGACAGTGAAATATACACTGTGTGGTCACTTGGCCTGCAGTCAAATGGTCACTAAAGTGCAAGAATTAAATGTCCACCCTCTCCTGAGGGCCAGACACTCCACAGTGACACTCTACTGCCTTTTTTTATTCAGGTTAATATACAAGTGCAAAACTCAATGATAATTAAAATATATTCATAAGCTTGCATTAGGTTTCTACAGGTCAAATTGAGCCAGGTCCACACTAGTATTTATAATGACCACTTAATGGTTACCATAATGACAATTTACTTTGGAGAAAAATATCAGCCACATTTCCAATTAAAATCAAATAATAACTAATTCATAAATCTGGATTAAATGAAGTAAAGTTAGTTTGGGAATTAACTTCATCAATTCCAATTCATAAATCACTGCAATCATGACTGCATGGTTTGTTAGGTATGGAAATCTCCCAGGACCCCTATGTACAGTGTGTGTGTGTGTGTGTGTGTGTGTGTGTGTGTGCGTGTTACCCAGCTGTTGCACCAATGCCACCAAATACATAAACTATACCAGGTAGTATAATAGCATAAGCTATCACCCAGACCTACACTTACACCAGTTTGAAACTAACCAACTAACCAACATCATTAGATATCCCAATTTTAACAATAATTTTATAAGGGTTCTAGGACATTTTTACAAAATGCTTAAAACTAACAATTTTATTTTTTAATTGCAATGTATTATACAAATAATGGTGCANGAGCACAGTATATATATATATATATATATATATATATATTCCTAACCCATTCAATATTCAAGAACCACTTTATATATATATATATTCCTAACCCATTCAATATTCAAGAACCACTTTAGTACACACAGGAAATTCACTGCATTCCTTTACTATTGAAACAGGAGCAATTATAAGAAAAGAATGGCCAACCAGAAATCCATTGTTCAAATTCCAAACAAGCACTTATACTAGTATATGTTACTTTCTTGAATGGGATGTGACCCTAAAACTTGTAGTTTTAAGAGAATCAAACTCCACATTTGTTATTCCATAAGACTTTGATGGTTTCCATGTTCACTTAAACATGATCTAGAGAGGGACAGATGGGGGTAGGGAAGAGGAGGGGTGAGATAGACTTTTGTGTGTGTGTGTGTGGGGGGGGGCTAGACATTTCACCTACAACATACTTGTGCATAGGCTGTATTTTACTTTTGCATGTGACACCATTTGCTAGCAAGAACTGATAATTCCCATTGAAAAATGCAGTCGCAGATCTGCAATCTAAGATCAACATCTACAAATCACTGGTCCACTGTTGTCAATAGTTCATGTAATGAAATATATATGTTATGACATTCTTGATTTTTTGGCCAATTGGAAGTCACCGTGATGTATATAAAATCTTACCTAGTGTGTGTAGTTTTGTGAAGTTGACTCTCAGGTTGGTCATCTTGAGCAAATCCTGGACATCCTCACTGTAAGGGTCAGTGACCACTATGTTTGGAGGCACCACTCTCATGATTACCTACAAAATGCAAGGACAGAGGTCACTTTTTCTTCACACTGACACAATAATCAGATATTTCATCACTTAAGACTTTTTATCAGTCCATTTTCAGTCTAACTGCTGGGATGACCTTTGTTGTATGGAAAAAATTAACAAAAGTAATTTAGAATTTATCAAATATACTTTTCCCCCTCCTTTCACACATTTATATTGAATAGATGTAAAAGACTGTTATTTTTTCATGGAAATACAACAGAGTACTAGTACAGATATTCTAAATTCAGCAGATTTTATGCTTACCTCTCCTTCTGTAGAGGGCGCCACCTGGGAGTAACGAGATTCGCATATTACATCATCCAGTGATCTGATTGGTCCAGTCCGTACTCCAGGAAATGTCTGCTCACAATCCTCAGCAAAATATCGATATACCTTCCAGGTTTTTCCAAAATCATACGATCTCTCAACCAACATTCCAGCTGGCCGGAACGTTTTGAAGGTCATAATCAAATGAGTAAAGTGAAACTCGGCCTCCAAATCTAACTGAATGGAGACATTTTCTAGTCCATTCTGAGCCTGCCACCAACTGTCTTTTCGCCCCAAATAGGCAGAGGAAACAATATTTTCTATTCTATGGCTATAGGGATACAGTCCTTCTACATACTGCTCTCTAGAGTCACAAGTAAAGCATTTCTTCTGGTCCTCTAAGTGAGAAACTATACAATAGGTCTCTGGCCTGTCCAGACCACAGGTTGATGTAGCACTCAGTTTTTCCTCTCGGCCGATGAGAAGATCGCCTGTCGCTGGATAACAAGATGTTTGGAAACATGGCTGTTCTATCTGAGCAAGAAGACCTGAAAATGCAAACACAACTTTTTTTAAAGATTTGGAATTTTTTTACTTTATTCATTTATATATTCTTCAAATATTGACATTGGCAAAAGAATTTTTTAACAAAATTACTCACATGTGAGTGACATGTCCCACAGTTAAGAACCTGGTCACATTATTTCTCTTAACCCCATGTGGCCATTTTTATTCCAATTGCATAAACAGGCAAAATATTCAAATAAAAATAAATTTTGGGGAAAAATTCAATTCTAGAGAATGTGATGTTTAACATTTGACATGTATAAGAAATAACAGCATTCATCTTATCCACACACCCCCACACCCCCCTCCACACCATCCACAATCCCCCAAAAGTCCACTCATAGTCCGCTATAAAAGAAGCAGGTTGCTATTGTTACTGACAGTATCCAGTTTCACTAAGCTATATGGCAATGTCAAGTCAGGCATACTTCAAATAGTCTTGTGTCCATTAAACATGAACCAAGAGACTTTTGAGACCAAAGGCGAAATAGCAACACAGGCTGGCGACTCTGCACCCTGAGTTTCAATGCCTGTGCCTGAACCTTTCTTGTGAGCATAGACTTCACTGAGACTTAAAGGGTTTTGACGGTTGCAGAAGAGCTATATCAAAGCCTTGAGACTCAGGGTAATAAAGTGAACTTTTGGTTGATAATGTGATTGTCAACTATCAGTACTCTGAAATTCAGGGTCATGATTTGTTGGGGGAATGTTGGCATAAAACCTGTCTTGTCCAGTGCCTTTTGTACCTATGTGCTCTTTAATGCACTGGGCAGTAATTTTATTGTATTTCATAATGAAATTGGGTTTATGGACTAATCTTGATTGCCAATTCATTGTTTTCTGTGGTATGTTATTGTAACAACTAGTAACAATGTTTATGTGCAATGGGTTCACTCAGTATTGCCTGTGCAATTGTTCTTAATGCATTTTCATTAAGAGCGCATTCTCAACGAATTAAGCCAGGCTTTACAAAGCCGGTGACCTAAAAATGGCGGACGTACATGAAAGAAAAACCGCCTAATCTTTTAATAGTCTCTCCGCCTCTCACACGCCTNACAGCTGTTTTTAAATGTGGATTTTAACTGCTTTGTTTTAAAGGGACAGCATACTTGAGATAAATTTCCAATACAATTTTCCTCATTAAACAATTCATGAAAAGAATGAACAATAATGGGCATTCTTTGCATTTTTCTTTAAAAAAACATTATTTCAATCATCTTAAAAAGATGTTATATATGCATTTGGGATGTTGCAAAAAGTTTAAGACCACAGAAAGTGAGGCATTTTCATTTTTTTCTATTAATAATAATTTTTGGTTGTTGTAATTTCTCATTCCCAGTTATGATTGGTCCATCCCAGCTATTCCATTTTGTGTGATATCTCACCAATACCAAGGCCAGGTGGTCAAGGGGATACCCTTGGTCAGTTTATGGTCAACTGATGGTCAGTGCTGGTTAACACATTCTTGTGGAAGAGTATTACTAGCTGGAGGCTGTACATTAAGGTGTTGCCATACACAATCCATCACCCTGTCATAACTCAAAGGTTAAAATCATTACTCCAGAACTTAAAAAGCTGACTCTTCTCACAATTATGTTGATCTAGGCCATTTTTCTCTGCTCTCAGTGTGTTCTACCATGTAAAATTTTGCACCTGGATGTCTGAAAGACACAAGTTTTTCCAGATTTTCGCTCTAATGGTAGTCCCTGTCTGAACTGGTCGGGAGGTAAATTTTCCACCCTCTTGTTGTCTGGGTCACATATTTCTGCACCCCCTGATTGAACCCCTCAGTTTAATAGAACATTGCAACCTATATGCACGGGTCTCCCGTTTCCTGACACTAATTCATCATTCTCCCTGCCTCAAACACAAAGGTCTTCCCTAAATAATGCCCCCAAATACAACATGGCTTTCAATGCATTCATAAAGCACTGCAGATCAAAGTGAGGTGACGTTATTGTGGCCTGCGTTATTTGGCCAATCTCAACCCTGTGTCGGGCAACAAACACTTTTCACAGACTGGTGTACATTTCCAAAATGTCCAACCCTACAGGAATCTGAGCCCATTTTGGTAAAAAAAATTGATTGTGAACTTTATAAATCATAAAGTATCATAGTATTAATCCGGCAAAGTTTGAAAATAAGTGTAAGAGATTTTAATATTTTCTACAACAGGAGGATCTGAAAAGTTTGTCAAATGGCAAATGATCATTAGAGCTGAAGTTTTCAAGTCCTACTGAAAATATTACATATCAAACAAAGATTTATCTGCAAAATGAGCAGATATGCTGCAGACAAAAGTATAAATTTACTACCAGCCAACTGTGAAATACTTTACAAATTAAAATTCCCAAACATATTCAAATTTTCTATCCAATTTCTCAAGTTTTTAAGTAAAACTCCAAACTTCACAAACAAAAACTGTGAAATTTACCATCAAATTTAATAGCCAGCCTGGAAAAGTACTGATCTTGACCACATAACCCCTTTTTTGGCAACCACAGGATGTATACGAGGGAATAACATGGAGATTGCAAACCACGAAACTATCACTTCTTTCTTTTTACATTCATTCAGACAGGAAATATTTTACTTCTGTATTAACACAGGTCAAAACAATATGGGCACTAAATTTTAGGATCCAAATTGGAAACAATGAAATCTTTCTTTTTACTTCAATGTTGAAACTGACTGAAAACCCTGCATCCACATTCTAAATTTGGTGTTTTGTTTAGGTGTTGTTTTTTTCTCATGCTCTATATAAAGTAAACAAACAGATTTACTTTGCAGAAATGTTTCAAACTTCATCACATATATCAGACATATATATATATTTATATTCCTAACCCAATAATATTGCACCCATACAATATTCAAGAACCACTTTAGTACACACAGGAAATTCACTGCATTCCTTTACTATTGAAACAGGAGCAATTATAAGAAAAGAATGGCCAACCAGAAATCCATTGTTCAAATTCCAAACAAGCACTTATACTAGTATATATTACTTTCTTGAATGGGATGTGACCCTAAAACTTGTAGTTTTAAGAGAATCGAACTCCACGTTTGTTATTCCATAAGACTCCATAAAGCTATTGGCCTTTTGCATGTGACACCATTTGTTAGCAAGAACTGATAATTCCCATTGAAAAATGCAGTTGCAGATCTGCAGTCTAATATCAACATCTACAAATATATATTATGATATTCTTGATTTTTTGGCCAATTGGAAGTCACCGTGATGTATGTAAAATCTTACCTAGTGTGTGTAGTTTTGTGAAGTTGACTCTCAGGTTGGTCATCTTGAGCAGATCCTGGACATCCTCACTGTAAGGGTCAGTGACAACAATGTTTGGAGGCACAACTCTCATGATTACCTGCAATAAGCAAGGACAGTGGTCACTTTTTCTTCACACCAGACACAGAAATAAGATATTTTATCCTTTAAGACTTTTTTATCAGGCCATTGTCAGTCTAACTGCTGAGATGACATCTGTTGTACAGGGAAAAATTTAACAACAGTGATTTATAATAATCAAATATATTTTGTCACCCTTTTCAAGCATTTATTTTACATAAACATAAAAGAAACACAAGCAAATAGCTTACCTCTCCTTCTGTAGAGGGCGCCACCTGGGAGTAACGAGATTCGCAGATTACATCATCCAGTGATCTGATCGGTCCAGTCCGTACTCCAGGAAATGTTTGCTCACAATCCTCAGCAAAATATCGATATACCTTCCAGGTTTTTCCAAAATCATACGATCTCTCAACCAACATTCCGGCTGGCCGGAACGTTTTGAAGGTCATAATCAAATGAGTGAAGTGAAACTCAGCCTCCAAATCTAACTGAATGGAGACGTTTTCTAGTCCATTCTGAGCCTGCCACCAACTGTCTTTTCGCCCTAAATAGGCTGAGGAAACAATATTTTCTATTCTATGGCTATAGGGATACAGTCGTTCTACATACTGCTCTCTAGAGTCACAAGTAAAGCATTTCTTCTGGTCCTCTAAGTGAGAAACTATACAATAGGTCTCTGGCCTGTCCAGACCACAGGTTGATGTAGCACTCAGTTTTTCCTCTCGGCCGATGAGAAGATCGCCTGTCGCTGGATAACAAGATGTTTGGAAACATGGCTGTTCTATCTGAGCAAGAAGACCTGAAAATGCAAACAGAACTTTTTTTAAAGATTTGGAATTTTTTGTTTTGTTTTTGTTTTTTTTTATTTTTCAAATATTGTCATTGGCAAAAGAATTGTTTAACAAAATTACCCATATGTAAATGACATGCCCCACAGTTAAGAACCTGGTCACATTATTTCTCTGAAGCCTATGTGACCACTTTTATTCCAATTGCCTAAATAGGCAAAATATTCAAATAAAAACAAATTTTGGGGAAAAATTCAATACTAGAGAATGTGATGTTTAACATTTGACATGTATAAGAAATAACGGCATTCATCTTATCCACCCCTCCCCCCTCCACACCATCCCCAATCCCCCAAAAGTCCACTCATAGTCCGCCATGAAAGTAGCAGGTTGCTATTGTTACTGACGGTATCCAGTTTCACTAAGCTATATGGCAATGTCAAGTCAGGCATACTTCAAATAGTCTTGTGTCCATTAAACATGAACCAAGAAACTTTTGAGACCAAAGGCGAAATAGCAACACAGGCTGGCGACACTGCACCCCGAGTTTCAGTGCCTGTGCCTGCGCCCGAACCTTTCTTGTGAGCATAGACGTTTAATTCACTGAGACTTGGAGGGTTTTATAGGTTGCAGAAGAGCTATCATCAAAGCCCAGAGACTCAGGGTAATAAAGTGCACTTTTGGTTGATAATGTGATTGTTAACTATCAGTACTCTGAAATTAAGGGTCACGATTTGTTGGGGGAATGTTGGCATAAAACCTGTCTTGTCCAGTGCTTTTTGTACCTATGTGCTCTTTAATGCACTGGGTAGTAATTTTATTGTTTTTCATAATGAAATTGGGTTTATGGACTAATCTTGATTGACATTTCATTGTTTTCTGTGGTATGTTATTGTAACAGCTAGTAACAATGTTTATGTGCAATGGGTTCAGTCAGTATTGCCTGTGCAATTGTTCTTAATGTATTTTCATTAATACAAAATACTACACCCAAGTTCACATTGAACTCTCAATTCTTATTCTGACCATTAACATGATTTACGCAGTCAAATTGCTACGAGTGCTACATTTATGCCTATCAAGTGGGGGAGGGAGGTACTTATGAGAAAAAAGGTTTCTCCAAAATATCATTTTCCATGAAATTGTAAGTCAAATGAACAAATTGATTGAAAATTTCACTTTTCTTCAGTCAAAGTAGATTTTCTGTGACATTTGTAGTGCAAGCCTCCTATACAGCACCAGCGTAGACCGTCCATGTGTACTTCATCACATCTATTGTAGGACCCAGCATCGTCAGCAAGCGGATATTATATTGCAAAAACGCAAGAGCATTCGCACATTAACACCCTCTCAGGTCATGGAAGGTAGTTAAGAGGTGAAAAATGACCATGCCCTTAAAGAACCGCTGTTCACTGACGTGGCCAATAAACTAGGCAACCAAACTGCTCATTCAAGTAAATAGTCATGCTTCCTATAGTTGGTTAAAAATCCCAACTTTGTTCACACCATTTTTGTATGCTGCGCTGTAGACCATTCATCAGTATTTCATCCTCGTTCTTTTGTCCTCCATAATTTTTTTGTCAAAATGTTTCAAAAAATAGTTAAGATGCATATGTGCTTGAAAGTTTTAAAAATACCTTTAATTTTAACTGTTAGTTGTCTAACATAAAATTAACTGCCGGAGACTCCAGCAAAAGAATCTGAAGGTAACCAATGGATGTAAAATATTTGCAAACATGTAGAACTTCAACATTCTTTCCTAACATTTTAACATGTGGTTGAATCTTCATATCGAAATGACTCATCAGAGATTCCACAATAATTTAAACCACAACCAAGGACAGGTGTAGGCTATGACTATTATACAGGTACATGTGATACAGGTAATCACCGGTGGTCATCTTGTAATTATGTCAATACCCACTGGTCACTACTGGACAAAGGGCATTGTAATTTGGAATTATATACTATCTCTTGTGAACTGTTGGAGATAACTGGCCTAACTTAGGAAGGGAATGTCATCTTCAACATATCAGGGAGGAAGTAATCTTAAGACTTTTATCTTACATGAGATAGAAAGGATATAGCTAATAGGACTTGTACAAGGATTTCTATATAATTATAGTAAGTGGCCATTACCCCTCTGTCCCTGATAGTATGAAACATGTGGACACCCATATTGGCGAAAAATTTGTTTGTGCCAAAAAGCTGAAAATTATTAATTTTAGTGCAAAAAAAAATAATAATAATATAATAATAATAAGTTTAAAAACTGCATTTATAATTATATTCAACAATTTGCCTTTGGTGTTTATCTTATAATTGTCTTATAAATATTTTGCAAGCATGCTTTGTACTATAGCAGCACATCCAAACTCTCAGTTAGGACAAAATACTTGACTATTACTGAGACTTTTTGAGGAAAAAAACAATGCCACATTTCCCATGCTTACAGATATACTGGCCCAAAATTGGATTTAAAGGTCAAATTTTTTATATTCTAAACTAAAACAGTGCCATAAAAAAGGAATGTGGTCAAATTCATTGAAAAATAAGCCTTTTGAGCATCTGTCCCAAAATCAAGAGAAAGATGTCAGCAATTTCCCTTTTATCAATCTCTGAGATCATCTCTAAATAAAAAGCAGCATTTCACTTTTCTTCCTGACCACATCACCTCCAGAGCTTCATAAATCACAGCTGCGGCATACTTAGCTTTGATACCAGAACAAAGTGCTCCTCCCATCATAAACCCAAATCCATAGAGGAAAATCTAATAAAAATGGCCATCTGAGGAAAAATATACAATAAGCTGATAGCAAATACTGGCTGTTTTGCCCAATGCTCAATATGATTCATTTAGAATGAAAACTGGGGGGCAATACATTTGAAGCAAATTCCAAATTCAGCAATGATTTAGATAAATTTGTTTAAAAAATATCTTTACTAAAATTTACCTTTACAAGCTTCAGTAGCTGTCACTTCCAATGCACCCCCCCTCCACTCACAAATACACAAATGTATCCTTGTAAGTGTTCCTCTTTTACATGACCCGCCCAATGTATTTTCAATTCCTGTTTATATATATTTTTAGGATTTTCACCAATTTGGATTAAAAGAGTTAAGATTTTTTTCTTTTTTTCCAGTCAGATAGGAAAATAATTCAAAAGTCTCAAAACTGTAGCAGATATATACCACAGCACACCTTAGCCATGGATAAAATACTTTTTGGTCTCTAATGAGGAACTGGGTTTCATTTCCAGCATGCAAAGAGAGCTGAACCCCCGTATTATGTCTGTGCATCCAGTGTGGTATAAACCATAAAGCAGTTGATTACATACTTTGGCCTCAGTACACATAAATATTGACATAAAGTAAAGACCCTACTCACAATGGAACCTGGTATAAAGCTGTACATTGTGAGCAATCTGAAGTATGGTACTGTTCTTCACTGTTCTGTACTGTACTGTACTGTGCCACAATCACAAGAGTATAAGCTAGCGAAATATTTATGGATTTCTCTTTTTCATTCACCACTGATGTAAATACTGCTTTCAGTGATTTGAAGTCTGAGAACTGAACCTTTTCTCTTGATTATCCGCTCAAAAACCTGGCCCCCATTCACGAACCAACATTAGACCGAAAATAGGTCTAAACTTTTGGACCACATCATTTTGGTCTCCATCAACCTATGATAAATCTGTGGTAGTCCACTAAAACAGTACATCTTCCTGTCTTAGTATAATGCACATGCAATATAACTCTTATTACACTACTGCTGATTCATTTTAGGTCTAAGCAGACTTTACAAAATGGTCTTAAAATTTAAGGACCAACTTTCAGTCTAGACTTCTTTTTATGAAACGAGGATCCCCAAGCTCCTTATACTGCTGCCATTGTGCAGGGAGAACAAGAGAGTATACACACACACAGATATTTCCTGTGTAGTGAGGTCAAACACATGGCTCACATTCCTCACCCTCTCTCTGCTGGCAGGAACACAGATAAAACAATACAAAAAGACGCTGATCCCTGTCTTATGAGTCACACCATTTTGCCAAAACTGGCAAGAGGTGAGTCTGGGTCCATTTAAAGGTTGTGTTCAGACGGGAGATTTGTTTCGACTTGACATACTTAACAATGCGGACCCTAAACACCTCCCACCCCACCCCCACTAGCCTTCCCTACTGTACCTTCAAATTTAAAATTCTGCATTCATTTTGGTGATGATATTACATTGTTTCAAGTGTAAGTTTTGAGGGTTTTAATATATCGCCTAAAATGACACATTTCATTGCTGAAGTTTTAATCGGGTGAGAAGCTGCAAAACACTCTCCTTCGTGGACACAACTATAACCCATTAACAGCAAGTTTTAGTTCTTTACTTTTTTGTCGAGGTAGTACAATTTCTTGCCAGCTTTCACAATCTCAGATAGAGAGAAGCTCACTCAATGGTATAAACATATAGACCAGAAAGAGAACACAGAACCATTTCAAATACCTGGAATACTTTGAGGTGTAGGCAAATATTCACACTTGATAAACCTATGCCTAGTATCAAGTGTGCAACCGCCATTCATCACAGTAAATACAGCTGGGAGTTCACTCCGATTGATAAAACAGTTCATCTACTTGACCTCTATTTGTTAAAGGAGACAGAATATCACTCACGATAGATAATTTTTTTTCCTGGTTGCTACCCTCTTTCTGGTTTTGGGTATTGTATCCCAAAGGTGCACACCCTATATATATTGGAGACATATTTGCAAAATAATAAATGTGTGTTTAACTGTTACACTATGGTATATGTGAAGTACCACTTCTTTTGCAAATAGAGACTTGCTTTTCAACATTTCTGTAACTTTTAAACTTTTAAAAACCTCAAACAAATTCGAAGATGTTCACTTAAAATCAATTTAGCAATTAGTCAAGTGATATTTTTGCTTCAAACTTTGTGATAATAGCAACCCATCTTGCGGTGAAAAACAGGAGTGATCTGGATAAGGAATCATAATTTAATCCCTCACCCCTTACCCAACCATGAAATCAAGCACATTAACTCACCCTGTCCATCTCATAAAATTTACTATTATCCTGTTGAAACAAGACTCCTAACAGCTCTTCAATCTTAACAAGCACTAAAGATGATTAACTTAAGTTAATAACATGCAGATTACTTTTATCAATTTATCTGTAACATGGTGAAAGACCCTGTCATATGCTTAAATAGAAAACCATGCTAGGTTGACCCGTAAGTGGATAGAGATATATAATAGGAATAGTGGTGTTGTTCTGACAGCGATAAGTCAGGTAGTGTCAAATATTGAATTTCTATCATTTGAAGAATGGGCCTTACCTTTTATAAGGATGGCTATAAAGGGCAGGGCTGTCCTGGTCCTGCTGGTCATTGTGCTGTTTTAATGACCCTTACACTGACCTCTGACGGACCTCTCTCTGTCTGTCTCTCTTTACAGATGTCTTACACTCCTCTGTAAGTGTATTACGAAGTCCTGGAAGGCAATTGAAAAGTAGAATTTGTTAATTTGTAAGCACAGGTAAAACATCTGCAACATCTGTGGCAATTTGACCAAATCTTTACTCAATGAAGGATTTTAAAATAAATTTTAACTCATTTTTTTTTCATTTTGGGTATAAGTTCCAATAGATGGACAAATTCATACAACATTGGGCTAGATGTCATGGTCCAGTAAGATCTCTGTTTGACAGAACATGATAGCGGAGATGCTCTCGATGTCCAGTTAAGTTAGGATAAAGATCAAGATCAAAAATACAACATATTGCATTAACACAGTTCATCACCCTGTCTATCAATTCCAATTATCCTGCAGGATGACTTAATTTAGAAACACACAGACTTTCAAATTATCAAAGTCCCAGCAAGTACATCCTACAAATTAAGCAAGCAATTTTGAAAAAACGTCAATGCCTTCCGTATGTCAATTCTAAACATGAATGAGTTTTCCTTATTTAAATTTAAGGTAGCAGTTCTTATATAACTTTTAATATCAGATCCAGACAGATTTTGGAATATCTTTTTCGCTTTGATCTGCAGTGCATGAAGGTTGACTAAATGGAGCATATAAATCTTGTGGCAAATATCTACGGCGTACTATCACAACGATTAGGAGAAGCATAGAAAAGCGATATGCAGCGCAAATTTCCGAAAGTCTCACAAGTTTGACACAACTAGGCGTAGGCGGGTCGGTCGTGGAAAGCAGTGATTACAAACGCTGCAACTCACATTACACAAACCAAGTTAGGGGACGCGAAATCGGTCCCGACAAAGCACCCGAACGATACACAACATACACATATAAATACGGTGCAACTAAAATAGAGTGTAAAATCTACTCCCCGCGTGCTGACCCTGAGTGCAATGTACTTACCGTCCTTCGTAGCTGGTCCGCTGGTCAGAATGCGGTCTCAGTATCGTAGTCCGGCCACATTCATTCACAACTATCTCGACCGCAATATGTGATTACAGCTGGCACAAGAAGCGCTATCACCCCCGTCATTAATTGCTTTAACCCCTGTGGAATCTCACTCTTGAAAATATCAAAAATATTGTATATTCCTTTGATAGTAGCGATCTAATTCAAAATTACAATGACTTTAGAAAATGAATATATTAAAAGTGCTTATTATTCAGATTGATGAAATGAATAGGTTTAGCAAATTAAAGTCAGTGAGGGTGTACAAAATCAATGGAAGAGCAAAAGCACTTCCTGAATATGAATAGTCTCCAACCTTTGTCTCTCAATGAAGAATACAACACTGATTTTTATCAATAAAATTTCACGTATTTGACTGTTTGTTTAATGCTTAAAGGTGTTTTTATCTTAGAAATCCTGCAAAATACTACTTATTGGCAGAAACAAAGTTGGGTTGGAGGCTAACTAGGTCTTCAAGGCATTTGTAGGTTTTGCTACTGCGCACAGGCACTGCGCAGAAAATTAACAATGACATTTACATTGATGAAATTCATTCGGCTTTTTTTGAAGATACCAGGCAGTCCAAACTGCTGCTGTCCGTTACATTATGCTTTCTACGACACACAGAATAGTTAAATGGGAGCAACCTTATAGAAACTAAAGAGAAATACATTTAAACTAATTTTAATTAGTTAAAACAGTGCATTTCTATACGTTGCGAGGCACAAAAAATAAAGTTCAGTCACAAATGACTTATAAATATACGTCACACGATTAAGTAAATTAATTTATGACATTGAAAAATGTAATTTTTTTCTTTTTTTTTTTTTTTTTTTGTGATCGACATGTATTTTCCACAGATTTTCAAGAGATACTTATTATTAACTAGGACATTTGAAAGTATGTNTCGACCTCTATTTGTTAAAGGAGACAGAATATCACTCACGATAGATGATTTTTTTTCCTGGTTGCTACCCTCTTTCTGGTTTTGGGTATTGTATCCCAAAGGTGCACACCCTATATATATTGGAGACATATTTGCAAAATAATAAATGTGTGTTTAACTGTTACACTATGGTATATGTGAAGTACCACTTCTTTTGCAAATAGAGACTTGCTTTTCAACATTTCTGTAACTTTTAAACTTTTAAAAACCTCAAACAAATTCGAAGATGTTCACTTAAAATCAATTTAGCAATTAGTCAAGTGATATTTTTGCTTCAAACTTTGTGATAATTGCAACCCATCTTGCGGTGAAAAACAGGAGTGATCTGGATAAGGAATCATAATTTAATCCCTCACCCCTTACCCAACCATGAAATCAAGCACATTAACTCACCCTGTCCATCTCATAAAATTTACTATTATCCTGTTGAAACAAGACTCCTAACAGCTCTTCAATCTTAACAAGCACTAAAGATGATTAACTGAAGTTAATAACATGCAGATTACTTTTATCAATTTATCTGTAACATGGCGAAAGACCCTGTCATATGCTTAAATAGAAAACCATGCTAGGTTGACCCGTAAGTGGATAGAGATATATAATAGGAATAGTGGTGTTGTTCTGACAGCGATAAGTCAGGTAGTGTCAAATATTGAATTTCTATCATTTGAAGAATGGGCCTTACCTTTTATAAGGATGGCTATAAAGGGCAGGGCTGTCCTGGTCCTGCTGGTCATTGTGCTGTTTTAATGACCCTTACACTGACCTCTGACGGACCTCTCTCTGTCTGTCTCTCTTTCTACAGATGTCTTACACTCCTCAGTAATTGTATTACCAAGTCCTGGAAGGCAATTGAAAAGTAAATTTGTTAATTTGTAAGCACAGGTAAAACATCTGCAACATGTGTGGCAATTTGACCAAATCTTTACTCTATGAAGGATTTTAAAATAAATTTTAGCTCATTTTTTTTTTCATTTTGGGCATGAGTTCCAATAGATGGACAAATTCATACAACTTTGGGCTAGATGTCATGGTCCAGTAAGATCTCTGTTTGACAGAACATGATAGCGGAGATGCTCTTGATGGCCAGTTAAGTTAGGATAAAGATCAAGATCAAAAATACAACATATTGCATTAACACAGTTCATCACCCTGTCTATCAATTCCAATTATCCTGCAGGATGACTTAATTTAGAAACACACAGATTTTCAAATTATCAAAGTCCCAGCAAGTACATCCTACAAATTAAGCAAGCAATTTTGAAAAAACGTCAATGCCTTCCGTATGTCAATTCTAAACATGAATCAGTTTTCCTTATTTAAATTTAAGGTAGCAGTTCTTATATAACTTTTAATATCAGATCCAGACAGATTTTGGAATATAGCTTTTTCGCTTTGATCTGCAGCGCATGAAGGTCGACTAAATGGAGCATATAAATCTTGTGGCAAATATCTACGGCGTACTATCACAACGATTAGGAGAAGCATAGAAAAGCGATATGCAGCTCAAATTTCCGAAAGTCTCACAAGTTTGACACAACTAGGCGCAGGCGGGTCGGTCGTGGAAAGCAGTGATTACAAACGCTGCAACTCACATTACACAAACCAAGTTAGGGGACGCGAAATCGGTCCCGACAAAGCACCCGAACGATACACAACATACACATATAAATGCGGTGCAACTAAAAAAGAGTGTAAAATCTACTCCCCGAGTGCTGACCCTTAGTGCAATGTACTTACCGTCCTTCGTAGCTGGTCCGCTGGTCAGAATGCGGTCTCAGTATCGTAGTCCGGCCACATTCATTCACAACTATCTCGACCGCAATATGTGATTACAGCTGGCACAAGAAGCGCTATCACCCCCGTCATTACTTGCTTTAACCCTTGTGCAATCTCACTCTTGAAAATATCACAAATATTGTATATTCCTTTGATAGTAGCGATCTAATTCAAAATTACAATGACTTTAGAAAATGAATATATTAAAAGTGGTTATTATTATTTAGATTGATGAAATGAATAGGTTTGGCAAATTAAAGTCAGTGAGGGTGTACAAAATCAATGGAAGAGCAAAAGCACTTCCTGAATATGAATAGTCTCCAACCTTTGTTTCCCAATGAAGAATACAACACTGATTTTTATCAATAAAATTTCACGTATTTGACTGTTTCTTTAATGCTTAAAGGTGTTTTTAACGTAGAAATCCTGCAAAATACTACTTATTGGCCAAAACAAAGTTGGGTTGGAGGCTAACTAGGTCTTCAAGGCATTTGTAGGTTTTGCTACTGCGCACAGGTACTGCGCAGAAAATTAACAATGACATTTACATTTCAAGATGAAATTCATTCGGCCTTTTTTGAAGATACCAGGCAGTCCAAATCTACTGCTGTCCGTTACATTATGCTTTCTACGACACACAGAATAGTTAAATGGGAGCAACCTTATAGAAACGAAAGAGAAATACATTTAAACTAATTTTAATTAGTTAAAACAGTGCATTTCTATACGTTGCGAGGCACAAAAAGTAAAGTTCAGTCACAAATGACTTATAAATATACGTCACACGATTAAGTAAATTAATTTATGACATTGAAAAATGCAATTTTTTTTTTTTTTTTTTTTTTTGCGAGGTGATCGACATGTCTTTTTCACAGATTTTCAAGAGATACTTATTATTAACTAGGACATTTGAAAGTATGTCCTAGTTTTAAATAAGTACATGCTTTTTAAACTTAATTTGACGTGTCCACATATTAGGTTTATTTTTGAACAACTATTTTTAAATCTCTCTGATAAAGCCACATTTCAGTTGTTGTCCTTTCAATCCTTTAAAAATTTGAAAAATTATCTTATCAATGATGATTTTTCTGGAAGTTGTTGGAACAAAAATATTACTAGTACTCCTAGCTAAATTCTTGTAGACAAGCTTGAGGTTCGGATGCACATTTAATCTGCCGCGAGATGGCTTAGGCTTGCAAATTGTTTGAAGAAGATATCTACGACCCTATCAGTTACCCTACAGACTTGGCTTGGTCGTAAGACCTTGGAAGCGGAGGGAGGCCGTCTTCTGGGTCTTCCGGAAGATGGTCAGAATTTTTCAGGTTTAAATTGACGGGCATCTATTTTTTTCTGTCGGAAGACGGTCAAAAATGAAGGATAGGCCAACAAAAATCATTTGGAAGACTGTCAGAAAATATCTCTGGATCCACCCTGAGTACAACAGGTAATATAAACATAAACCGATTATCTCCCGCATGCTGTTTTGACACGGGCCTTTTGATATCGGTCTGTAATGATTTTTTAAGGAATTGTTATCATTAAACCTTTTATTATAACTCATAAAACATAGTTCGGACACTTTCAGATCGAGAGGTGAGTATCATTATATAGTCTTTATGTCGCTGATGGTGTCTCAGCGGACAGTTTTATGGTATGTACTACCTGAAAAATTGGGTGAAAGCTGTGGTATTGATAAACATTTTTGCGGTATCTTACTTTATTTTAAAAGTCTTGAATAAACCATAAATTTTAAAAATATTATTTTTAGAGAGAACACAGTTTCATAACTTTACAATGTAAGTATATTTTTGCGTGAAATCTTGGGCCGATCTGTTATGATGGCTTCAAGGTAGATAATCCCTCTTGTTCCTCCTCCCCCCCCCCCCCCAGAAAAGTGAACAGTGCGAAAAAAAAAACAAATCCAAAAATAAAAAAATTAGGTTAATCTGTATATCCAAAAATGTTTTGGTATTTCTCTTCAGATTGCTCAAGTTTATTGATGAATCCTAAAAGTGAAAGACTGTGAGATTAAATTAGGTTGTTGAAGTCTGTATGTTTTTATGACTTTAAATGTCTATTTCCATTTAAAATCCAACGTTTTACGTTATCATATTTGAGAAAGATAAATATGCCTTCACGTGCGTAAAGGCATTCTATCGACGGGTATAACTTAATGTCGGCCACTGCATTAAATCTGTGCATTCACTTTAAATTTAAGGAAAAAAACATAAACATATGTTGTATTTGAATGCAAATGTTGTAACTTAACTAAACTGCGGGACAATATTTTCATTGTGAGTGGAGTAGGTGTGAAGGCGAGTATATTGTGTTAGATGTGCCCGGTTGAGACGAGACTTCAGTTCCTAGCGTCATATATTGTGTTTGGTAGGCACATCCGTTTGATAGGTTATATTGCGTTTTAGATATTTTAGTATTTATCTTGGAATAAGGATCTGTTGTTTTGCTTATTTTTCTCTTTTTAGTTTATGTGGCTGCCATGTCTGGCACGTTTCAGTTTGACAAATCACCTTTCTGCAATAAGGAAATCCCCAGTTCGACATATTTGTCCTCCGGCGCCAGCCAAATTTTGTCTCTACTTTTGTTTGTTTCTGTTGAATGATGTAATCACCTTCTGTTTATCAACGAAGACGTATGACAAAGTCTTTTAGATTTTCAATAAATCAATTTAATATTCATAAATAATATACTAAAATTGAATAGTCGCATATACAATTCTGATGTTAAAAACATATATATTAAAATTTTTAAAATATACATGTGTAAAAATAAAATAATATCTTACAGCCTTACATCTTTTAACTTCAAGTCTAAATATCTCCCACTAAATTTTAAGTTCTTAAATCATCTTTATTTTAACGATGCTAACCACCTTCCTCGTAGTCGACATTCTAACTGGAGTCATACGTATGTTTACTGCGAGCCCTTAATTTCCACGTTGAATTTCGATCGCCAAAATAGACAAATAAATAGATTGATAAATAATCTAGTCTTCTCTTCCTTTTTTACTGATTCCGTTTTTGTGCCGTTTTGTGCATTTTTTTTTCGGAATTGTCATGTGGCGCCACCTTCCGTGCGTAAAGAGCAGATCGCCTAATGATGTTATAAGCGACATGTGTCCCGATTACGACCAACAACAACTGCTGGGGGATGGCAATCAAATAACAGAACAGCGACAGCCGACTGGTACTCCAGTAATCCACGTTCATCATTACAAACACAAGGATTTGTGGGATGAAGCGAAACACGGTGAATGATGCTGAAAAGGAAAAAAAATCAAAATAAACAATGTTCAGCTTTATAAGCCACAGGCCAAGGCAGATGGCTGTAGGCCCTACCTGTGAGCATTAAAATACGGCTATAGCGTACGTGTTTGATATTGTTCGATTAGTTTTACTGACTTGAGATTGTTTAAAACAAAGCCATTTTAAATGTGTTGTCGTGTTTCATTGTGGTATTAAAAATATAAAACAAACTTAAAAATAAGCCTACTAGACGGTAAAACCAAGAACCAAAGGATGCAAAAGAATAAGCCTAAACGAAAAAAAAATATGGCAAACTGAAAAAAGCTGTTTCAGACCGAATAAAGAAAAAAACTTACCGAAAAATAAAACAGTCAGCCATTTGTATAAGACCGATTCTCTGAGACCCAGCATCACAATTATTTTCCTTCCGTGTAGGAACACGTTTGCCACCTCACACAAGTAGTCCCAGGGGGAGTAGGTACTTATTCTTCCGCAAGGGGGGAACTGGGACACCGTGATGAAGAAGATGGACTGAAAGTAAATATATGGAGATACATTTATACATGCAAGTATTTCATGTCGTGAAAATGCTAATAAAGACTTCAAATTAACAGGTAGTTTAAACTATTTTACGGAGGGAGGAGGGGACACAATTACATGCCTTGTTTAATTTCAATCGTTTCGCGCATGTGAAAGTAGAATATCATTTACATTTTGACCTGACCTGGTCTCTTCTTTCGTCTACCCTTATCCTCCAAAGAATCTAAGACAATGTATTTCAGGTATTTCAAGTTTGGAAAATATATTCTAATTGACAGACGCGCAAATGGCAGATTCTGGGGCGGATATAGGGTGCAGCGGGCACATCCCCTCCCACAGCTTCTAAGATACTCCCTGTTCTTCCTTCTCCCCCCCCCCCCCCCAAAAAAAAAAAAAAAAAAAAAGAAAAGAAAAAAAAAAAGAAAAAAGTGCACAGTGAGAAAAATAACAAAACCAAAACTATTAAAATTAAATTCCTTGGCCTTTACATATTTAGATATCCTGCATTTCCAACGCGGATCAAATATGGCAAAACCAAAATATTAATTAAAAAAAACCCTTGGCCTTTACATATTTAGATAGCCTTCATTTACAACGCGGATCAAATATGACCGACCCACTTAAATGCTTTGTTGCGGAATCCCCGCAGAAATTATATTCGTTGTCATTTAGGGGATTAAACGGCAAGCTTTTAATTTAAGTGGGTCGCCATATTTGATCCGCGGAGTAGTTAGTCCGCTGTTGTGAATGCAGCCATAAATTGGCCCCGTCTACTGTTTTACACTGTACCCCTCCAAAACCCTCTCCCTGGCCTTAGCAAATCCTTAGATCCGCCATTCCGCGGGAATCACTGGGCTAATGGTAAAACATAAGGACAGAATTGTGAAGTGGTGTTTTACGTATTATGTAACATAATAGCAAAACGGTGAGTTGATTCCAATACATCGTGATACAATACTTCAATGTCTTAAACTGTTAGTACTATCTTATAACTGCCCTCATACAGTTCACATAGCAACAAACGTATTTATACGGACGAGGTTAAATATTGAAAACGCTTTTTCTTACCAGTATATGGTGAGCGTACATTTCGAAACTTCCTAACTTCTCAGAGCTTGTATATTTGAAGACAGTATCGTAGATGAAATACCCTAAAATCGAAATAATTGAGGTCATAGAACAGAATTATGCCAGCAATATTGTGTGACAGAATGTACTCAGAAATTACAAAATTGATAAATTTATGATATGATTTAGATAGGTAAAAAACAAGAGATCATAATTACACTTAAAGTACTTAAATCAACACATTTTTTAAAACCCCATGCACATCTCTTATTACACTCTTCAGATTATTGCTCAATGTTTTCTACAAAAATTTACGCCGCGCCCTCGAAGTGTCCGTAAACATGGACGTTGATTAAAAATAAAGCAACCAAAATTGACCTAAGAATGACCTCCAATTACCATATTCAGCAAACTTCTTACCTGAGGACATGAGATGAAGATAAAAACCGCGATCGGAGTCCCCCATCCACTCCTCCTCTGTCAAAATACTGAAAATAACAATCAAGTCAGAGATAATATGGCGGTTTTCATTGTCTTTTGTGTAAAGGCAGAAAAAGGGTATGCACCGCTGTTGTTTTTAAGAGGCAGCGTGTTTTTATTAACGTACTATAAGGCATGACGTTTCGACCCTCCGTGTTAAAATTTCTATGGTTAGTCCCTTTATTATTTTTAAGGGATTTTTAAGTGCATAAACCACTTCTTGGTGAACCTATCTTAAAACACAAGTGACACTTTTTGATCATTTTAATTCCAGGAATTAATATCGCCTAAAATTATTTAAGTTATCGCCTCCGGACGAACGTCGCCACCTGTCAAACATCTTAAAGGTACACTCCATGGTTATGCAATCCCATTATTTTTGCCTTCCGCAGCTTCTTATAAAACGTAACATACTCCTTGAAATAATTTAACCCCTTGAATATTTTTCTGGACATTGATGTTTCCTTTGGAATCCATAGGAAAATGGTTGCAGTTATAATGACAGGCCACCCATTTTAAGCTAAATCAACCTTAATAAATTTTATCAAAGATCGAATCCAAGTGCAGAGCGGGATAGATAAATAATTCGTGAGTACAAAAAATTGCTTATTTTCCAGGGAAAAACAGATTTTGGCGGGTCTTATGAAGTGTACCTTAAACAATAATCTTAACACAGTTCTGAATCGCACGCAACGCGTGGAATATAGTAGGCAAAGTGATGGTGGTGTTTGAAAAAGCCACAAGCTTGGATCAAGCACTTTTTAATACACCCAGATTGTTACAGTACGATGGCGACTGTCAGGAATGGACTGCGTCAAAAGTTGGTTCGTCAGAGAAATCACCTTACCTCAGGGAAATTAGCTATAAGCACGAGTGTATATATATATATATATATATATATATATATATATATATATATATGGACTGAATGATACTTACATAGTTAAGGCGGCTACGGCACAAATAACAGCATGGACCCACGAAGTTACAAACATACGCCATCGGCCAGGAAAGGTGGCACATTTTTGTGGTGTAAAATGTGACTTCACTAAAATATTGACGGCGGTAAAAAACAGGCAGGAAAGAGGGCAAATGGCAGCCACAGCCTTAGCCTTCCATATTAATTCTTCTCCGTAACTCTCCGAGTCCATTTTGGGTGACGCTCCGAATCGGGAATGTGTGCACTGGAAGATATAATGAACGGAATGTAGGAAACTTAATTTGCAAGTGTGGCCAAGATGAATGGACGCCTTTATACCACGGGTGGCGTTTCGAACTAATTGCACTTGTATTGTGCCCACAAGATTGTCTGTATTTTCATACGCTTCATTGCGATTTACTTGTCGAATTACTTGTCAGTCACACTTGAACGATATATACTCGTACTGGAACAAGGGGCGGATCTACCCTCTACCAGGGCGAGTGATAGATTTTTTTACAAATATGGACTGTCCGTGGGATGTGATCTTTTTACGTTAAGCATTTTCAGATACTTTTTATGCTGTTACTTTTAATTTTATTTGCAACAATTATCCATATAAGACCCAGACATTGTCACTGGCACAGATATCAAGGTAATGGGGTCCATGACTGTTAGCCACTCGTTTAAATGTGGGGAAGTGTGGAGATATGCAGTGGATTCCCATAGACACCATCTAGCATATTATTATTTTAATTAAAAAATACAGATCAAAATATACATAGCCAATGAATATCTAATGAAGGAATTGTCACTGTGACCCTGGTATAGGGTACGCTTGCATGACCTAGGACCCCCATGACCAGACACTGCCAATGTTCCCGAGCAGCATAATTATAGAAGATGAAGACGGCGATTTCTATTCTCTCTTTATTTAATTAGTGTAATATTCCTCGCGGGATAGCACTTAGGTACGATGTTTATCTGCATACTTTTAAGAGGCAACAGAGGTGATTTTACATAGCCGTGCAGACCAACCGAACCATAACACCGGAGCGTTCTTCTACTTTTTTATGGCCAACTTTGACGTTCTCTGTACTTGTCATCAGTATCATGTACCCTCAGGGCCGCAGTTGCTATTGTGGACATTTTTGGTGAGGCGACTGAGACCGAGAGCCAAAATGACTGTCTATTTATCTATAGACATATCTGTAAATATCTGTGGAAAATCAATCTGTCGCCCTGGTAGAGGATATGTATCATGTATCGGACTCAAGTTTTGAAGATAGATATATATATATATCTGCTCTCCCCACCCTCCCAAATAAATAACATAACATTTTTTGAGATTTTAGAGCCTTTACATTTCATGCATTTGTCAGGCAAAGCCAAATCCTTCGATGTTGAATTACTGGGATGGCTGCACCTGGTCGACAATGTTATATGTGCTATAAAGATGTGTCACTGTATCCCTATATATTATTGTAATTGTTTAATAGCATATTAACTTAAATTATATTTATATTGTCATTTTCATCCACCTAGATATGTCCAACAGACTGTAGCTTCTCTAATTTAAAATGTCTAATACATATTCGCGTGTACAAATTATTGACATGGCCTGAAAAGTAGGTGTAATTAACTTAATGACGCACTCGAAGCGAGGTGACATGTCAGATCTTCGCCAATAAACCTGAAAAACTTGCCACCATAGTCATCATGTAGTCATACATCACTGCTTCACTGTGTGGATTAAATATTTTAAAATATATTAAAGCGTTAATAAATAAATAAATAAAAGGCAGTTTCTTGTTGCATAACATTTCGTTGTGCAGAGATACCATTATAATATCCCTTATTGTATAACAACCTGCATTGTCAGATACAATCTTCCTGTTACTAATGATAATAATTGCCGGCGGTATAAGATAAATGTTCAATCATCGCTTGACCCATACTTTCCCCGAGCTAACTCTATATAGAACGCATTCAGAACAGCGGACTTGGATCCTAGCCCCGAGTGAATCAGTGAACCCCCCAGTGGATCCCCAATGATTAATCAGGATAATCTCTGTGTCCCTCCCCCTCAAAAAAAGGAGCGTCCAAAGGACGTATAACCCACCCCCTTTTGTCGGGAATAAGCGTATATAAGATTTTATAGATAAAAAACAAAACGTATCATATACCCGCATCATGTCCATAAATACACATCCGAAAAAACTATGTTCGGCCACATGGATAATATCTAACATTATCTGTCACAGTGTCTAAGCCCCAAATCCTTCCAACCGTGACACTCTATTTCTTACTAATAATAATAATAACAATAATAATAATATCTCCTGGCTTTACAGATCCAAGGCAGCGGAAAGAAAATATCAGGAAAAATAGGCGTTATTACCTAAATAGAGCACGGCGAATACACTGTTAGAGGTAAGGTATTAACTGGTACAAGAGGACGTCTGAATTTTTCAATTAACTATTTGAAAGAAAGAACGCAAATTCAACTTGGGACATTGAGATATAATCATATACAAGAAATGGTATTCACATTTTACACATTGTCAAAAACCCAAAAACACGTTACCTGAAATCAAATACGTAGCTGATAATTTTAACAAATCTTACCTCTTTGAAAAGATGTCTGTGTATGCCAAACGTCGAAAAACGACTGGGAGAGTTAACTGCGTGTGGTGGCTATTTTAGAGCGACAAGCGGCGATACAACGTCACTGATAGGGATGAGACAAAACGTCATAGGTTGACCTTCATCCATAAACGGAAGCTAAACTAGTTGATGGATGTTTGTTGACAGACATGTTTGGAGATGCGACTGTGCACGTTAGGTGACGTGCGCATCATCTGTCTGACACGCGATGATGGATAATTTTTTCACTCTCACCTCATTTATAAACTAGATAATTATTTTTGGATATCACAACTCTTTCTTAGGTACTATTTAATTATTTGATGATACTTTTGTGATTTTTCACTTTTTTCTTTTGAAATAGAAAAAAATCAGAGTCCTAGCCCTGCCCATGAACTCGCAATAAAACTTCAGTTGAAGAAGAGAAAGTCCTCAAAAATGTCACTTTTTGAAGATCTTCCTAAGATATCTTGCCCACTAACAAACAACTAGGCTATTCATGCTAACAAAGAAAGTGAAGGAGATAATTCAACCTCCTTGGGAGGTACTGCCCTCTACTAGGTTAATCTCTCTCTCTCTCTCTCTCTCTCTCTCTCTCTCTCTCTCTCTCTCTCTCTATATATATATATATATATATATATAACGCAAATTCAATTTGAAGACATTAAAATATAAATCATATACCATGAGATATGATCATATTGATTATTTACTAGATATATAACTAATTTATGACAATAAATTCTGCTGGAGGAAAGTGCACATAATTAATCTGCGACCCGCCGATAAGCGTAGGCGAAATCAACACAGTCGAAATCTTGTTTACCTTCACTGACCAAGACAACAACGTCCGATCAACATGCTTTGTGTCACGATGGATTTAAATAAAACAATATGTATCATAGGTCCCCGTGTCATGTCCACAAATACACATATGCAAAAGTTTTGTACGGCCAGATGGATAATATCTAACGTAATCCGTTACAGTATTCAGACCCCAAATTCTTCCAATTGTGACACTCTGTTTCTTACAAAGAATTATAATATTGATATATTTTGGCTTTATAGGTCCTCTGATTCATTCAACGTCTTCTGCGACCTGGCATGGAAAAAATGTGTATTGCCTCTGGACATCAGTGAATGTTATCTGACAAAAAAACAACGTGTACACGGGAGTAGTTGAAACCTTGAAACCCTGTATTTTGTCCTCTGTATGAACCACCTTTATTGGTGTCTTTATTGTCTGGTTAATAATTTATCAGATGGAAAATATGTGCTTGAAAGTGATACCCAGCTTGTTGTCACAAAATATTCCCATTAGACTCTGTTCTTATTTTTTATTAATTTATTTATTTTTGGTTAATAATAAATAAATAATATTAATTTATAGTCCAAAATCCATTTTAAATGTTCAGTAGACTTTACAGAGGTAAAATGAACAGAAAAATGCCAGTTCATTTCATCCGCGAAAAAAGTCCGGACCTACATGTATTAATTACGACCCTAGAACCTGCGACGAAATTAAGCCTAGGTTAGCAAAATGCTGGTACTAGAACAAAGAATAAGACGGATTCATTTATTACCTGTTTGACTATGCTACAGGTGAAATAAGAACATGAAAATATAAAATAATATTTTAAAAATTAGTGATGTGGTGTAGATCTGCTTAAAGGAGGTGGATCCTGTATCGAAAAAAAAAAAAAAAAACATTATATGTAATTTATTTAAATTGTTGTCTCAAAGCCTACCGTAGATCAAATTTTGATTTAGAGCTGACATTTGCCAGGGCAACACAGACGTTACATTTCAGCACAGGGCCACAGAGCAAAATTGCGCATAACCAGCCAGAAAATTATCTGTGAATATATGATCCGGATCACCACCAAATACTAATCTGTTCCTTGGCCCACTTTTGACAATTCCTGAAAATTTCATCAAAATCGGTCCATAACTTTTTGAGTTATGTTGATGACAGAAAGACAGACAGACAAACAAACAAACAAACAGGGGTGAAGACATAACCTCCTTGGCGGAGGTAAATATTGCAGATACGCCGTTCGTCTATACAAGTTGGTCAAATATATATATATATATATATCCCGTAGTCCTGGTAGAGGGGAGGTCGGAGGTCAGTTCCCGTCGCGGTTCGTTTCCGTGTAAGCGTGCAAGCAGAAAAACGAGTGAACCGATAAATATCTCAAACAGTGATAAATGCGTTGCAAACTTTGATAATTTGTGTGCTTAATCACTTTTAAGTAATCTCATGAATACTAAAGTTAAGATTAAAGATGCTGTTCTATACATTACTGATCGCATTAGAAATTGTTTCGCTGAGATGTCCGTAAGCTAGTTAGTTAACAGCGATTTTTTTCGTCCTGTCGATCTTCCAGTTTTTGTTGTTTATTTAGGCGTTATATTTGATCAACTTGTAATATTTGACCCAAGTTTTTGGAGGTTTTCCTCTTTTATCTCTCGTTCCCCAGGTACTCTACAATGATGTGAGCCAAGTTGTATTCTGCGACTAGACGGACGGCATATCTGCAATATTTACCTCTTTCAAGGAGGTTATGTTTTCACCCCTGTTTGTTTTTTTGTCTGTCTTTCTGTCATCAACATAACTCAAAAAGTTGTGGATCGATTTTGATGAAATTTTCAGGAACTGTCAGAAGTGGGCCAAGGAACAGATGATTAGTATTTGGTGGTGATCCGGATCAATAATCAATCAATAATCAATAAAAAATTGCTGCCTTGGCGGAGGTCTGCGCTCTTGGAGTCCTTTTCTAGTTTTCTTTTATAATGTACCGGTATGTTGGAAGGAAGGAAGGTGGGATGTATATGTGATTTCAAAATTGTGCAAAATTTCAAACTTGACACTTTTGTTGGTGTCCAGTATTTCCAGCACCCTGCGATACATGCTGTCGTTAGGGGACTTGTGGTCAGGGTGATGCTTCCTGAATCCTTATGCATCCAGAGATATGTTACGGACATGAAGAGAAAAAGGCGGAATATCTGGTATAAATCACGTGTTTGACATAAGGCATAAGCTGAAAAATTTTCCTTGCTGTTTGCTTTGATCCAAAATAAATCAGATAATACAAGAAAAGACTACAAAAATATCCAATTTACAACCATGGAAAGCAGTCCATGTAAATTTATTGCATGCATTTTATTTTCTCACAAAATCCAACATCTTATTTCTACATTTTTGTTACTTACAAAATACATTCCATAACCTGAACCTAACACATTAGGCAGACTGGAAATAATCTATTCCACACATCACAGACAAAGTATATTTTTGAGGAAATTGGAAAAAAACTAATTTGTTGGAATATTTCAATTATTACAATATCACAATCTTTGCTTTAAATATAAAACATTATGCCTGTCAGATGTGTACAACACCTACATAATGCAAAAAGTAAATACTGAAAGGCATGTAGTGTGTGTTTTACAATCATTCAAAACGCTTTCCTGAAATTTCAACAATTTCTCTCTATCACCATATCTGTGAGGTATACTTTCTCCAAAACAGCTGAGCAAATTATTATCAATATAAACCTATTTAGGACTTTTTATATTTATACTTCTTATATTTACCATCATTGTCCCTCCATTATGAGAGTGGCAAAAAAGCAACTTTCTCAACATTTTTGCATGTAGTGTTTCTTGATGATTAAAAGAAAAGTATAAAATTACTAGGACTTATTTTTTAAGGAGTGGTATTCAGTGTATGAAGTGCCGTAAACATGGAATGATCAAACAGTAGTGTTCCAAGAAACAACCAGAGCAACCTTCTCCACAAGACACTGCTGAACCCATCACCTTGTGACTCTAATTATTGTTCCTCTTGAACAAATCTTATGCAATAGATGTTCCTCTTTGGTGGTAGCTGACACTTATGGAAATTCTGCCTATCAACTCTAATCTTGGAAGTTACAGGGATACTGAAAAGGGTCGATGCAGATAAATCATGGTAGATTCAAACATTTAATAGCTATCACATCTGCAAAACTGATATTATGCAAATTCAAATGAAAGCAGGTGCATACACAATATCCATCGGTCAATGTTTACATTATACACAGCCAGCAGTCATTGTAAGTCATCACTGTATTTCTATGGACTGTTTTCTACTACTGCTACTATTTCCACTATTACTTCCATTACTACTAGAATCACTACAGTAACTACTACATCTGCCAACAAAAGCATAAATATAAATTTATATCAGAATTATCTTACATACTGTTTGTCAGCAGTTGGAATACTGTCAATGGTAAGAAGTAGAAAGTAACCCTGTAAGTTTTTTTTCTTTTCTTTGTTGATATAGGTTTGTTGATATTCTATTTCCCATACCAACCAGTTTAAACATATATTTGGACAAAGTTCCACAGAGAAATTCAAACCGAAAATTGGTCTTTACTTTAAGACAAAATTTCTTAGCCTACCTTCACCCCCACGTAATAACTTCGTATAGCATACATTATACGAAGTTATACGATATA